GCGACCAACAGCGAAGTTGGGACCGGGAAGACAGCGCTACAAACACTCCTAGAGGTGCTCAATGCACAGCGAAACGAGATGCTCGACACAATCATTGAACTACGCGACGTGGTCAGCAAGCAGCAGAACACGATTCAAGAATTGCACCATCAGCTCCAGGAATACCAACGTCAAATGGAATGCGCCCTAGCGAACACAAAGGCACAGCTATCAGAGGAGCTGAGGCAAGCTCGAGACCAGATCGACGTCCTTATACGCAACCCGGTATTCACGGCCTCGTCCCAGCCAAGCGCAAGAGCATCGTACGCCGAAGTCGCTCGCACCCCACCATCAAGCCAACCAAGCGGGGTGCGCACCCTCTCCTCGTCGAACACGACACCCTCATCCTTTACCGACACGCTGTTCTGCACCATCGACACATCCAGAGTGGAGGAAAACGAAAAGAACAAAGTCCAGGTGGCGGATGTCAGAAAAGCAATCGAGGCGGAGGTCCGGACACTGGAGAACATGGGAGATTGGCGCTGCGCTGCGGTTGTAAAGGAGGCCCGGAACCCGGATCGGGTCAAGGTGGTTTGTAGAGACGAAAACGAGACCAGGATTGTCAAGGATGCAGCACAAAAGATCACTGTCCCGGGCGTACGGGTGCTGAGGGATCAGCTCTACCCAGTGAGGATCGACAATGCCAACCGCACAGCGGTCCTCGACGCCGAGGGGAACGTTTTACCAGGGGCAATGGAAGCCCTTGGTACAGAGAACGACGTCAACATTGCCAAGATCGTCTGGCTCAGCAGGAAGGATACAGGCAAGGCCTACGGCTCTATGGTCGTCTACGTGACGGAGGGCAGCGAAGCGAGGCGACTTCTAGACGGGCGTTACTTCCATCTGGCCGGAGAATCCGCTTACACGACCGTGTTCGCGCCCCGGGAAGGCCCAACCCAGTGCTACAGATGCCAGGAAATCGGCCATAAGGCCTTCGCCTGCAAAAAGCCGCAAAGATGCGGAAGGTGTGCGGAACAGGGTCACCACCACAAGACGTGTCAGTCCGTGGTCCTGAAGTGCGTGCTATGCAGAGGACCACACGAGTCATTTAGCAAGAACTGTCGGGTACGCTGGTTGAACAATGGGGCCCAAGACGCTTAAGATCCTTCAGCTCAACGTCCGCAAACGGAGAGAAGTGCAGCAGAGTCTGCTAAACGACGAGGGACTCAAGGACTTCGCAGTGCTGGCCATCTCCGAACCATATGCCAGGCTGATCGAAGGCTCGGTGACGGCGGTCCCAATGAGTCATCACAACTGGACGAAGCTGATACCAACGACAAGACGAGAAGCCACGTGGCCAATTCGGAGCATGCTATGGGTACGAAGCGATATAGAGGTCGAGCAGATTCCAGTGCCGTCGGCAGACCTCACCGCAGCACGCATCCGGCTCCCAGACCGGGCAGTGCTGACGGTGTCAGTGTATGTGGAGGGTGGTAGTGACGAAGCACTGGTAAGATGCAATGAGGGGGATTGACCTAATGATTAAGAGGTTTCGAAACGGAACAGGGACGAGAACGGATATCATACTGGCGGGCGATTTCAACCGCCACGGCCAGCTTTGGGGAGGGGACGATGTCTCACCACGGAGACAAGGCGAGGGAGACCGCATCATCAACCTCATGGACGAACACTCCCTCTGCAGCCTCCTCCCAAGAGGCACGAAGACGTGGCAGTCAGGCGACATTGAGAGCACAATCGACCTGGTACCGGCCTCTGCAGAACTAGCAGACCAACTACTCAGATGCACGATTCACTCCTGCGACCATGGCTCAGACCACAGAGCAATCGAGACAGCTTTTGACACCACGGTGGAGGACCGTCCCAGTGAGACGAGGTTCCTCTTCAAGAACGCGCCCTGGACGGAAATTAGGACTAGGGTGGCAGCACACCTCGAACGCATCCCCTGGGACGGCAATGTCCAGCAGCAGACGGACAGGCTCATGGCAGCGGTAACCGAAGGCGGTCTTACGCCCTGAGCACCTAAAGCCAAGCCGCTCAGCCATACGGCCAAGCGGTGGTGGACAACTAGACCTGACACGGCTTCGTCCAGACATACACGTTTTGGAGAAACCTGGCGAGATCTCGAACGTAGGATTGGCGCAAAACAGCACCAGAGCTCGAACAACGGGCCAGGATGGCAGCCCAAAGAAGTACCACTGTGGATCAACATCCACACGCTGCCCGGAAACGCATCCCCCTTGCCCATGAAGAAAGTCCGGACCACCGTACGATTCGGTATCTCCGCTGCAGAAAATTGCCCGCGTGGCCGAAAGGAGTACGGAGTTGACCGGATGGAGACAATCCAGGAATACGCCGTCCCGCCCTGGGTACCTCGCCTACGACCGACGCTCGAAGCCGATCGAGGGAAGGCGGTCGAGATGGTCAACAAAATTTCGGGAATCGTGATCGCAACCAGCTCATCCGTAAAGAAGGGCATTGTTGGCATGGGCGGGCCTTGCACGGGATACTCTCTTCAACAGAACTAGCGAGACGTGTGACAAACTATGCTGTTGTTCTTGGGACAAGGGAAGAGCAGAACCCATATACAGCAGAGCTAGCAGCCATCGCAATGGCCCTGGAGAAGTTACCGGCTAGCATCTGCCACAGGCACATCACCGTGATCACTAGGAACCAGTCAGCGCTGGCGGCAGTTGGACAGCCGCGGCAGCAATCCGGCCAAAGCATCATACGGCAAATCTACGACTTGGCCAGGCTGCACCGACAAAGAGGGAACTCGGTCAACTTTCTGTGGATACCAGCGGAGATTGACTTCGCACTGGGGTCAGATGCCAAGGCAGCAGCCCAGAGAGCGTCGAAGCAAGGACGCACACCCGACTCCCAAATACCCCAGGCCAAGTCTACCGCGATGAGGCTGGCAATGGAAAGACAACGGGCGACAAGAGTTCTACCTGTAAGCGTGGGCAAGTTCTCAAAGGTCATGGACGCAGCACTACCAGGCAAGCACACGCGCCATCTCTATGACAAGCTGAAGCGAAGGGAGGCCTGCGTATTGGCGCAGCTCCGAACCGGAATGGCGAGACTGAACGGTTTTTTGAGCAGGATTGGGGCGGTCGAGTCAGACCTTTGTGCCTGTGGACAAGCGAGGGAATCAGTGGAACACTTTCTTTTCCGATGCGTGAGATGGACAGCTCTGAGGGAAGACATGCTGCAATGCACAGTGGCAAGACGAGGAAGCCTCTCGTTCTATCTGGGAGGGAAAGCGCCATCGGATACAAGGCATTGGTCACCAGATTATGAAGGCAGTCCGGGCGACGATCAAATACGCAATGGCAACAGGAAGGCTGGAGCTGAATGAGGAGGAGAGTCTAGACCAGTCACAGTAGAAGAAGCCGACACTCAACACCATGAGCCTCAACCACGAGCCTTAACCAGCAGGTCCCGCTTTAGCTGCTGAAGATAGGACGCTGAACACTTGGAGAAAGTAGCCTCCAAGTTGATCTGCTAACAACAACCAAGGCAAGAGGTAAATGGTGCAGCGAGAAAGAGGGAAGAAGTAGGGGGCTTGTACGAGTTAAAGGCAAAACGATTTGATCCGGATGTAGTTAGCGTGCTTAGGCCCGAAGATGTGGTGTCCCACTTGGGGGTGGAAAACGCATATAAACTTCAATGGCCCTTCCCGATCACAATGATGGCAACCCAATATCAAGTCTTCTCAAACCCAAGCCAGAGAATTACACCTAGTACACCACCGGCTATTGATCAAGCTGGCTCTTCTTGTAAGCATGTTGCCGGTTTATATACCTGAACATTCTTGCTCGACTAGGCACAAGATACGCTTGCACCGACAAAGACTTGCATCATGAACCACTTCCTCTGCCGGGCCTGCAGTGAGAAATATCCACTATGCGCTGCGCCTCATTGCGAGCAGTTCCCAAGTTGGTTGTTCATGCCTAAGTATGATGGGAGGATGGACAGCCGGGTATGGGGCATGATACAGATGTGTGGAGGGCTTGGATGATTCAAGGATTCTAGGCATCTTGCATTATGATTTAACATCGCAGTTAGCTAACAACGGTGATTTTTGACTTAACCCCCAGGCGTCGCACAATAAAAAATATCCCGCTATCGTTATGAAGAGATGTAGATCTGTTTCGATGATATCCAGAACCTCCCGGAAGCCCAGTTGGTGCTGTTTATCTGGGCTGGCGATTGGCTTGGTTCCTTGGTCACAGGGGGGAGAAATGACGTCGGCAACCAGCGACAGCTTCGTCGGGCTAAAATGACTATATTATCCTCTCCCCGGTAGAGTGCGAGTGCCACCCGTACTGATGAAGCCTCCTTTCAGTGTCCCCTAACGCACATTCCGAGGCACAGTAAGCACCATCGTGGCCGTAGCAACCTAAGCCATAAACTGCCGTGGACCAACTCAGGGGTTCTAGTCGTTCCCGTCGTCGTAGGCCCGGGGCTGGCCGGTGAGCTCATATCTGAGTACCCAGTTAAAGGCTTGGCCCGCAGCCCTCGAATGGTCGACTCTCCTCGAGTTATGACTAGAGGTCCGTGTGGTCGTCCTCAAGGCTTCCCCCGCAATAGCTAAGTCGAGGAGGTCTGCATCATAGCCGTGTGACAAGGAGAGTGGGCTTAGTTGGCTGAACATAATAACACCGTAGATTCAAACCCTCCCATCTCCACACAATCGAAATCATCGCTAATTACTGAACTACAACCGGCATCCCACTCTTCCGCTTTTCAAGCCTCGACTTCCTTCGAATCAGCTCATTCTTCTTCCACGAATCCTCAAATATTTTTTTTCTTCGGCGCAGCCTGGTGATCGCGTATCCCCAACCGCCGCACCACCTGGAACGTCCCGGTACCCGATCGACATGCTCTGGCCCATGATAATACACTCGCCTGACACCCTGGATGCGGTCCCCCTTCATGCCCGCCGCCGCGTCGAACAAGTGGGTCGGGCGTCTTCTCGAACGACGCTCAGCTGCAGCACGGCTGTCGCGCATCTTGGGCCAGGCCGAAAGCGGGTGATGCCCAGGGATCTCGCCCTTTGTACGTCATTGACATCGGCCAGCAAGTTCCATGTGCCCGGGGGGTCGATGCTCATCTCGGCGCATGACAGCCGCGATTTCTGGTCGCGAATGGTGGTGCGCGGCCGCCTCGGATCCCCAGCACGTCGCGGCACTTCCTCATGACCGAGTTCGTCACGCACTTGGTGCCGATCACGCCCTCGGTCGTCATGCACGCGCGCAGCCCGTACCCTTCGACGAGCACCATGTGCTCGTTCTTGTCGTCCGTCTGGATGATGGCGCGCGCCGCGTCGGGGTAGCCCGAGATGACGACCTGCGGGAGCATGCGCTTGAGGAAGTTGACGCGGAGTTGAAAGTCGGCTGCTGACTCGTCCAGGGCGCTGGACATGATGTGGCCCTTCTCGACGGCAGCCGCGCGGACTCGGGCTGCTTTACGCGCAGCGGTAACGTCCTGCCATGTGTTGCGGACGATCACCTCGACGCGGTCGCGACCGATCCGCAGGTCCTCGGGCTCGACCTTGAGCTTCAGCTTCTTGGCCCGCACGATAGCGTCGGCGATATCCTTCATCGAAATGCCGAGCTGCATGTCTGAGAGCGCCTGCAGGTCCACCTGGAGGACGATCTTGGCAACGTCCGGAAGCCACTCGTCGTCGACGAATGAGATTATATCTGAAACATATGTTTTCTCGATCCTACCCTTGACCACACGCGCGGCCTTTATATCCACCCGATTTTCCAGCTCGCAACTGATAACCGGTGTGCTGATGGTCTTCGAAGCGTTGATGATTTCCTTAATACGGGGCACACCTTGCGTGATACTCATACCAGCAACCCCCGCAAAATGGAACGTCTTAAGCGTCATCTGCGTGCCGGGTTCGCCGATAGATTGTGCTCCAACGGCGCCCACCGCGTGGCCAGGTTCGACTCGTGCCTTCTTGTACTTGTGGAGACACATTTGAATGAATTGCCGTAGCGTACGCTCTGACACCTTGGCGACGCGGTTAACGTGGTCCTGCGCCTTGGCTTGGATCCTCGCTTGCCGAGCCGTTTCGTCGAGGTCGTCTTCTTCGTTGATCTCCCGTCGTAGATCTCTGAGCACATATTCCAATGGCTGACAGGGCTCGCCATGGGCGTCAACATCCATCTCTGACCCCTCTGCTACCGCCGGCTTCCACCCGTCGACTTCTTCCTTCATTCGCTTATCGTCCGGGATGCACGGGTCCAACCCCACCGACTTCCGAACCTTCGCCAGCTTCACGGCGCGCTCCATGACATAATCCCGGATGGTGTTTAAGTAGACTCTGGCGCTCTCGTGTTCGTCGATGGCGATCAAAACGTCATGCTCCATGCTCTCGCGGATCGTCTCGTCGTCGTACTTGATCTCCTCGTTCGTGACGAGATGTCGCCTGACATACTTACTCCGCTCCTCATCCAGTATCGCCTTGCTTAGCTTTTGGATCTCCCAAGGCAATAGCGACGTATCCGAGTTGCTCCACGTAATGCTCTGCGCATGATTCCACGTCCTGGTAAAGTCAACGGGCTTGGCGTCACCTTCCATATCCACGGGGTCGAGCCTGTCAGCCCCGTACTGAAACTGGACGATGCCCCCCTCCGACGTTCGAACCGTGTCGTCGTACTGTGTTGACAAATCTTCAAGTGATTTCATCAGTCGCCTGGACATGTAGCCTGTCTCGGCTGTCTTGACGGCCGTATCGACGAGACCTTCTCTGCCCGAGATAGCGTGGAAAAGAAACTCGGTCGGGACTAGCCCTGTGTAGAAGCTATTCCTCACGAACCCCTTAGACGGGGGCTGGCGCGCGTTCTTGTGAAAATGCGGCAGACTGCGGTCCTGGAACCCATCAGGCACACGCTTGCCGCCGATAATCTGCTGACCGACGCAGGCAACCATCTGGGCGACGTTAATGTCGGAACCCTTGGATCCTGATTTAGCCATGATCAGCGGAGCATTGTTTTTGCTCAAGTTCCCAACACAGTAGTTACCAGCCTGCTGCCGGACTTTGCTGAGAATACCAGAGATGGAGTTTTCGAGCGTCTCCTCGAGGTTGCATCCCGGAGCCTTCTCGAGCTTTCCTTGCCTATACGTCTCGATGAGATCATCACACTTGTTGTAGGCGTCCTCGACAAGTTGGGCTTTGTGACTCGTCAGGGACCCTGATGGCCACACATCCCCAACGCCAATGGAGAACCCCCGCAGTGACAAAGTTCTGGCGCAAAGCTTGGACAACCGGTTCATTGCAACCGCCGCATGGTCCGGCCCAAAATCACGGAGGATCACGTAAAATACTGAGTTCTTCTTGCCTCCTCCAACCGTTGCCTTGTCCATCCTCCCGCACATAACCTCCGAGTTGCGAACGACCAAAAACGCGTCGTCGATGTCCATGTCCGGGATTTGGCCATCCTTTTTCTTGAAAAAGACCTTGTTTTTCGCCTCGAGGTTTACCAGAACGGGGGATTCTTTGTTGGGGCGCATGAGTACGTTGAAGATCTGCTTGCCAGTCCAGAGGGCCCTGGGCTTGATGATGGCAGGTGGGGGGAGCTCGAGATGGGTGTCGCCCAAAAGCATTTGGGTACAGACGTAGGTGAACGATGCCCGGTCGAAGAATATATCCTTGCTGCTCAACAGGTAAGCCGCCGTGATGAAATCCTGCGTAGCGGCGATGATGGGCTCGCCGTTCTTGGGTGTGACGAGGTTGTGTTTAACGCCCATCAAGTTGATTGCTTCTGCCCGAGCCTCCTCCGTCTGCGGGACGTGCAGGTTCATTTCGTCTCCGTCGAAATCGGCGTTGTACGGGGTACACACACATTCGTTGAGACGGAACGTCCTCCAGGGTCGAATCTTGGCGAGATGGCTCATGATACTGAGCTTGTGCAAGGAAGGTTGCCGGTTGAAGAGCACAACGTCGTTGTCTTCCAGATGACGCTCGACAACATCACCGTGTTCTAAGTTATTTGCGTGTTTCTCGCGGAGGCTTTCATTGCCGATTTTCAGGTTGTATTTGGCTCCGTCCTTCTTGATGATTCCCTGGGCACCGGGCCAAATATTGGGCCCGGTGATGACACGCTCCCTCAGCTTCTCGATGTTGGCATGGTTTACCCGCTCAGGGTAGGTCAAGTTCTTGGCCACCAACTCTGGGACTGCCACCTGCTCAATGCTCAGGTTGGGGTCGGGTGAGATGACAGTCCGCCCAGAAAAGTCGACACGCTTGCCTGAGAGATTGCCACGGAACCGACCCTGCTTGCCCTTGAGACGCTGACAAAACCCACGGATAGGCTTTCCGAAACCGGGTTGGTAGAGGCCCGGTACGTCGCTGTTGACGTACATGCCCACTTGCAGCTGCAAGAATTCCCATTGCTCCATAATGACCGGCAACGCAACCCCCTTCTTCAACGATTCGCGCAAGTGGCCGGCGTAAAGGATGATTTCTGAAAGCTTGCTCGTAATGTCGTCCTCATTGCTGGCATTCTCCTGCGCGACGGACGGTCTGATGCAGATGGGCGGGGCCGGAAGGTATTGCCATAGGAACATATCGGGTCGACCCTCGGAAGGGTCTAATCCCAATAGCTCACAGTCGGTTTGGCTGATCGCTCTGAAGAGGTTCAGAACTTTTAGAGGATTTAAGTCCTCCATTGCCTTTCGAGTGTGCTTCTCCAGCTCCGGCGTGTACTTCTTGGCCTGGTTGAATGACGCATCGAACTCGACTTTGCTCTCGGGGGCAATCTTTTTCTGTGCCGTCGACTTATTGTAAGCCGAGAATTTGTCATGCACGAGCTTCATGACGCTCAGCTTCCGAATGACGCCTTGTATAGAGCCGCAGTGTGGGCACGTCCTCGCCTTTCTACACTGCTCGTTGATTCTCTTCAAAATTCCTGACCGCCTCAGGTTGTCGATCCCAGGGCGGCGCAGCTCTTTCAGGAACTGGCGACGTTCCGGTTCCTGCAATAAAATTTTGGCGCAGTCCTTGCAAATATTCTGTAATGTCGCTTGAATGTACCTAAGGTAGCCAATGTGGAAAACGGGCAACGGCAAGCGAACGTGGCCGAAATGGCCAGGGCATTCTTGCAACCCTAGATGGCATGTGCTACACTTGCTTTCGCGGTTCGTGCTCGAGGTCCCCTGTAGGTTTATTAGCTTCCACGGGAAAAAAATTAGAGGGCGCTTGAGCTGCTCACCAGGCGTGGATCGAGGGGTCCATGAGGGAACGCCGCTCGCCGGTTTTCCACATCGTATAGCAAGTTGTCGGAAACTTCGAGGACACCCTGGCTCACTATGTCCTGGTGGGATCTAAGTAATGACAACGAATGAGCCTACGGCACCGAAACGATCGAGCGGGGGACGCTCCGAAGGGGCACCTACTGAACTCCGAACTTTAGCGACTTGAAGCGCTTCGGGACCTGGTCAACCAGCTGCTCCTTGCGCCGGCGCGCTTTCTGTTCGGCACCCATGGCTCCTCCGCAAATATAATGGGAAGTTGCAAGTCAAGATCGCGAAATTTCCGTGACGCGCTCGATGTCGCTGTCCCTGCTACCTGCTCATGGCAGCGATGATTGTGTGACGAATGGGTTGTGGTCGAAGGATATTGGTATGGGACGCAGAGCCGAAAATTGTGATGAGCGTGTCTGCCGAATAAATTGTGTATCCGGTCTTCTTCTGTGGGTGGCGGAACGGCAGATTTGATGTCGTAATGCTAGCAGCAGGCAAAGAAAGTAAAAGTTCACGAACAATTTTTGGCGGCGGCGGGGCAGGCTGGACCAAATGACTCCAATTCCGAGGTCGTGCCCCACCAAGTCAGTGGAATGGATGCAACTTCATGCAGCACCCGCATCACGCCAAGGCGGATCCCGCTTTGGCTTGGCGTTGTTAAGCTCGGACCACATGTTCTGCCTGCCGGAAACGAACAACGGTCCCAAATCCCCACCAACCAGCAGCCACCGTGTCAGCACCATCCGTCATCGTTTGCTGGGAGCATATGTTCGCTCAAACCACCTGCAACTTCAAGAACCGACCCAAACCAAGACCACATCACCTGGCCAATGTAAATCTTTCTGTGCCTCACTTCTGAGACATTGTTGGTCAGATAAGATACCCGTGACAAATTCTGTCTTCTTAGACTCCAATTTTTCGACTTTCCCATCTGTCATCAAACGCTGTCTCCAGTGCTTCATCCAATATCACGTTTCCCCGCCAGCAGCGCCCCTCTCTCCGCGTCGCGCCGCTTTCAACGGCGAAGCCTCTGTGCCGCGAATTGGCGTTTTCGCTTCTTGCCCGTCCAGGGATTAACGATCCTCTAGCGTTGCATTATTCCTCAGTATTGGCGCCGCAATTTTCGTTGCGGATCAGTCCTTATTCCTTGTTGAGGAGGTCACATCTCCACCAGAACAGCTGTCAACTTTGGCAGGCAAGACGAATATCGAGACCTCCCTTCGGGTGGCCGCTTGGCCATACCGGAGTCATGCCGCCAGGGTCAGCCGAAAAGAAGGCAGAGAAGTCGTATCTCGCCTCAGCTGTCGACTCGATCAACCCCTGGGCCGGAAGTCGCAGTGCAACCCCAACACCAAAAGACCCTCAACCGGCAGCGGTCCCCTCAAATCCCGGGGACCATGTAACGAACCCGTTCTACGGCCAAAGCTTGGGGCGGTATCCGTCAGACTGTCCATCGTTGAAAGTGAAATGGTTCCATGCCGTTGATGTAAGTCCGCCGATTGCACGACGTGCGCCGGGGAGAATACTTACACCAACTTTGCCCAGATCCCGAAGCGCAAGCCAAAATTCATGTCGGCTAAGAACACCGAGGACCCCAAACCCACTCTACCCAAGAAGTTCGTCCCGTTTTCTGTCGAAGATTCCCGCGCCATCGAGATTGCATACCAGGGGAAGTTGCAGGACATAGAACGAGAAAGGGAGCAAAATAATGGGCCTAATGGTCCAGGAGCTGGGGCCAAACGGCCTCGCTCAGCTTCCACGGAAGGAATGCATGACGCCGACTCAACGGCTTCCCAAACCACCGTTCCAGTGAACGAGGATTTTCTGTTCGATGTTAATCTGGAGGAACGCGAACTTGCTCCCGTTTACTGGGAGGGTCCTGTGTACCATGTCCGACGCGGAAGCTGGTTTTACCAAGAGGGCTCAGCCCTCCGCCCCTGTGAAGAAAACCTGGCTGCCCAGTTGGAGGAGGGCTATCTCAAAACCAAACCATGGCAGCATCTACCGAGGAGACGGAGCGACTCCGCATCCAAAACCGTTGCTGCGAAAACTTCGGCGGGTAACTTGAATGCTATTGACGACGCTGAAAAGGGTGTCCCTAAGAAGGAGCCTACTCAGCAGCAGCAACCACAAACTTACCGCCTCTTTGGAGGCTACATGAACAGTGTGGTGACATACCAAGACTCGAATACGGCCTGGCTGTCATCCGACAGTATGTTGTCCTGGGTGACATCAACCATGTATGAGAGGTTCGCAGGCGGTGGCTACATGGGCGGTGTCAAGCTTGTCCGTGGATACACCGAGCCGAAAAGTTCCAAGGAAGAAAAACGACCATCGACTCCAGAAGGTACAAAGGCGACGTCTAAAGAGCGTGACGACAAAACGTCCAGAGCGTTGAAGAGGCGGTCCGCACCCCCTTCCAGCACAGTATCGGAGGCGGGCGATCCAAAAGAGGACGTTCATGACGATCTCCAGAGCACCCGAAACCGTCTGACACGACAGCTTTCGAACTTGATAGAGAGAGCCGAGGACCCTGAAGCGGAGGAAGAGGCAATCCGTGAGCGCGAAGAAGAAGAGATTTCGGGAGACTACAACACCAGAGTCGACGACAACCAAGGGCGAGACATTGAACACCTTGTGCTTGTTACTCACGGCATTGGGCAACTGCTTTCGCGCAGGTATGCATCTGCCCCCAGTCTCTGGGCCGATCTGCAGCTAACCGAACTACAGGATGGAGAGTATAAATTTTGTGCATGATGTCAACATGTTCCGCAAGACCATGAAATCGGTCTACTCGGCTTCGGCAGACTTACGGGCATTGAACTCGGAGATCAACGAACCTGGACTTGGGAACTCCCGCGTCCAGGTTTTACCTGTCAACTGGCGTCATCTTCTCGACTTTCCAAAGCGCAAGCCGAAACGGGGGGAGCGGGATCTGGGGGAATTACACGATGAAGAAGACGACTGTGAGTGCATCGGAAATACGCCACACGCCTCGCATGACAGCTAACCTATCCATAGATCCTTCCCTAGAAGATATCACGATCGAGGGAGTCGCATTTGCAAGATCACTCATATCGGATCTCGCCTTAGACGTGCTCCTCTACCAGAGTGCTTACCGGGAGCAGATTGTCGAGATCGTGCTACGAGAGTCAAACCGTATCTACAAGATCTTCAAGGAACGCAACCCGGAGTTCAACGGAAAAGTCCACATCGTGGGCCACTCGCTAGGCTCTGCAATCATGTTCGACATCCTCTGCCGGCAGAAGGAGAAGTCCCCGGCCACGGGGTCGCCAAGGAACCCTCTTCGGTTCTGGCCTGCCTCTCCAGATCAATACGAGTCAAAGGAGCAGAAGGAGCTGGCTTTTGAGTTTGAAGTAGACGACTTCTACTGTCTGGGTTCTCCCATCGGGTTATTTCAGATGCTCAAAGGCCGTACCATCTCCGCCCGGGATCTGCCTAACGCCCTCCCATCGGAGAGTCCCCTCAACCCAGACTACATGGACGACCCTTTCCTAGACCTCCCTTCCCAAGCGTACGCCAACCAACGACTCTCGCCCATCACCGGCCTGCCCTTCAACGTATCGTCCCCCAAAGTCGGCCAGCTCTTCAATGTCTTTCATCCTTCTGACCCGATATCGTACCGCCTCGAACCCCTTATCTCTCCTATCATGACAACGCTCAAACCCCAGGCCTTACCGTACACGAAGAAGTGGATCTTTGGGTCCGTCGCACCTCAGGGCCTGACCGGCATTGGGGCCAAAGTAGGCCAGAGCGTTTCCGGCCTCTGGAGCAGCCTCAGCGCGGGAATTGCCAGCAACCTACTCAACCGCAGCCTCGGTCTCAGCAACGAGGACGTGGCCAGGATCACGGCGTCTCAACAGCAGCAGCAGCAACAGCAGCAACACCCGTCAAGCCCTGGCGCAGGGACGAACATATCTGCGGGGGTGATCGCGGACGGTACCGCCCTCTCTGAAGCAGAGCGCAGCGAAAAGACGGCGGAGCGTATGCGCAAGTTAGCCACTGGCGCAGCAAATGGTGGCGGCGCGGGCGCGCTGATTGACGACGAATTGGAAACGCTATTTAGTACATTCCAAAAAAGCCGCGCTGATATGGCAAGCAACAAAGATGGTAGTAAAGAGTCAGAGAAGGGCGCTGCTACTGTGGCGGAATCCTTAACGCTCAACCGAGAGAAGTGGATGGAAGAGGAGCGTAAAGCGCAGAGGATGAGGAGGGAGGAGACGAAGATCAGGGCGCTGAACCGGAACGGGAGGGTGGATTATTGCATCCAAGAGTAAGTCCTTGCGTTCATGCTTTCTTTGAGCCCGATTGTTGGCTAACTGGCATTAGGAGTGTGCTCGACTTCAACCCGATCAACACGATCGCTTCACACATGAGCTATTGGGCGGATGAGGATGTCAGTCATTTCATGCTGTCGCAGATGTTGGCAAGCAAGGCGCAGAACTCGAGGGGTTGATTTCCTGGTGTTGGTGGTAACATAGAAGGTTTAGACGGGGCGAGTCTCGAGTCATGGCGTTGTCCGGGGACGGGACGCCAGGCTTACATTGTGAGTTTATAGAGCGTTAGATACCAGCCCAACATGGGTGTTGCTTCTTTATTTAGTCGCTGTATCTCGGGTCCCCGTTGCGCCGCCGTAGGCTAAGACCTGCCACGCCGAATTCCCTCCCCCGCCGAATTCCCTCCCCTTTCTTTTCTCTATCCTCCATTTGCCAACCCCCTTTTACTTTTAGTTAAACAACCCCCCCTTCAACCAACCTCGCCCAAGGCTGCCCCAGCTCCAAACACACATCCCCCGCCGTCCTCCCAGCCTCATCCCTCACAAACCTCACATCCTCGCCCCCCTCCCCGCCCGCCCCATCCACCCGCCTCGGCAACCCCATCGCCAGCGCAACCTGCACCACCGCCTCGGGAAAATCCTCCCGCCTCGCCCCGCTCCCGAGCCACAGCACCAACCACACCACCTCCTCCTGCCGCGCCTCCAGCGCCACGTGCAGCGCGCTCCGCCCGCCGTTGAGCGGGTCCCGCCAGGTCAGTAGCTGGGACGACGACAGTGCCTGGTCCCCGCCCTCGCCCTCACCAGCCTCACCACCCTCCTCGTCGCCGTCGTCCTCGTCCTCGTCCCGCATGTCGGCGTCCGTCAGCAGGTTCACCATCCCCTGCACCTCGCCCTCCGCCGCCAGCGTGTGCAGCGCCCGCGCTGGCCGCGCCTCGGGGTGCGCGTCGAGGAAGGTCTCCTCGGTCAGGAAGGGGTAGATGTCTAGGGACGGCTGGATACCGCCTTCGTTGGTGTAGTGCGTGAGGATGACTGGGTTGGTTGATGTGGGCGGTGGTGCTGAGGCCGAGGAGGAGGATCCCCCGCCGGTGGGGGCGTTGGAGGGGAGGTGGCGGTTGCAGGATGGGCAGGTCAGGGTGCTGGTTATGGTGGAGGAGAAGTTGAGGAGGCATTGCCAGTGGAAGTGGCAGCCGCAGGGCAGGAGGACGTCATCGGGGACGGTCTCCTCGGAGTCCTCGGCGCCGGAGTCCTCTGGGTCTAGGGTTAGGCTGAGAGGGTCATGACAGGCTTTGCAGGTTTCTGTCATGTTGGGCGGGGGGTGAAAACTAAGGCCGGGGGAGATGTCAAATTGGGAGTATCAAATCCACGGGGACTCTTCCAATCTGTCGAGGATGTCAGTCGTTGCCTAAAAATAATGTAAAGGGCAACGCGACCTCTAGACCTCATGGGACTTACGTACGGCCCGTAATTATTGAATATCCTTGGTAGGGAACTTTGTTTCACTCAATTAGGCATTAAAGTTGCTCCCAGGTTGTTGAAGCTATCCACACAATGTCAACCCAAAGGAAGGAAATAAATTTCAGTTGCGAATGTTAATGGTGTACCTTGTTCCACCGGTGGATTCCGATGGAAACTCACTGAAATCATGCCAAGAGCAAGTGACCAGTTAACAATGACTCCTGTTGAAGATTGGGGGATGCCTGAAGGTTGATTGGGCGGTTACGCAATCCTGCTGGGGCTTGGTTTGACACCCTGGTCGGATTACATCAGTTTCCTGGAGGAGGGAGCCCCTCCACCCCCTCCAACCCAACTCGGATGAACAAGCGCAGCAGCCTCCTGGAGAGACAAAAGGGCGAGATTCCGGCTGCCATTTCCCGCTGACTCTCTTTTTGTTTGCTTCACCTTGAGCACCAGACCTATCCACAACGAAATACCCCCCATTGCCGAGTTGCGCTGGGGGCCATTATTGCCGCGCATCGCCAGATCATCTGCACAATAGCTCTGCGAAATCGCGCCCGTCATGAACGTCCTTAAGCTCCAGAGGTAAGGCTTGCGCTGCTCGACAGCAATTCGTATGCCGCGCTTTTTCTACCTGCCCGGTTCTGACATCTCTACGCAGGAAATTTCCTCAATTCCAACAGAACGATATCTTTTCCCTCGCCGACGCCTTCCGTAAGCTCGATGTTGACGACAAGGGGTACATTGACGAGGCTACCGCCATCAAAGCCACGCAAACAAGCGAGCGTCAGCCCTACGATGTGGTCCGTCAGGCGCTAAAAGATGTTGAGCTTGATTCTTCCAGGCGAGTCGAGCTAGAAGACTACGTCGGGGTACGTCTACATCCTGCCGATCCCCAAGCTTCACGACCTGCTAGGTTGAACACGTTTCTACAAAGTCCGAAACGACTGACTTGACTCCCAGCTTGTTGCCAAGCTTCGCGACTCTCCGGCGGGCTCCGGGGGTGTTTCCGCCGCCGCCGCCGCTTCACCCGCCGCCGTCATCTCCCAGCGAACCGGTGGCGGCCACTCTTCCAAAGGCAGCATCGGCGGCAGCGGCAAGATCTTCGTGCAAGGGTCGAACTCTAACATCACTCACACCATCAACGAAGATGAGCGCACTGAATTCACCCGTCACATCAATGCAGTTCTCGCAGGTGACCCCGACATTGGCGCCCGGTTGCCGTTCCCGACAGACACGTTCGAGATGTTCGACGAGTGCAAGGACGGTCTCGTGCTCGCCAAGCTCATCAACGACAGCGTCCCGGACACGATCGATGAGCGTGTGCTCAACATTCCCGGGAAGAAGATCAAGTCCCTCAATGCCTTCCATATGAGCGAAAACAACAACATCGTCATTGAGTCGGCCAAGGGTATCGGCTGTTCAGTGGTCAATATTGGCAGTGGGGATATCATCGAGGTCCGGGAGCATCTCATCCTTGGACTAATCTGGCAGATCATCCGCCGCGGTCTCCTGGGCAAAATTGACATCAAGCTGCACCCCGAGCTTTACCGGCTTCTCGAAGAGGACGAGACTCTGGAGCAGTTCCTGCGCCTTCCCCCAGAGCAGATCCTCCTCCGGTGGTTCAACTACCACCTCAAGGCCGCCAACTGGCCAAGAAGGGTGCAGAATTTCTCCTCCGATGTGAAAGACGCCGAAAACTACACCGTCTTGTTGGCACAGATTGGGCACGAGTACGGTTGCACTCGGGGCCCTCTGCAAACCCGGGACCTGCACCAACGAGCGGAAGAGGTACTCCAAAATGCCGATAAGCTAGGGTGCCGGAAGTTTTTGTCTCCCTCGTCGCTCGTGGCCGGCAATCCCAAGCTCAACCTCGCGTTCGTTGCCAACCTCTTCAACACACACCCCGCCCTCGACCCCATCACCGAAGAGGAGAAGATCGAGGTAGAAGACTTTGACGCGGAAGGCGAGCGCGAGGCCCGCGTGTTCACGCTGTGGCTCAACAGCTTGGATGTGCAGCCAGCCGTCCAGTCCTTCTTCGACGACCTTTGCGACGGCACCATCCTGATGCAGGCGTACGACAAGGTTATCAAGGGCTCGGTCAACTGGCGGTGCGTCAACAAGCGGCCGGCGCACGGTGGCGAAATGTCGCGGTTCAAGGCGGTCGAGAACACAAACTATGCTATCGAGCTCGGCAAGCAGAACGGCTTCTCGCTGGTTGGCATCCAGGGTGCCGATATCACAGACGGGCAGCGCAAGCTCACCCTGGGCCTGGTCTGGCAATTGATGCGCAAGGACATCACCCTAACTCTCAAGGGCCTGGCGCAGCGCCTCGGCAAGCGCGAGATCACCGACGCCGAGATGGTCCGTTGGGCAAACGACATGAGCCGCAAGGGCGGCCGCAACTCGAGCATCCGCTCTTTCAAGGACCCAGCTATCGGCACGGGCATTTTCTTGCTGGATGTGCTCAGCGGTATGAAGAGCAGCTATGTTGACTACGACCTGGTGACGGATGGCCGCACCGACGAGGACGCCTACTTGAATGCTAAGCTGAGCATTAGCATTGCGAGAAAGATGGGGGCGACCATCTGGCTGGTGCCTGAGGATATCTGCCAGGTTCGCGCCCGTTTGGTGACGACGTTTATTGGTGAGTCCAACCTATTTCCATGGTGATTGAGAATGAGAAGCTGACAATTTCGCAGGGTCGTTGATGGCGACGCATGAGAAGATGCAGTAGGTGGCGTAACAAGGTTTGGTAGACAGGGGCGGCAGGTTGGTTCCAGGAAAAGCTGAATGCGAAATGGGGCTCATGATTCTTCTCCCCATCTATGGGTGTGTTCCAGCAAGTTGATTTCCTTGTACAGTCGAATCCTTGAGGCAGTGGTGCCGCCAATTCAGGGTTACCTTGTATTTCAACCCGTCGTTTCAACAAACGGACTTGTGGTGTTCGTTGTGTTTGCTATGCGAATTTACTCCTTTGGGTCACTTTTCATTGCCTTCTGTCCTCTCTGTAAAGATCACGGATTCACCGAAGACAGTCGAACAATTGCTATTTTAAGCAAATGATAAAAAATTCTAATAGTTCACTGTCCCTGGTCTGACATATCGCCCCCCCAAGGATTCTTCAGCCTTGAACGCCTGAACGCCTCTGGGACTTGCAGTCCTCAGGGTTCACAGTGGGCCCCTGAAAAGGGCGGTGATGGACGGCAGTATGGATGTTCCCTGTCAACCCCGCCACCCCTCGCAACTGTGTGTCGGTTGCCCCACCAAATGTTTTGAGTCAACGGTTCTGGGGCCACCTTTTTTAACCGGGTGAGTCCGACTTGCAAGAGAATTGTGCTCGACAATCACCTTACATTCTTTGCAGAAAGGCAGGACACAATGGCGGCCGCGGACTCAGACAAGCGACTCGCTCTCATCAAGGAGAACCTCGCTGAGGTGTTGAACGAGGAGATCATCAAGAAGATTCTCGATGAGGGGCAACATCCCAAGATCTACTGGGGTACGTGACAGGTGTTGTTAGACCAGTCCTCCTCCCCAACAGACAATATTGACAGTCCGCGCCCAGGAACCGCAACAACAGGCCGTCCACACTGTGGCTACTTCGTCCCCGCCATCAAGATCGCCCAGTTCCTCGCCGCCGGCTGCGACGTGACCATCCTCCTCGCCGACATCCATGGCTTCCTCGACAACCTCAAGGCGCCCCTAGAGCTGGTCATGCACCGTGCCGAGTTCTACCGCCACATCATCATCGCGACGCTCCAGGCCATTGGCGTGTCGACGGAGAAGCTTCGGGTCGTGCTCGGCAGCTCGTACCAGAAGAGCCCCGAGTACGTCATGGACGTGTATAAGATGGCGTCGCTCATCTCGGAGCACGACGCGAAGAAGGCCGGCGCCGAAGTGGTCAAGCAGACGGACAACGCGCCCATGAGCGGCCTGCTGTACCCCATCTTGCAGGTGCTGGATGAGCAGTACCTGGACTGTGACGCGCAGTTCGGCGGCATGGACCAGCGGAAGCTGTTCACCGCCGCCAAGGATTGGCTGCCCAAGCTGGGCTACCGGGAGCGTGCCCATCTGCTGAACCCCATGGTTCCTGGGTTGCACGGCGGCAAGATGAGCTCGAGTGACCCCGACAGCAAGATTGATCTGCTTGATACGCCGGAGACGGTTGCCAAGAAGATCAAGAAGGCGCATGCCGCGCCGCAAGTTGTCGAGGATAACGGTCTAATCTCTTTTATTGAGTTCGTTTTGCTACCTGCGGCGCGCCTCCGTGGGAATGGGGAGTTCCGCGTCGAGCGTGAGCGGGATGGGTTGGAGCCGCTCGTTTACACTGAGGCAGAGAAGATTTGTGAGGATTACAAGAACGATGTGGTAAGTTCTCGTTGTCCGTGTTCGTATGTATGCAGTAACTAACCCAGTCACAGTTGACGCCACAACTCCTTAAACCCGCTATTGCGAAGGCGCTCAGCGCACTCTTAGCCCCCATTCAAGAGGCATTCCAAGCTTCCAAGGAGTGGCAAGAGATCGCCGAGAAGGCCTACCCACCACCCCCGAAAAAGGAGAAGAAGGTCAAGAATAAGGGGACACGTTACCCTGGGGGTTCTGAGCAGGCTGGGAGCAAAGACAAGGAACTGCCTGTCCGGCCAAGTGAGCAGACCCCTAACTAGGTAATATGCCGAATGGTATGCTATGATACCCGGGCTGCTAAGTCCCGAGAGATGGAATTCTCCTAGGGCACACGTATGGTGATGTCTGAGACGCGGCGCAACAATTGAGTGCGGATGGGCTTGGTTCTAGTATTTGAAAGGCCGGGCCATGGAAGTGGGCTAAGCCTCACCAGGCTTCGGGATACTGTGTTTTTTTCGACATCTGCCATAGAGCGTCTTCATACCCCGCCAGTTAGCCAAGATGCCTGTTCTAACGGGGCATTCAAAGACTTTAAGAACCCACAATAGTTGTCCTCAACGTACCCCTAGTGACGTCAGGGGGCAACATTCTCCTTACTCAACCCCAACCCTTCTCGGTTCTTTTGGAGAATGCTGTTCTTTGCCTACTCGGAGTTTCGACTTCTTGATTCTCCGATCCCGACTCGCTGCTTCAATAAGTCAATCCCGTTAGGTTGCTTACACGTTGCCACTAAATCGGTGTTCGGGCTTTACACGTGTTCCGAATCTCTCGAAGATCAACAAACCGACATCCGCCACCCTTTGCTGTCGTTTCTTGTCTTTCGTAATGATGGAGCGTTTCGATCCGCTAAATCCGGCAGTGAAAGGGATTACTGTGGCTGGCTCATCAATGTAACATGAACCAATGTCAGACGGTAAAATGTCTTTGAGGCTCACTCCTCCAGTGAACGTCTGGTTTGAACACTCGTCAGATCAACACCATAAACGAGACAATTGCATCAATTTGCGCCATTTAGACGCCCAATCATTGCGCCAGACTGTACCAGTAACGCATTGATGGTTGCAGTCGATTGTTCGCCGGGACTCTTCGCCGCTCTTCAAACGCCCACCTACCATGGGCCGGACAGGGGAACAGCGCGCTAACGGCGCCGGGTCCGAGGCCGGGGCCGGGGCCGGATCCACCAACGGTACGAATGCCGGCACGGCTCCGGCGAACGGCCATGGATTCCCGTTTCCATCAGCTGGAACCCCTTCCGCGTTACAAGCCCTCCTTCCAGAAGTTGAGGGGCTAGAAGTACTCGGCCGGGATCCCGAGACCACAAGCCACAATGGACACCACGACTCCTCGGGTAGCTCGCCCAATGGCGCCACCGTGAGAAGACGGAGGATACCAGAAGCCGGCCCCCTAGAAGACGCAGCAGCAACAACACCACCATCACCGCCGCCATCCACCTCCCTAACCCCCTCCCCCAACAACAAGACCAGAACCACCACCACCAAAAAGAAATTCACCACCCCCGTCTTCACGCACGCCTTCTCCACCTTCGACCGGCAGAACCCGCATGCCGCCAACTCGCCCTTCCACGGCTTCTTCACGCTGTTCTGGATGGCCGTGTTCCTGTTCGTGGTCAAGATCGCCGCCGACAACTGGCGCCGCCACGGCAGCATCCTGGGCACCAACGAGATTATGCGGGGGATGTTTGGCTGCAAGCGCGAGGTGGTGGTGTTGTTGGTGGCGGATGGGGTTATGTGTGGGCTTACCGGGGTCGGGTGGGTGTTGCAGAGTGTGGTGGTGGGGAGGGGGTGGGTGGATTGGGATCGGGGGGGTTGGGTGGTGCAGAATGTGAGTTTGTTTTGTTTTGTGTTGGGGATTGTTTTGGTTGGTTGGTTGGTTGGTTGTTGGATCCTTTGTTGATACGCTTCTTCTGCTTTTCTTCGACCGTTGTCCTTGGGCCTGGGCCGGGCCTTGTTGCTGGCCACTTGGGGAGGGTTGGGAAAGAATGCTAATTGTGTGATACCGGTGTAGATCTGGCAGACGGCGTTCATTGGCGGCGTGGTCGGGTTCACGAGATTGAGAGACTGGCCGTGGACGCATACCGTGTTTTTTGTGCTGCATGGCCTGGTCATGCTCATGAAGCAGCACTCATATGCGTTTTACAACGGGCATCTGAGCTCCGTGTACAAGCAGCGTAAGTTGTTGTTGGCTAAGATCAAGGAGCTTGAACGGATCTCGCCGGTCACGTCCCCGTCAACGACTGGGCCGCCCGCGGCGGATATCGACACGGCACATCTCGCCAGGGTCCCGTCCGCGAGGGAGAGGCGGCAGTCCCTGCCACATGAAAACGTTTTGGATATTGGGCGGATTGTGGCGGCCATCGACTCGCGCGAACCGCTCGATGGGGAGCAGGTGCATGTCTTTGAGCGGGTGCTGAAATGGGAGGTGGATGCGCTGTCGGATGAGCTTAGGGGCAAGTCGACAAAACCAGGCCGCGAGTACCCCAACAACCTGACTCTGTGCAGCCACTACGAGTACGTTGTCCTGCCGACGGTGGTTTACGAGCTCGAGTACCCGCGCTCCGAGTCTATCAACTGGTACTATGTCGCCGAAAAGGCCGCGGCGTGCTTCGGTATCATTTTTGTCATGATCATGATCTCGCAGGCTTTCATCTACCCCGTCGTCATGACCACGGTGCGCATGAAGGAGGAGGGCGTTCCGTTGGCCGGCCGGTTCCGCGAGTTCCCTTGGATGCTGCTGGACCTGGTTTTCCCCTTCTTGATGGAGTACCTGCTGACCTGGTACCTCATTTGGGAGACCATCCTCAACTTCCTGGCGGAGCTGACCTACTTTGCGGACCGCAGCTTCTACGACGCGTGGTGGAATTGTGTCTCGTGGGACCAGTTCGCGCGGGACTGGAACCGCCCTGTGCATAATTTCCTGCTAAGGCATGTCTATCACAGTTCCATCTCGGCCATGAAGGTCGACAAACACACGGCCACGCTCATCACCTTTTTCTTGTCGGCCTGTGTACACGAGCTGGTTATGTGGTGCATCTTCAAGAAGCTGAGGGGTTACCTGCTAGTTTTGCAGATGTGCCAGCTGCCGGTGAGTTGTTGCAGAGAGGATTTGTTAGCGTTGTTATCAAGGTGCTAAGCTAACTCGGTGTAAAACAGCTGGTAAGGCTCAGCCGGACGAAATGGCTCCGGAACCGGGCAACGCTGGGAAATGTGATCTTCTGGTTGGGTATTTTCACGGGACCCAGTGTCCTTTGTAGTCTGTACCTGATCTTGTGATTGGGAGCTTGGGAGCTTGGGACTTGGAAAAATGTGCGATACTAGGTGAATAGAGATGTAATTAGCATAATAACCCAGATCATACGTTTAGTTAATTGGGTGCTAACAGTCTGGAGTTGTCGATTATCTCGTGTTCCAAATTCGAACTCGAACCAAAACGAGTTCAATCAAGGTCGTTTTTTTGGCTCAAAGACTCGGTCGGGCAACTGGCTGCAGTTATCCTGCCAAGCCTGCGAAAAGCGACTCGCCTGCATTTCTTGGCATGAACACGCGGTAACATAAAGTGGGGCTCTTAGGCCTAGGCTTCTTTTGGGACCTGCCATTCCACTTTCTCCTGAACATTCCACCTCTCACCTCCGTCAACCTCTTCGGAAATCCATCAAACCATCATTGAGTGGTGGCTCTTCTTGGTTGTTCTTTGCCTGCCAACCATTGCCATTGTCTAATCTGGTGGCAAAACTCGTCCTGTTTTCGGGGAAACTGCACAGAGATTAAGGTGCCTAATTACAGCGTCGCGCTCAGTTGAGATCGGTTTTCTTCAGGCAACCGCTGCCACTTTTCCATCAATCATCAACCCATCATGTCTCGCAACGGAACCACCCTTTACGTGTCCGGCTTCAGCCACGGCACTCGCGCGCGCGACCTTGCGTACGAATTCGAGCGGTACGTTTAACACCACACGGCGATGGCTCGATCACCAACCTCGAGCTCGATCCTCGATTACCTTCCTCTTACCGTCCTCCCCCTGCTACGTCCCCCTCCTCGTCGTCGCGCTCCCTCGCCCACCTCCCTTCCATACATCCTCGCCGCCGTCGCTCCCATCACTCTGCGCCCGGTGATTCGCTCGAGGTTCCGGATCTCGTGCCCTCGCCCCCCCCTCCTCCTTTCGATCGAGCGGCCGGCGAAGATATCACAAGAACTTATCTGTTGCATCGGGCGAGCAACCTGCCATGAGCAGCATATATTTTGGAGTTTGACCGCGCGCGGCCAGCAGAGAAACCTCCTTAGCATCCCGCGATATTTGCCAACGTGCTGACAATGGGAATTTATCTAGCTACGGCCGTCTGGTTCGCTGTGATATCCCGGCTCCGCGGTCCGCCAGCAGCAGGCTGTAAGTGGCGCCCATTGATTGTTTTTGCGGTAACAACAGCGCCCCTAACCGTTGCTTGCAGGTTTGCTTTCGTGGAGTACGAGGATCGCCGCGATGCGGACGACGCGTATCATGATATGCACAACAAGCGCATCGGTCGCGACGATGTGCTGAAGATTGAGGTATGCCTTGGACGTCACCGCCTATTCAACTAGACTCCAGTGTATTGATTCCCTCTAGTGGGCTCGTACCCCGCCTTCCGCTTCGTGGCGGTTCGACCGCAGTGAACGGGAGCGTGGACCGCGCCGCTCTTCCCCGCGCCGCCGGTCGCCCAGCCCGCGTCGTCGCGACTACTCGCCTAGGAAGGATGATCGCCGTGACCGCGACCGGGACCGTGACTACGACCGTGATCGCCGCGACACCCGTGACCGCTCGCGCAGCCCTGATCGGTATGTATCATTCTGCCCCGTACCACCACCACTAACATGCTGATACCGGCCTCAGCGATCGGGACCGTGACACCAAGGACGACCGTGACCGTGACGAGCGCGACCGTCGCGAGAACGGCGCGAATGGGGACGACAGGAAGCGTATGTTTTCTCTAGTTATTCGCACCCACCACAAAGCAGGCGATATCTGATATCTGACACAATGCAGCCATCGACAGCCCCGATCGGCCGGCCCACGACGACCTCGATGTCGCCGAATGAACGCGTTTTCATCGGGAAACCCCTTCTTAATCGCGATTCCTTCAGGGTTCTGGCTGTAAGACTGTTACTGCACTTTCGGCGTTCTCTTTCCTCCTGTGGTGGATTACTGATGTTGGACGTCTCTTGGGGCGTTCAACCTTCTCAAGCTCGTTACCTCTGTTCCCACTTTTGCGTCGGCCCAAAATGCGATAATTGGACCTTCCAATCCGCCCCAATTCCGAAAATATAGGAGGGACATCCGCGACGACCATTTCTGGAGACAGTAGGATGTACCTAGCCTTACGCATGCGATCGTTCATCTCCTTACGTTCTGCTGGAGTCGGTGGGGAGTTAAAATAGACACTGTTCCGAGTAGGTAGTTGCAATGCAGGTTGGTTTCTCAACACTGTCCTCGTGATAACCCCAACCTTGCATTCAGGTCTCGTGAGCATTCGATTTTGAGTCGCTCAAGGCTAGGAGCTTGGCATGACAACACCGACGGCGACACCGAGCCTACTCTGAAAGCGTGCGAAACAGTCCAATCCCCCTAAGGATCCCTGATGGCAACTCAATCCCATGATCTCTCAGCCGGGTTGTGTACTCCCGTTCCCTATTCGATGGTTCCGAGTTTCGAAGGAGTTGATGCCGTGACAGAGACGGGAGCTTCCTGCAACAAACAGGCACATACCACCCGAGCGGGACCAACTCCGTCGGCTATTGGCGGCAATACGTGCACGTCAAGACTCACAATGATCTGACTCGTTGACCACCCACCAGCAGCATTGGTGCCCTCGATGCATGTTACCGACAAGCCCGCCTCGCATGTACAAATGGATAAGGAGCATATGGGCTGCCAGGTACCCATGACACTTGTCAGAATACGACTCGCTGCTTCGCAGGGCACAGTGCTTCGGTGACCTGGCGGAGCGTCAGTCGCTGCGGCGAGACACCCCATGGGCAAAAAAAGCCGACTCAGGATAGGTGTCGACGAAACCTTGGAGAAGAACGACAAGAAGGCCATTCGGATGCCCATAGTCTACTTTTTCCTTTACTCGATTTCTTTACTTGATTTACTTTGCTCGGTTCCCTTGACCTCTTTTCCCCTTCTTGATTTCTTTTACTTTTGTTTATTTTCTTGATTTTTTAATCCCATTTCGAGTTCCCGTCGGCTTTTTTTTTTGGCCAGAGGGAGCTCCCTAGGTCGCTTCTTAGGTCCACCTGCTGATCGACAGCAAGTCATCGATCGGTACCTTGCACTGGACCCTCTTCCAAGGACGCACATCAGAAGCTGCCAAGTGGACGATATCAGAACCGCTGGGACAAAGGAGACTGGTCAAGTCAAGCCAATTGCCCCATTGTCTTCGTCTGCAAGGGCCCCGAAGGTGTCCAGCGGGTGCTCTGATGCCTAAGGAGCAAGTAGTCATTGAGCGCGGCCATTTTTAGTTACCGGCGCTGAGCCGTGAGGTGGCTTGGCACCTTTGCCTTGCTACCCTATTTCGTCATCTGGGCCCGGCGCTGAGCCGGCCCACAGCGACGAACCAATCTCCACTGACCACACGGTCCTCTTCAAAAGCGCAGTCTCAGCATCTTCCTTAGCAAATCTCCAAACCGAAATTGCATTGCGCTCTCCTATCGCCGTCGCTGTGACTGCCATTCCCGAAGTGCCTCCTGAAAACCATAGAAACAGACCTTGGACAGCTTACCACTCCCGAAAACGAGCACGCCGCCACCTATGCGACCCGAGGAACCAACAGCGGCTCGTTCTCCCGACATGTCAGCCTTGCAACCATAACCTGAACCCCTCGACGTCCCATCTTATTGCCCCTGACCGACCGCCACCCGTTTCCTCCGTGACGGCCACGAACCTTTGGAGATCAGTGCCAACCGGCCTGCTGTTGAACGCCCAGCTTCATATCCAACCTCTGTTGCTCAATCCCTCATAATGTCCGCCGTATGTATCCCTTGTCTCAGCCTCCGCGGGGTTGTCTCTCAGCACGGCATCCCCTCCCCCCCCTTGAGCTTTGTTGGGAGGACATCGCAACAACGGTCATGTATACTAACACCATGCCCCCCCATAGGGACGGCCTACACAGTCCAAGCCCCGGCCAGAGCCCGGGCCCTCGACCTCGACGTCGTCACCCCCCCCGCTACCCCCCGACAAGCTGACCGCCGCCGACCAATTCCTCACCACCATCTCCCAGCCCGTAGTTGCGGCCTTCTGTGCCGGCGGCGTCGCGGGCGCCGTGTCCCGCACCGTGGTGTCGCCCGCTCGAGCGCCTCAAAATCCTCTTCCAGATCCAGAGCGCGGGGCGCGATGCCTACAAGCTCAGCGTGGGCAAGGGGGCTTGCTCAAGATGTTGGAAGGAGGAGGGCTGGCGCGGGGTTCATGCGCGGCAACGGCACCAATTGCATACGTATCGTGCCGTACTCGGCCGTGCAGTTTGGGAGTTACAATTTCTATAAAAGAGTGCGTAGCCTCTGGAGCTTATCGCCAATAGGGGCATATATCTGGTTTCGGAAGGCTCATTTTCTTGGCTGCAGCAGTTCTTCGAGCGACACCCCGGGGACAGCCTCACGCCATTAGCGCTCCTTACTTGCGGCGGGATTGCCGGCATCACCTCCGTCACCTTTACGTACCCGCTCGACATCGTGCGCACGCGCCTCTCGATCCAATCGGCGTCGTTTGCAGAACTCGGCGAGAAACCGACCAAGCTTCCGGGCATGTGGCAGACCATGGGTACCATGTACAAAACGGAGGGGGGTATCAAAGCGTTGTATCGAGGCATTATTCCTACGGTGACGGGTGTTGCGCCATACGTACGTCATAACTTTCGAGAGGTGACTCGGTGACATCACGCTAATCCGTGGCACAGGTCGGCTTGAACTTTATGACATACGAGTTTGTCAGACAATACCTAACACTGGAAGGCGATCAAAACCCCAGTGCCCTCCGGAAACTAGCCGCGGGTGCCATCTCCGGCGCGGTGGCGCAAACATGCACATACCCATTGTAAGTTTGGCGCCGACGGACTTGAGATCCAGGGGCGGGCTGCTGACCGAAGTAGTGACGTTCTCCGACGGCGATTCCAAATCAACACCATGTCCGGCATGGGCTATCAATACAAATCCCTGCTAGACGCTGTCCGCGTCATCGTCACCCAAGAAGGCATCAAGGGTCTTTACAAGGGTATCATCCCGAACCTCCTCAAGGTGGCACCGAGTATGGCGTCTAGCTGGCTGAGCTTTGAGCTCTGCCGCGACTTCCTCGTGAGCCTGAAGCCCGAAGAGGAGCCGCTTTTGCAGTAATCCTTCACCGATATGTGAGTCTTGTTATCTTGGTTCAAAAACACCATCACTAACCCCATGCGCAGCCTAAACCACGAAGAGTTGATCGATCAAGGCAACTTTTTCCGTTCCTCTAGATGCGCCACTAATAACCCTAGTTGTACATACACACCAAACATCACTTCCCTTACTCCAGATCTTGGCTCCCTAGACTTGTGGACAACAACCGGGATGAATTTCGAGCCACATTCCTACTTGGCCGCTTACATGAAAGGCGGCAGGGAGAAAGTGTAGCCGGGGTTCTTGCCCCGGAAGATGCTCAGGAGGAGGCTATACACAACGAAGAGGATACCGAACCAGGCGAGGAAGGCAATGCCCTGGTTCCTGGGGTCGGTCATCCGAGGCACTTTGATAGCCAAGGAAATGCTGGAAAGCGCAAGTATACCATCTGTCATTTGGGTTAGCGGCGTTAGATAGGTAGGAATACAGAGGGAAAAGGAGACTGGGCCGGGCGGGGTAACAAAAAAGGATAGATTTTGTTTGTAATGCACTTACACATGGCAGCCACAATCTGCGTCTCAAGACCATACTGGTTCTGAAAGCCGTTCGCAAAATAGCTAATGCCCCCGCGGCCGTCGCCGGCGACGTACGGGACGTTCCTGATGTGGTTGAACATGTGGCCGCTGGTGAACAGAAGGATCGAGATCAGAGTAATGGCCGCCCAGACGGTGCGGCTCTGGATGACGGGGAGCACGTAGGGCCAGGCGACGTAGGAGAAGGTCAGGCCGCCCGAGAGAATGACGAAGGTTGAGATCCACCGCATCCAGTTGATCGGCCGCTTGATGGGCGGGTGAGGGCGGTCCGGCAGGTACCGCGCAACCCAGCTGTGCACAACCTCGGCCGCTTGAGCTCTATTACGGGGAAACCATACGTCAGCGTCTCTCCGCCAAACAGAACTCCATTACTCCCGAACAACTTACCCCCCGGTAAAGTCATATCGAACCGGTTCCGGCGAGGCCGGAGCGTGAGGGCCGGTCGTGGGCGGGAAAAAGAACAGCACCGGCGCCGTTTGCAGACCGAGCTACCACCCCAAACGTCAGTCAACCACACACCCAGATCGATCCCGCCTCCTCGGCAAACCTACACTCATAAAGACATCCCTCCCATCCCCAAAATCCAGCGTCCCAAACACGACGCGCGAGTCGCCCTTACGATCACCACCCGTCCAGCTGCGCGCCAGCAGCTCCCACTCGGGCTGGAACTCGCGGCACAGCTGGCACCCGTACCGCGCGTCCATCGCCGTCAGCAGCACCGCCACGCTATAGTCGCGCGGGGTCGCCGTCAGCTCCCGGTACGACGCCTCGCTCAGCTTCACGGGGCTGGTAGAGAGCGCTTTGCTGTGGTACAGCTGGAACCGCTCTTCCGACGTCTTCTTGGCGGCGAGCGCGCCGGTGGCCGCGCTGAGGAGCGCTGTGGTGAGGAGCGTGAGCAGCCGCATCTTGCCTTGCGCGGGGGTGTTGTGGTCTGTGGGGTGCTTGAGTCGAGTCGTGGCCGCGCGGAGAGGCCAATTGATCCTGGACGGATCACCAATTGGGTGGTGGTGGTGGTGGTGGTTGGTTTTGGCGTTGACGATGGCCGCTGCTGCTGGCTTCGGGGGCCTTGGCGGGCGATTGGGATAGAGCTTCTGCTTCTGGCAAGTGTGTCCTTAAGGAACGTCAGCCAAATGGGCTCTGGAGCTCTGCTACAGCTGGTTGCACCCTTGCGGCTTGGCATTGCCGGTCCGACAAAGATGCCAGGATGGCACGGTGGGGGCCGACGCAACGCGCTAGGCCGTGTTGGGAAGACTGTTTACTTCAAACTGTGGGCAGCTTCTTGATTGCATTCCTCTACCATTGCATCATCTATTCAGCCATTTATCGTTCATCGTTCACATCCTTGGTTTTCCCGTTGGCGTATTCTAACCTCGTTTCTACTCGATTATCAGCGAATCCAGCCATTGTTTGGCCTTGTTCACACCATTGTTTACATCCTGATGCCGCCGAAAAACGCGTCGCAATGTGTAAACATGGACTCTGAAGAGGTGCGCATCAGCCCTACCACGCGCCAGGCGCTGTTCTAACATGCCCAATCAATGTCAGAGAACCGAAACGATGCACAATCTCGACATGAAGTACCAACAGGCCATCCACGAGTGTGATCTCGTGGTTAGGACCGAAGAAGCAAGGCGGTTAAAGGTGCGCAGCATGGTGCTCCGCGACGAGACCTCTGGAGCCAAGGATCAGCTTGCGCAAAAAGATTTGCGTGTCAAGGAGCTTGTCGAGCAAATTGAGGACGTCCGCAGCCAGCTGGACAGCGCGCATGAGAAGTCCCGCAGGCAGGATAACCTTATGCAGTCTCAGGCTCGTGAGATTACCAACCTGAAGGTAAAGTTGGCCGCTAGCCCGGCTTCCAAGTCTGATTCTGATATGTGTTGCAACAGGAGGAACTATCCGCCTTCAACGCTGTATCTCAAGATTCAGCCAAGGTCTTGTCCGAAAAGCTCGCCCTCTCTCGGGAAGTTGCCGTCCTCAAGCCCGAATTAGAACACCTGCGATCTCAACTCGCGCACCAGAAGGACGTGCTCGCCGAGAAGCTGGCTCTAGAACGCCAACTTAATACGTTGGAAGTCGAGCTAGCCAACGAGAAGCGAGCTGCGGAGAAGGCAGCACAAAAGCAGGACGGCGACAATGAAGTCGAGGAAGAGCTCCGGAAACAAGTGCGCGAGCTGGAAAAGGAACTGGCTAAGGGAAAGCGGCTTGCTGAAAGAAACAACAAGGCTGAGGCTGAGCTGCAAGGGCTCCGGGAGAAGCTGGCTACGGTGGAAGAGAGCCTTGCTACTGAAAAGCGCAGGGCGGACCAGCTAGCCAAGGCCAAGTCCAGCACAACATCAGACATGCAGGAAGAGCAAGCTTCTGCTGAGGAGCTAACACAACTCCGGGAGGAACTTGCCGAGGCTGTTGCAAAATTGGCAGAGCAGGCCAAGGTGCAGGAGAAGCTCCGACGAGAGAGCGAGCAGGCCCGAATCGATGCGGAAGAACGGCAGCAAGCTGCATTTGACAAGGTGGACAGGTTACGCAGCAAGCTGCGCGATGCACAAGAAGAGCTCAAGAAGTGCCGCGCTGAGCTGGAGAAGGTACAAGAGCGGGCGGTGAAGGTTCCCACGGTCGCGACAACCACAGTACCGCTTAAGGGCGCCGGTGCTAAGGCGAATGCAAAAAAGAAGCGCCCAGCAGAGGAGATGAGCATGGACGACAAGGTCCTCCTCACCCCTGGCATGGACGACCGGCCGAAACGCCCTCTTAAGAAGAGGGGCTTCGACCTGTCCATGGTCGGCGGAAAATCCGAGTTCTCCATCACGCCCTTCCTCAACAAGACGCACAACCCGGACGGGTCCCCGAAACCCGCAGGCGAAGAAGCCACACCAACACCAGCGGTCCAATTCCGCGGCGCCGAGGAAACCGCTCCCGTTGAGCCGGCGCCCGAAGAGCCAGCTCCCGAAGCGACAGCAGCAGTCGAGTCCTCGGCTGTCAAACCCGCCTCCGCCATTAAACTCGTCGAGAAGCGGCCCCGCGGCAGGCCTCGCACAAAACCCCTCAACGACGCCTCGCCCTCCAAGAAGAACCTGACGGCTCGGAACCGCAAGGCTCCGCGCGTCGAGTCAACGCTAGACAAGGTTACCGAAGAAGCAGAGGAGGGTGACAGTAGCACCAACCAGGATCAGGAAAACCGCCCCGCCAACAACGCCGACGCCGAGCCAGCAGTCAAATCCACAACTGACGCCGCCATCGAGCTCCCGGAGAAGGTGGAGCCCAAGAAGAAGAAGCGCAAGTTGCTCGGGGCAAACCCCTCGACGCTATTCGATGAGGCCGAGGATGAGGGTGAGAAGGTCAAGCCAACCGCTACCGCTGCTCCTGCTGGGAAACGGCCGCCTATTGCCAAGGCCGGCGGTGCCAAAGCTATGGGGAAGGGCCCCAGTGCTGCGAGGTTTGGAGCGGGTGTCAAGAATGCCTTTGGCGGGGCATCGTTTTCGCCCTTGAAGAAGGAGAGGAGGGGTGTAGCGGCTAGCTTTTTGGCATAACTGCCGCGGTTGGCAGATGGTGTTGAGATTGCGGTCTAGGGCATTTACTTCTGGTTGGGACTAGGCACAATGGGCTGGGCATATTTTGGCGTTGTAAGTGTGTTGTTGCATTTGGCGTTCTGGGACTGGTTTGGGAGGGGTTGGGCATCTGGGTGTTGTTCATGCGTTATAACACGATCAATGGGACATCGTTTGTCCCTAAATTCTCGCAAGTGATGTAAAACTTCAACCCATGACCATTTGAACCGTGATGAGATTCAACCACTCCCTTGCTTTCACTTGAGCAACTCCAACCAAACTTATTTCCCTCTCACTAAGAGTGAGGCTCTATTGCGGATAGCCGGGATTGTATGCTTAACGGGCTCTTAACCCACCCAGAGAGTAAACCTTTTCCACTCATCTGCGCGCCAAGAATTGATCAATTGAGGAGTTGAAACTAACCTAACCTAATATTTTCGCACGCGTCAATCTCAAACTTGCAACTATCCAGCTTCATGGCATTTCGAAGCTTTGAACCCAACTTTTCATTAGTTCTTAGTTCTGCTTCGACGAACGAACTTGGATACATATTTGTCGCTTCATGTGTAGCCAAACCATCCACCCATATGCAAGCGCCATGGACCCGGACGCCACTCGGTCTGGCTGTCCTAGTCACTAGAGGGCTCTCATATCTAAACCCGACGACAAGCACCTTTAATTCACACTCCTCATACCTCCTCCCAACTCATACCCCGGCGCCACAACCTCGAATCTTCAGGCCAAACCCCAACCCCTGCACCCAAACCCGCCCCTCCTCATCCAGCTCTTCCCAATGGAAAACTCCGCCAGAGCGGCGACCCCTACGCCCGCGCCCGGCACGTGAAGGGGCTCAAGTCGCGCGCGGCTTTCAAGCTGATCGAGCTCGACGCCAAGTACTCCTTCTTCCGCCGCGGCCAGGGCCAGGTCGTGGTCGACCTCGGCTACGCGCCCGGCAGCTGGTCGCAGGTCGCCGTCGACTACACCGCCCCCAACGGCACCGTGCTCGGCATCGACATCATCCCCGCCCAGCCACCCAGGGGGGTCAGCACCATCCAGGGGAATTTTTTGAGTCCTGGTGTGCAGCGCATGGTGAAGCAGGTGCTGGTGGAGGGGGATAAGAAGAGGAGGGCGGAGAGAGCGGCGAGGAGGCGGGGGAGGGGGGGGACGGTGGATGGGGAGACGGAGGAGGAGGGCGGCGATGAGATCGCTGATCGGCCGAGTTATATCGATTTGGAGCGCATGGCGGCGCGGGAGGATGATGCGGAGATTGGCAGCCCGGTTGAGCCTTCATCGTCATCGTCATCACCTTCAACATCACCGTCGCCGTCGCCAGACGAGAGCACCCAACCCAAAGAGGAGGCGGAAGAAAAGCCGAACCTGCGGTTGGTAGACGTAGGTCGACGCAGCAGCCCATTATCCCCCATACGCCCCACAAAAAAGGCAAATCAGCTAACACGACTCAACCTCAACTTTTTCATGGGCACCCCAGGTGGTACTTAGCGACATGTGAACACCTTGGCCCCAGGCCCACAACTACTCGGTCAAAACGTTGAGTAACCCGTATCACAGGATGATGAACACGAGCGGCATCTATTTCAAGGACCACGCCGGGAGCATGGTAACCCAACCCCCCAACCCAACCCACCCCCCCATAACCCACCCAAGAAAGGAAAAAAAAACCCAAACTAACCACGACCCCTCTCCCCCCGCGCACCCCACACAACAGGACCTCTGCCACGCCGCCCTCACATTTGCGTCCGAGACGCTCAAGCCCGGCGGGTCCTTCGTGTGCAAGTTCTACCAGGGAGCCGAGGACAAGGCGTTCGAGAACCTGCTGAGACAGATGTTCAGGAGGGTACATCGGGAGAAGCCCGATGCGTCACGCAAGGTGAGTCTTTTTTTTTTTTGTGTGTGTGTTTGTGCGTGTGTGTTTTCTCTCTTTATGATGGTCCTTCGATCTGTGTTTGGCGGGGATGTATTCTGATCTACGCGAGTTTAGGAATCGAGAGAAGCGTTTTTTGTGGCGCGCGATAGGATAGGAGAGGTGGCGCTGGAGGATATCGAGGGGCAATAGGAGATGGGCTGCTTCGCTGACGAGAAACAGGGAAGATATGTAAGACCATATTGTAAACATAGTCACAATACTTTGTACAACACATGCATCACAAACGAAGACACGGTCATATACGCTGTCGCGGGGCTCAATGGCATTGTCATTCATAGCAGTGGCGTCAGTCAAGTGCCATGCTGTCAATTCCTCATGCCCGTAAAAAAAGAGAAAAGACTTTTGTGCTCCGTATGCCGTCTGTGGCCGACAGCACAGCATAGCAAGCCCAGAACCAGATGCCCCAAAACCATTGCCATACGACGACCAAGAACCCCGTGCCACGCCCCAAACTCCAAAGGGTATCCGTATCCACCACTTTAGACCTTGAAGCCACGCGACCTGCGGCGACCACGGGCGCGTTCGAACTTGCGGCCCTTGGAGCGGACATGGGGCTTCTATTGGGGGGTCAGTGCTGTTCTGCCGAGTGCTGTAGGAAGCAGACGGAAAACAAACCTTGTTCTTGTGGGGGCCCATGCCGAAGTGCTTGACAGCCTCGCGAGAGTTCTTGGGGCCGCGGAGCAGGAGGGTGTTGGCACCGGTGGGCTTCTCGAGAGCCAGCTGGTCGAGGGTGATGACCTCACCGCCGGCCGCGGTGATGCGGGCACGGGCGGTGGCAGTGACGCGGAGAGCAGCAATCTGGACCTTGGGGACCGTCAGGAGACGGTTGTCGTCGGTGATGGTGCCAACAACGACGACGGTCTTCTTCTCGTTGCCGTTCTTGAGGTTGGCCGCGATGCGGGACAGCGAGACGGGGGGGCGGTTGATGCGGCTCATGAACAGGCGGCGCAGGACCACCTTGTTGAAGGGCGCATCAGTGCGGCCTAGCAGGTGGCTTCCGTTAGTATCGTCGACAACCGCGTGACGTGAGGAACATGATTACTTACGGGCCAGGAAGCGGTAGAGCTTCACCAAGAGCTTGAGGTAGACGTTGTCGCTCTTGGGGGCCTTGCGGTGCGTGGACCGCTCGTGGTGCTTCCGCAGATCGATACCTATTATTCAACAAGGACTCCGGTCAGCCTTTGGGTCCTAGTATGCTCAAATTGGCGCGTCGACCAGCGATGTATCGTCTCGAAGCTTGCGCCGGCCTATCTCTCTCGAGAAAAAAGCCGGGGCACTGCGACGACGACGAATTCTCGACCGGGAGCAAATATGCCATATCGCAGAGAGAGACGTATTTCAGAATCTCGTCCACTCGCACACAAAGGCTTCGAGGAGGCCGGAGGGCTACGTACCCATCGTGACGGTGACTCGTGGATTGGCGACAAAAATCCGTTCGTTGGGCGATGGTTCGAAATTCTGAAGGCGCAAAATTCGGCGAGATTTTGGTGGTGCTGGTGTGGGGGGATATTTTGTGTGTGGGCGGTGTGAAATGGCAGAAACAGGCAAGTTGGGTGGGGCCAGAGGGCTGGAGCTCGGGCATCGAAGATTGGAGAGAGGTGCATTTTTGGCCAAGCCTCCAAGCATCCTGAATGGGATCTGAGCTTTTTTATTCTCCTAGCGAAAACACGAGCGGAGCAAGCCAAGATGATAGCGCTATGTTTGCGCAGTCCATTCGAACATCTCAAGCTGGCCCAAACAGGCAGCATGTCATGCGTGCGTCACTTGTCTAAGTCTTTGAATCCAGCAGGCTGCGAGAGCTCGACACAACGGACATCCAATATCCGGTTCACGATACCCTCAAAACACCGAATGCCTTTCAACAGCCACACAGAGCTACGCCCTCGGCAGGCCGTTCATTTTCTAATGTTCCCAATCTTGTGTGGCGCATTCCTTTGCACTTGGGTTGTTTTTCTTGTTGCTCTCGCAAATACACCGTCCTCTTTCGTCATTCCTCGCCGAGCGCATGAGGTTGGCAGCCCAGCGCTCGTCAAGCTCGTTGAAGAACAGACGTCTTCGCTAAGCTTTACTAGGCCGATCCTGAGGTGGAGAACTCGGTGCAAAACCCTTGGCGACGACTAGTGAGAATCACAGGCTTGTTTGATAAAAAACGATTGTCAAGGGGACAAACCGAAAAAAGGAGCCTGGAGAAAAGATACGCAGAGACAGATAAGCATCGGTGGAGGAGCAAACGATGATGAAAAGAATCTTAGGGGGGGCGGCGGTCGGTTTTAACCGCCCGGTGGTTGAGTTATGACTCCTGAAGCCATCGCCTTCCATAGGTAAGGTACAGTAAGTTGAATCACTGAGTCGGTAACGGAAAATGCAAGAACAGAATAAATCAAACCGGAGGCAACTCAGGGTCGCTTCTCCGCGATGGCTAGATTTCCGTGCTATGCGGTGGGTGTCGCCAACTGCATGGCCGAGTTTTAGACCTGGCCTGGTCTGATTGCTGTCTGATTACATTTCGTGTCAGTTTTCAACAGCTCGAAACGTTTCGCGCTGTTTGTCTATGTCGGTCACTTTTGGTGGTGCCTCAGGCTTTTCTATCCTCAAGTTTCATTGTGTCTAACTATGGTATACATACCTCGTAACCGAGCCGGTTGACCTCGCCCATCTACGGCTGGAGACATAGTAACGCAGCGAGGAAACTCCAGGGGGCGTGCGGTGTGCGCAGGAACGCCAAAGGACACGGCGAGGTCATGAGGCAGTCCTCGCCTGGGTGGCTTCCGTCAGTCAAGTTTCGAAACAACAAACAACAGAGCCACTGGTTTCAACTTTCGGGACTTGCTCCGGCACTCCGAACATGGTTACGATGACATCAACATGTCACGTCGAGGCGTTATGAGCAGATTTCGGGATCCGACACGATCTGATCCGGCTTCTCGAACAAACGAGTGAAACGCAAAGCCGGGAGTAAGACAGGCACGGCAACGACTACCGAACTTCCTGTGGCCGGCGACCAAGTAAGTGATCGATGCCTGACCATTAGATCATTGGTACCGGACCTGGTAAGGTTAACGCAACTCACGTATAGGGGTTGCTTCGTCCCTTTTCGTGTTGCTCGGTCCCTGCTCCGTGCCGACGAAGCGTCTGGGGGGTTTAGCCGGGGCGGCGACACAATCAAGAGTCCGCTGAATTTGTGCGGTAGAGTAGGTCGGGTAGTATCATGATCGGCAACGACAACACCCTTCAAGTGACCCCCTGCGTGCTCCCGTGGCACTGGGCTGGGATTGCCGGCTAATAATCAACGGGTTAATAGGGGGTACTATATGCGCCTGCACACAAATCAAGCTCCGTTTCAAACAATGGCGTATTTTAGCCACCAACTGCCGTTTAGCGCCGGGAATGAGATGTTGGGGAAATGGAGCCCCCGGGGTGACCCTCATGTACAAACAGTCCGTATGGGTGCATGCGGAATCCCCGCATTCGAACTTGATGAAGTGTCAGACCCGGATCGTGGTGTGAAGAGATCGCGAGTATGTGCATGTATGCATCTCGATATGACATTAATGGCCGTTTCCGACTTATCGTCAGTGCTACCTCTGAAAAAAAAAAACAAAAGAATCGAAGCTCTAGACCCTTCGGAATCAATCTCTCGTGATGACCCGGGGCAGTCATCCAGAGTGAACGACCTGCCACCACAACTCGGGAGTTCTCTGCTCCGCGCCCACAAAGGTACGCAGTTCACGCCACCAGCAACAGCCACTGGCGTCCCTCATGGCGGACGGTTACCCGCTGATCGACACGGCGAAGCTTCCTCACAAGCCCGCAGTGGCGGGAGGGCGTTTGCAAAAGGTAAAGCTCCGTACCCCCCTGGAACCCCTGGATAGGTAGCTTACCAAAACGGGAGATCGAGGGACATGCATGAAGGTGGTAAAGTACCCCAGATTGCCAGGAACCAGCTCCCCGATTCCCCACATTCCCCACGTACACGTTCAACCGCAATGGCAACATCCGTAGCCCATCAACCAATCCGCAACGGGGTCGCGGGGGCACCGCCTGAGCGCAAATGAAGCTCGATATGAAGTGCGAGATGGGACCTGGCAGCCCGTCCACTCGCTGTGATCGGCATTCGCCAGCAGCCCCGCATCCCATATTCTCGCGGCGACTGCTCGGCGCGGCTCACATCCCTCCTCGGAGCGTCCAACCCGAGCCCTCGCGCCAACACCGGCCCTGTCTTCCTGATTGCAAGGCTCGACCTCCAGACGAGGATGGTAGCCTCACCTCGTGAGCGGCCCGCAGTCGTTCGTTGGCATCGGCCCCTGAGGCTCCGGGATGTGGTCGCCAGGGGACGCGGCAAACGCCAAGGGGGCATTCATACCTGGTATAAAGGCGAGCCATCCGCCCTCTGTTGCAAAGAAGGAAGATCTCTCGACCAGCCCATCACAGTTCCAACTCCAACTTGTGTGTGTGATCCTGCCCAACATGAAGTTCTCCACGTCCGCTGCCCTGGCGTTCGCCACCTTGGCCCTTGCCGCCCCGTCGCCCACGACCAAGCAGAAGCCCCGCCAAGCTGGCGGTGCCTGCGCGTCGGCCGTCACGCTCGATGCTTCGACCAACGTCTTCAAGGAGTACACCCTGCACCCCAACAGCTTCTACCGCGCCGAGGTCGAGGCCGCCGTTGAGCAGATCACGGACTCCAGCCTCGCGGCCAAGGCCGCCAAGGTTGCTGATGTCGGTACCTTCTTGTGGCTCGACACCATCGAGAACATCGGCAAGCTCGAGCCCGCCCTCGAGGACGTTCCCTGCGAGAACATCCTCGGTCTCGTCATCTACGATCTCCCGGGCCGTGACTGCGCCGCTAAGGCCTCCAACGGTGAGCTGAAGGTTGGCGAGATCGAGAAGTACAAGACCGAGTACATCGACAGTAAGTAGCCCCCTGGCACACACAATGCCCCACCCCCCCCCTCTCGCCCTCTGGCCTCCAAGAAAATATGGGCAGGCTATTGACACATGCGCCGCAGAGATCGTCACGATCCTCAAGGCCAACCCCAACACGGCTTTCGCGCTCGTCATCGAGCCCGACTCGCTCCCCAACCTGGTCACCAACATCGACCTCACCACCTGCCAGGAGAGCGCTGACGGGTACCACGAGGGTGTCGCGTACGCTCTCAAGTCGCTCAACCTCCCCAACGTCGTCATGTACCTCGATGCCGGCCACGGTGGCTGGCTCGGCTGGGACGCCAACCTCAAGCCCGGTGCTGAGGAGCTCGCCAAGGCCTACAAGAACGCCGGCTCGCCCTCGCAGTTCCGTGGTATCGCCACCAACGTGGCTGGCTGGAACCAATGGTAAGCCCGTCCTCTGACATGACAAAGACCACTCCCCCCCCCCCCCCCAAAAAAAAAAAAAAAAAAGATTTGCTTGTTACGAAACCCACCCTTTTAGGGACCTGTCCCCCGGCGAGTTCTCCGACACCTCGGACGCCAAGTACAACTCGTGCCAGAACGAGAAGACCTACATCACCACCTTTGGCGCCGCGCTCAAGACGGCCGGCATGCCCAACCACGCCATCATCGACACGGGCCGCAACGGTGTCTCGGGCCTCCGCGAGGAGTGGGGCAACTGGTGCAACGTCAAGGGCGCCGGCTTCGGCATCCGCCCCACGGCCGACACGGGCGCCGACCTCGCCGACGCCTTCGTGTGGGTCAAGCCCGGCGGCGAGTCCGACGGCACCAGCGACACCTCGGCCGTCCGCTACGACAGCTTCTGCGGCAAGCCCGACGCCTACAACCCCAGCCCCGAGGCCGGCCAGTGGAACCAGGCCTACTTCGAGGACCTCGTCAAGAACGCCAAGCCGGCGTTCTAAGCTCGCTCGCCGTGGCGGTGACGCGACTGCCGGCGGCGCTGCGGTCGCGGCTGCTGTTGCTGATGCCGTGGCCGCTGCTGCTGCGCGGGGGAGGAGGAATGGCAAAAAGAGATTGGGTTGGAAGAGGCAAGCGGGCGCTGGGATTTGGTCGCGCGTTTACTTTACCATGTTCCCTTCTAGTGTAGTAGTTTCATAGGCCTGACAGTACATATGGGGTCGAGACATCATTCTGTTTCCGTTTCCTCGATTGTGATTGTGATTGTGATTGCAGGACCTGAGCGAGAATTGACGGTGGTCATGACGAGTTTCGCGGTATGAGGAGAACAGGAGAAAAGTGCCGGCGAAGAAACCGAAGGCTCGAGAGACAGATTGTCAGTAACGTGTCCTAATAATGATACATACATACATATACATTGGTGAGTTAGGTCCTCGCCCCTGGTGCTGGTGCTGTCGGTGGCTTTTCCTCCCTCTTCCGTTAGCATGCACGCAAGGTTGGCCAACCCCAACACCCCATCCCTCTCCGGCACTTCCTTCCCAGAACCGATTGTCCTCGGCTGTCATGGAATAACGAAGTGAGGTTGGTCATCGTGAAGCCTGACCAGTAGTTCGACTTAGCCTAGCGGCCTGGCGCGTGCTTTTACCGCGTCGGCTGATCATAAGAGTGTGCGGTGATGGGTTGTAACTTGACGGCTCTTTCGATGCGCTCATTTAACCAGCCTCCAGATGCCCAACCAGGCCAGTCCGAGTGAAATGCCCGTGATGCCCAGACTCCTACTCCGCATACCGAACCGTGAGCCACTAGCTAAAATCTTTGCTTTTTGCTTTTCGAGCTGTGATTGTCCGGACACGTAGCTGTAGACGGCCAGACCGAGGAAAGCACCGCCGCCTATGATAACAACAGTTTTAGCAGCTGGTCCTGAAGGACATAGAGTAAGATAAGATGATTGATGAGAAACTCAAAACCCACCGACGATCTTGCAGGGCAGGCAATCGTCGCCACGGTCCTCTTTGAGAATGTCCTGCAGCCTTTCAGGCTTGTCTAACGAGTGGATTGGTGGTATGCTGTCCTTGGCCATGGTGGACGTTGGCGTGGTTGAGAGAAGCTCTTTTCTTTCGCTTCTTTCAATTGTGCGTTGAGTGAGATGTGGTCATGTTGAATCTCTGAGCCGAGATTCTGCAGGGGCGCTTGTAGGCCGCGCGGGTGGGCGGGTCTGGGCACTGCCCACTGTCGCTGCCGCTGCCGCTGCCGCTGCCGCCGCCCGGGCGCATTGCGTCAGTGCTCCCAGAAGCCCGCGGGGCCTGTCTGACCCAACCTCCAACACATTTAACAACGGCGACCTAGCTCCCAACCTCGAAACCTCCGGCCACCATGAACGGCGTTGTCGAGGCGCTGCACATATACGACGAGCATAAGTTAGTGTATTAACGATCCTGTTGCATCAAGCTGTAAACTAATCCACCGTCCAGCGCCCTCGTCCTGTCGCACACATACTCGTCACGACCGTTGTCGGCGTCCCATTTGCTGCCCCTCTACCTCGACCACCCCGTCCCCCGGCCGAATCTCCTCTACCTACCGAACACCAACCCGCCGACTCTCGTCTTCAACCTCACCCATGCGAACCTTCTCTTTCTCTTGACCACCTCGTCCGAGGTTGAGCCCCTCCTCGTCCTCGAGTTCCTACACCGCGTCATCGACTCTCTCGAAGAATTCCTGACTGCACCGTTACTGGCCCACAAGATCGAGGCCAACTACGATGTCGTCGCTCAACTCCTGACCGAGATGTGCGATGCGGGCACCATCACCACCACCGAACCTAATGCGCTACGAGACATGGTCGAGGTGGAGGGGTTCATGGACAAGTTGCTAGGCAACCTCAACCTCCCAACGTATGGAGCACCCCTCTCTCCATTCCCCCAACACCCCTCTTTCCCATTCTACACAAAACAAATACACTAACCCCCTCCCTCTTCCCCGCTCTTAGAAAACCAACCTTCGCCTCCGCCTCCCCAGCCCTCCACGCGCAACCAACCCCAGCCCTCCCCTGGCGGCGCGCGAACGTCCGGCACACCTCCAACGAGCTCTACACCGACCTGGTCGAGACACTCTCCGTGACGCTGGCGCCCTCGGGCCGCCCCCTCGCCGCCTTCGCCAACGGCACCATCGCCTTCACCTCCAAGGTCTCGGGCGTGCCCGACCTCCTGCTGACGCTCACGGGCCCCGCCGGCAAGCACAACCTCAAGAGCGTCATCGACCTGCCCGTCTTCCACCCCTGCGTCCGCCTCGCCCGCTGGCGCGAGCAGCCCGGCGTGCTGAGCTTCATCCCCCCCGACGGCCGCTTCACCCTAGCCGGTTACGAGGTCGATCTGATGCCCTTCACCGGCGACGCCGCCTTGGTGGGGGCCGGCGCGAACCCCGCTGAAGCTGCCCGGTTACGTTGGAGATTAAGACGGGGTTGGGGGGCGACGGGGTCCGACTTTGAGGTGCGTGTGCAGGTGAATCGGATGTTTGGGCCCGCTGCTGCGGGTGGGCAGGGGGCAAGGGGAGGGGGGTTGGGCGGTGGTGGTGCGAGGGGTTTCGGGGCGAGCACCCCGAGTGGTGCGCCGGCGCTGCAGGATCTTGCCGTGTCCGTGCCGCTGCCGGCGGACGTGAGGAATCTCTCCGATATCCGGCCTACGAGGGGTGATGCTACCTATAACCCTGGGGACCGGGCGTTGGAGTGGACCATCTCGAACAAGGAGTTGGCCCAGGGGACGGCGTCCTTTGTGCTGCGGTGTACGGTCGTGGGACAGATGACGGAGGAGGATGAGGAGTCTGATCCGACAGGGTTTGGCTTCGGCACCGGCGCGAACGCATACTCGTACGACGAGCCGTACCAGAACTCATCGCCCGTTGCGAAATCGGCCAAGGCAGCTGTGGACGCGAGCGGTGCGGACCGGGAGGAGCGCAGGGCGGCGCAGAACAAGATTCTGATGCCCAGCTCGGCCTCGCTCAGCTTTGCCGTCAAGGGCTGGCTGGCCAGCGGCATCAAGGTGGAGAGTATACATCTTGATCCAAGGAAGAGCCGCGGGTTGGGGGAGGGCGTAAAGCCGTACAAGGGCGTCAAGTACCTGACAGTTAGCAAGGGTGGTGTGGAGATAAGGTGCTGATGCAGCAGGCACGGTGAAAACACGCCGTGAAACCCATCTCCCGATTATTGGCAATGTTTGTTGTCGGTGATGGCTCTTTGATCTGACATGCCAGCTGAGCCAGGGTAGATACCGTCCCGCATTCACCGATTTCATCTTGAAGCAGGCCATCTCGCGCGCTCGGCGGTCTCGGGCGCAAGCCCACCAGTGTGGTCCAGACCAACGGCCCGTCGCCTGATAATTCTCCGAGTCCTGCCCTCCATTCAGCCCCCTGACACAAAATCCTGCATGTCGCCCGAGTGCAACCAACAGCCAACTGCCAACAGCTTCCTTCGATACCGCCGTCTCGAAGACGTGCTAGCAGGATGCGGTACCCAGCACCCCCAGCTGGCCATCCCTTAAGGGATGACCTCCACACCATCCTGTCAAATCACCGCAGGCTCCTCCTGTCAGCCCAGCGTCGCAATACCCAGCAGTGTCCTCCCGCTCACTTTTCGTGGTTTCTTGTTGGTTCATTTACGAGGCCTAAAGTTCTCAGCTGCTCCCCCCCCACCACCAACCCTTTTCGCATTCCATACCGTTTGGGAAACTGTCAAGCACGCTCGGAACGTGCTTGCTGAAGCGAAGCGATTCCCGACATCATGGGACAGGACCTTTCGACTCACAGTCCTGTGTAGTGTAGGACCCTCACGAACCTGACGAATTGTTTCGTCATGTCTTGAGGGTGAGGGGGGGGAGGGGAACTCGAATATCCTTGACCAAGCTGCAAGGCGCAACCAACAGTGACACGGCAGAAAGGCATCCCTGTCGATCTGATAAACGGCGCGGCGTGTAAGCCGGGGACGGCGCGAATCCGCCATCATGTTGGTCAAGTTATTATTTGCTTTCTCCTTTTTTCGTCATGCATGTTCAGGTCCAGCCACCTCAACACGAACCCCGTCTGTCTCATTCCGCTTTTTCGCCGTGACGTTCGAGTGAGGTACTTTCCTCCCCCCCTCTCCCCCAAAACTGTGCCGCACCACGCCGCAGTGATACACGGAGCCGAAGGTCAGGGCGGGAGGATCTTTGCGGGGGCACATGGCTATTTCGAGGTTGCCTAGAACGCGGGACAAGGACTTGTCTGAACAATACACTAACGTGATGTATGCATGTATGGCACGTATGTAGTGTAGTGTACATACATCCGATGTCGTAGCATGTCTTGTACAACCAACAGGCTCGGCGCCGCATCGGACGGGCACCCGAAATGGCGCGGGGGTTACACAGGCACCAAGGAAAGGAGCTGACCGCCCCTCAACACCACGCGCACGTACAATCATCCCGTCCACGGAACCCCCGCAGGCCAAAGCTGACGGGACCTTGCATGTGATCCGACGTTGCGGAGACGCGAGTGTCCCATCCAAGGAGGAAGCCGAGATGGGGGAGGAGGAGGGGGAGGGGGCGCGACACACCAACCACTTCATTTCCGCCCCGTCTCATCAGCCCGCTCGCGATATTGGCTCGCTCGGCATGAACAACACACGATAATACCGCTGCCTGGCAAAAGAATTTTGCACTTCCCCCTCCCTCAACCCCAGCCCGTCAGCCCGGCCACCGGCCGCGGGGCCCATGTTTTGGGGCCGGGGCCAGCGACCCGCGGGTTACACGTGTCGCCGTGTTCTGCGTTCCATCGACCGCTCCTGAGGCCCGGCCGTGAAGGTCGCGGCCCCGGAGGGGGGCGGGGGGGAAGAGGGGAGAGAAACATCACGCCCCAAGAAACACAAGCATCCGCGTTTGTTTGCATTGTCTCAGCCTCCTCCGTCCAAGGGGGAGGGAGGCGCGCGGGGAGGAGTTGAGTTGAACCCACCGGAGAAGAAGGGAAACAAAGTAGAAAAACATACCATCGGATGCCGGATCCGAGAGGCACCACCTCGCCGTTCTCCACATCCTCCCGATCCTCCCTCCCCTCCAATGCCACCACCCACGTTGTCACGTTGCCGGAAAAGCAGGCATACGGCAAGGCAGATAAGATCCAACCGCGTCGGACAAACAATTCTCTTTTTTCGTCAAAGAAGAGCACTGTCGAGCGGACCCTTCCATCCCGCGGTAGCCAACTGTCACCGCCCAAAGCCGTTGTTGTGTATGCACATACCAACACGGGAGGTTGGATGCGATGCAGATCGTGATCTGGTGGCCCCCAACAAGAGAGATTGCACATCACCCGCTACCCCATGCACATTCAAGTCGGGCTTAACCTAGAGACCCAGGCGGCCACATCGCGTACCATAGTAAACCAAAGGAACATAACAAAGACGTCGTTGTGTATCATATCAGGTATCAAGGTCAGGTCTGAGGTATCAACTCGCTTCCACCGCGCCACGCCGCCCCGTACATTCCACATTATACTTCTTCCGACAGGTTCCTCCACAAAACAAAAGGACTTGATCTCATCCCATACATACATGAATACATACAAACAATACTGGGTATCATAGGAGATGGGGATAAATAAACACTCATCAGATCTTTAATCAGCCCAAAGTCGTCCGTCGTCCTAGGAGAGAGAGAAAAAGGGAGATCCAGCCCGCAATCAAAACACTAAGAACGATACTAAACGGTGGGGCTGGGATTGGTAAGAAAGGGAAAAAAGATATTAAAAATATTCATTGCCCAATACTAGGTTCAAGCTCAGGGAACAAGCGCAATGCCCCTGCGGTGGCCGGCCTTGAGGCCCATGTAGACACTCCAGGTGGCGACATCCTGTGTCAGGCAGTCAGCACTAATTCTAGCAAGAGAGGAGCGAAGGAAGGGGGGGAAACATACCCTCGTGACGACCGACCCCGCGCCAACAGTCGAGCCCTTGCCGATCCTGACCCCGGGAAGGATGACCACATTTGCCGCGATCCAAACATCGTCCTCGATAATGACGGGTTTGCCGTACTGCGTGCCCTGGTTCCCCTTACGGTAACGCGGATTGGTGCTACAGGTGCCCGTATAGATACAAACGTTAGGACTGATGATGACATTGTTCCCGATGTTGACCTCGCAGACGTCGTTGATGAGGCAGTTTCGGCCGATCGAGACGTTGTTGCCGATTTGGATGTTATAACCGTAGTCACAATTAAAGGGAGCCTCGACCGTCGCATTCTCGCCCACGCGCCCGGCACGAGTGACAGGCGATACCATACTAGGCGATAGCTGAATGCCCTCGCGCGGGTGGAGGATGTCGCGAAACAACCGCGCGCGCTCGGTGGGGGAGACGCCCAGGTTTGGGTTGGTCGAGTTGTTGAACCGCCAACAAGCAGCGTTGCACCGCTCTCGCTCGAGCACGAGCTCCTTGTCGAAGGGATAGTACGGCCGGCCGTTCAGCATCTCCTCTTTCTGCCGACGTGATGGTCTGTCTGAGGAGAACTGCGAGTGGGAAAGGGCGGCCTGTGCCGTCGCCTGGGCACCGCCAGAAGGAGGTTGGGAGGATATCGCAGACGACGGTGCCGGTGGAGTCGACGTCCTGCCGCCGTGCAGCATGCTGTTAAACGGGGGATGCGCCATGGTACTGCTTTGCGGAGGTGGTGGAGGAGGTAACGATTGTTGATCCGGATCAGTCCGCGTGAGGTCATGAAGCGGCGGCACGCGTTGGTACTCCTTTGGCGTTCGGTCCGAGAAGGCCGATACGGCGGCAGCGCTGACCGGGGTGGGGAACATGTTTGCCGATGCTGACGTTGTGTACCCTGATAGTGCCGAGAGCTTGTTGTCGGGGCTAATGATTGAGCTCGGCATTGTCGATGCGGTCAGCCTGTCGTCGTCTGTCTGCAAAGGACGGCCCTGGGGGGGCGTAATCCGGAGCGTGGGCTGGCCGCGGTTATATGGCAGGGAATCACGCTTCGGTTGCTGGCCGAGCGGAGGCTGTTGGCTGCCGCTGTACGGGGGTGGTTGCTGGGGCATCCCGTACGCTCCCGGAGGCACATAGTTCGGATCCTTCGACTCAATGTTGACCTGCGCAGGCTTGCTGCTCTCGGGCGTATTGGTCCAGGCTCCCCTCTGCGGAGGATAGCCAGCGCAAACGAAACCACCCTTGTAGCAATTGTTGCCTGTGCAGATGGTCAGCCGCTAGAATAGGCCGGATGCGGCCACAAAATGTGACCATGCGTGTAAACAAGCGCGTTTCGGGGGCCGGGAGGGAACCAAAACATGGATGGGGACGGGAAATTCAACTCACATTCGGGCTTTTTCTCGTCGCACTTCTTCTTTCGCTTCCTACATGTCAGACAACCCGTCTTGGTGCGGTTGCTGAAATTGCGCTTCCTCTTCTTTGGGTCCGACTGGAGGATGCCATCCCGGCGGTGTTCGGATGAGTACTGGCCAGGATAGACAGAACGGTCGTCGCCGTCGGGACTTTGGTCGTCATCGCCGTGGCTCGTCGCCCTCCGTAGCAAGTCGCCCGTTGGCTCCTCTGACTGAGCCGATACCGGACCAGCCGAGTAAGGGGCTTCGTAGCTCGAAGTGCGTTCTTCCCTAGCCCGCTCCGTGCGCCAGTGCTCGTTATCCCGCGCTTCATCTCTTTGCCGTCCTCGATAAGTATCCCGTTGCGGCGTAGTACGTCCATCTTGCGATTCTGACGGATGGCGATGCGACTCGTACTGTTCAGACCGTTCCGTCCGCTCTGATCGTTCTGACCGCTCCGCACGCTCCATGCGCTCCACGCGCTCTGACCGCTCCGGCCGCTCTGATCGCTCGGCCCTTTCTGTCCGCACAGGTGGTGACCGTGGGCGTTCCCTCCTAGGAGAGTCTGATATTGACCGCTTGCGCTTGTGCGATCCCTCGGCATCTGCAAAGGTGGCGGCGCCGGGAAAGGGAAGCCTCTCGTGATTGGTGCTACTCCGACGTTCCTGCACCTCGCGGCCCTCTCGATCCCTCTGGCTGTGGTACCCTTCAGCCGATTTAGGCTCAGCGCTGGCCGATTGCGGGCTTCGCCGCTCTCCGTCCATCGCCCCGTTGGTTCCTTCCGCCGACTTTGGCGAGCCCCCGTTCAAAGCCGTAAAGGTCGCCATCTCCATCCACAACCGCCTCTCCGAGGCGGCCCGAAGGCTGCAAGCAAATCCAAGAATGAGCGAAGTGACCGCTCTGTATTTGCGATGTGTTGGCGGGGTTCGGTTAGCGTCCTCTGAACCACGCAGTAAGGGCGGTCTCAAGCGGATGCGCTAGGCGTAGCAGATAAATGAAGCAGCTGAAGATGGCGGATGTAAGCGGCTCGTCGATTGAGAACCCTAGCAAGTGAGTGAGTGCCCAGGTAGGCGTTCGAGGAATGTGACGGAATAGGGTTCCGGTGGGATCGCGAAGATCCGTTCTCTGATAACAGGAAGCTAAGAACAGCAAAAGAAGCCGTTTGTTGGTGTTTGCTTTAGAAGAAAAAAAAAAGTGTGTGATCAGGCTGCAGCAGGATGAGCAGCAGGAAGGTACCGGTTGCGATGCACCCACCAGTGACGGAAGGTGGGGACCGGTCGGCGCTCGTGCGTCCGTGACTTCCAGCCCTGGACTCGTTCGGAGACTGGCGCGGAGTTGTGATATTTTTCTGAGTTGATCAAATTCGGCTCCGGTCCTGGCGCAAAAATGCGTCTTTCTCGGCAGGGGAGCTTTGGGGGTCACCTTTTTGAATGCTTACAACCAGCACCTGCACGCCCAGAAGCAAGCAAATGGTGGAGGCTGAGTCGGGCGTGGAGGCGAATCCAGGGTGCAGCGATGGGAGCGACCGCAAATCCGCGGCCCGGGGCGCAAACGAGAAGCCGGGGGGTCGGGTAGCGAACAGGAAACAACCGCACCGCCGCTCAGGCCTCACAAAAACGGCAAACCGCCACAGTCTCCTCTCCGACGTTGCTTCTCAACCACGGCTAAGCTGCTGCTGATGTTGCCAGATAAGGTGCTTTGTGAAGGAACACAAAATATGGCTTCGCTCCGATATGATGATGAGAGATCGCAAAGATTCCAACGGTATCGTGTGACACGTCAGAGAGACATGAACCTAGTCGTCGCAGATAGTGAGTTGAGGCGGCACGCTGATCTGTGCGCAAATCGCAACTGGGCTGTTCCTGTCCGTTGCGCTCCTTGGCAGCCTGCTACCAACACGTCGACAAAGGATGGAGAAAAGGGCGTCGGGGTTTTGCGTGCCGTATGAGGTTACCGGAACCAAATGCAGCGGATATCGTGGCAGTTGTCGCCGAGAAATTGGTTGAATCCTCGAGTTTTCCCAACCTTCTTTTTTGAGTTGCCGAGTCCTGGCGCTTGGCCCTCTTTAACGCGCGATTATGCTGCGCCTGTCGGGACGGGGGTCGAGAGACAAAGCCGGTTCGCACTGCCGCGGCGCGGATAACTCACTCACGCTTTCCTTGAGTGGTGAGGGATCCTCGAATCGTGGTCGTAAATCCGGGGCACCGAGCGTATGGAAAAGTCCCCTTCTGCTGCAAACTCTCCTGACGGCCTCGTCTTGCGGGATGCAATGCGGAGCGGAGATGGCCCTGAAGGGGGGAGGGCGCGAGGTAATCAGAGACCCGGCGCTCCGTTCAAGTGCTCACAGCCAAACAAGCGCCAGAAAAATGTCCCGCTCAGCCGTCGTGAGTCGAGACGCACAGACGCCCGCGGGTGCGAAAAGGCTGGATGAGAAGCGGCGAGATCTGGCTAGCAGGGCACCCCGGTCAATGGACATGTGGGCCTGCCGTGCCTGAATGACCTGGGGGGGGGGGGGGGGCCGGGATATTTTTTTCCAGCGGACAACCCGGAAGTTGGGGGGAAAAAATGAGGAAGTCCCCCCGTGTCAGGGGTGTCAGTGCCAGCAGGGCAACAAGTCAAGCTTACGTTTCAATTCATACAACATTACACTAGATACGAATACATTACAAGGAACAGGGGCCTTACCAAGGCATAAAAGTCATGAAAACTACGAATACCCGCGTTGGAATGTGTGAGATGGGCGAGTAAGTTCCTCCGCCATCGACCGAGACTCCATCCTGACTTGGAACCCCAGCGGCACGCCGCAGAGATCCCCGGGGGGGAGATGACGGGACTTCGACTTGTATGTACCGGTACGTTCAGCGGCACAAAGTACCTCGGTACCTTGTCATTTGGGTTAGGCCAGGGGGGGCGTGGAATGCCGTGTTGGGAAGAAGTGTGTGGGAACGACCGCCGTCACTCCAACCCTTCCACAGAAAACCAGCGGCCGGCCGGGCCAGGCACTTGCAGACGCAGTCACCATCCTGGGGACAATCAAGCGAGTTTGCCAAGACCAACATGGTCGGCAAAGCTGCACACGAGCGGTTGTGGTCTTGCACGGATTAGTTAATAATCTGGGGTGTACTTGTAAGGAAACGTTGTCCAGAGAGTCAAGCTGTATTCGTAAATGCGCACTGTTGGCCGCGGCTGTTCACCGAGGGAACGGCATCGAACGGATGAGGTTGACGCGTGTCCCTTGAGTGAGGCGTGCCACCCACCGCCCTGGATGCCTCATTCTTGCTCAGGGAATGGAACGAACAGCTACCCGGAAACTCAGCCCGGTGGTCACGCAAATGGCCTGGGGGACAAGCCCGCCAAGCTGACAAGTGAGATACGAAGACCGCAGTAGTTTCATGCAGTTCCTTGGTCCCTGTTGAACTTAAGCTTAGTGCTGGCAACCTATGGCTCAATCAGAGGAAACAGCCGCCAAATGTGGTCCAAAGGCCCCACAAGACTTCCGACTCACGTTTCCCCATCAAAACTCTCTTGCAGCGTGACAGACAGCCAAAGAACCCAACGGATCTTCCTCGCCTCGCACAAAGTGGGTATCGCGTGCAAGGCGGCAATCTGCGCTCTGCTTGGATCGGTCTGCACGTCGGGCGTGTTGAGGGAGGATATGACGAACAGGTTTCGGGAACCTAAGGTCGGATTGGGGTCGGTGCCGCGGCATGTCATTCGGCCCCCATTCAAAATGGAGAAACAGGGGAGCTGGATGTTAAGCGCAATGCGCTCCGGTTCCGTACCGGATGCCGCGCAGGCCTCAAGGGCCGTTTTCTGTTGTAACCCAGAAATGGTCAAAAAAGAAGGGCAACACACGCACGAGGAAAGGTACGGTGGTACTGTTGGAACCTCCCGCGAGGGGTATGTACATGTCCGTACACCCAGACTCAAGGCGTCACTTGGCTTTCCTTTCACGGAGCAACATCTCGGTGTAAGACGCCCCGAGCATATTTTCTACACTTCTTTCGAGGGTTAGCTGCTCAGTCAATTTGAAGTTCAACTTCTCCAAGTTGATAAGTGAACAAGGGATTGTCTTTCGGTATCAAATGACCCCGCTTTGTAAAGGGAGGTGAACAATGGCTAGTGAGCGGATGGCGAAGCGAGCTTTCGAGGCTTGCACAATGAGTGGCCAATGGCCGCGCACACTCGGCGTTGATTCGTGGTCACTAACGCAGTCAGCCTGGTCCTCCAGCACACACCACACTGCCCACCAGCACACGAAGAAAGTTGTTCATCAACTCGAGAGGGCTGACGAGCCGCGGATGGCCGCTTCGCTGCGTTTGTGACGGTATTGGGCGGCTCCGGCTCACGGAGACCTGCCGCCAGCCCGGCAGCTGATGGTACATGTATCCGTAGTAGGGCAAGTACCACACATAAGGGTCAAACGAGGTCGGTAAGTGGATCAACTCAGGGCGGGTCATCCAAATGAATTGCCTCTTTGGCCTCCTTGTCATTTCAGAAGGGTTGCCAAAACTGCAGAGAGGGAGCATCGATGCTACCAGCCAGCTGCCAGCTTCCCCACTGCATGTCCAGATCCAGCCAAGTGCCGACATCGTTCGCTTGTTCGTGTGGTGCGCAGAGCAAGGTTGGCCCTCAAGCCCGTCACCATGTCACGCTCTGAGACGACGCGGGGAAACAATGGCGCCTTCCTGCCAGTGATAGTTGAGGCTTCCGTGCTTCCCCTGTGCCTCGCGCTTGCTTCTGGCGCAAGGTGTCATCAGTCCCCACACAGACAACCTGAACCCCAAACTCAGTCATGAACTGCTGAGTGAGTGAATGAAACACAAATCGGTAATCTTCCGAGGCGACAGCCAAGTCATGCGCGCAGGTTAATTATAGCAGTAACTTCTACGCAAGTCCTGCATGGTACATCGTCGAGGGGTTCGTTGTTGGTAGTTGGGGATTTTGGTTTCTTTTTGGAAGAGAAACAAACAGCGAAGCACATGAGAGGATTTGATGCGGAGTCGCAGAGACCGTGTGAACCTCTCCAACAGGTGTGTTCTTCGAATGGTGCAACGTGCAGAAGCGCACGCCAGACCCCTGTCAATCTCCCCCATTCGCAGAACTCGCCTTCCTATTGGGCGGCAGTTTTCTGCAGACTTTGCGGTCATCATTGGCCAGCGCGGAAGGCATTTCATCCTATGAGAAGGCAGGAACCAGATTGCCGCAGAAGTGCAGGCAACAAGCGGGCAAGTATGTATTATTTTTGGAGCCATTCTTAGAAACAACCACACACACTCATGGTCGTACCAGCCGAAATAAGGAAATGGGAAGACGGGATGTGTGCAACATGCCGTGGCGGACAGAGGCGGCTAACGCTATCGCGATTCGGACCTGCGCTAGGCGGCCCTCGTCACAGTCTGAAAAAGGTGTCGCTCAACACTGGGTGACCCGCCTGGTTCTGGTGAGACGGTATTCAACTTGATTGGGTGCGTAACTCGTTAGTGAGTTCCTGTGCAGCCCACAACCCCCCAGTTTCCCGGCACCAAACGCCCAACAGCCGATGTAATTATTTCATGGCCGTCAGAAGTATAGAGCAAACTCGCCGACGGGGTCTCCCATGCAGCGAATTCACCCAATGGAGTGTTTTGCTCGCTGGTAATTATGCGTCATTTGGGTCTGGTGCGGCACTCAGAAACTCCTACAGCCCAACAACCAACAGGACAAGACGGATGATGGAAGGACAACTGACTGGCGGTGTGTACTCCGAGTTTGTGACAGGGCTGGCAAGGTTCGAACGCCTTTGTCTTGCTCTCCCCCGCCGCTGCCCAATGACAAGCAGGTGGGATCTCGCCAGGCCAGCTCCCGAGAAACACCGAACCATGCGCTCCGCCACGCGGCCGATCCGGCGGGGCCTTGGAACTTAGTTGGGAAAGAAACGCGCCATCATCACGGAGAAAACCATTGTCGAGTGCCATCTCTCCAACATCCAACAAACCACTTTTGGACGGGACAAGACAGACAGGCACAACCTTCGGTGCCCGACAAAATTCGTCTTACGGTGGTAATGATCTATCTGTACACGAGCAGCTTACTGCGGGGCCGACAGACGCTCCGAGATGGAAGGATGTCCATGATAAGCAGCTCTTCACCGAGGCATAAGGAGATATTACCCGAGTCCTGAATCAAAAGGCCCGACTCATCTGCGTTGCTCTAGGGCGGCGTCAATGCAAGAAGCGCGATTCACTCCGGCCTCTGCCCACCGATACGCACCCACCAAGCACCGCAATATTGACATCGATATGGCCCAGCAGTGCAGCAGCACCTTCGCAAAAATCAGCCCAAGCATCACGAACACAAAAACGGCCCGACTTCTCGTTCGGCGTCAGATCATGGTCTTCTAGAACTGTTGCAACCCGAGAAGTCACTGTGCGAACTCCTGAGCCCAATTGCCTTAGGGGAGTCATAAGTGCGAGAGACGTCACCTGCCAGGCTCCCTGCCCCCTCAACCGCCAGGTCCAACCTCGACACACATCTTGGGCAACAAAATGGCCGACTATTGGGTGCGGCTGCTCGGTCCCGCCGCGACACGAGTCGGGGATTTTTGATGCCATAAAAAGAACACTGCGGCTCATTCCCACGAGGTTAGTGGGTCGTCGTCACTCAGAAGTGAATAGGGGGATGGGGTTTTCGACCAAATAACTACTCCCCTCCCAAAAAGCACGGTCCTAGGCCTTGCCGCCGGCCGCAGATGCACGATTGCGCAAGTTCAACCCCGGCGCTAAATTGCTGCGGTACGTATCGAGGCTCTGCATCGCTTGACGCCGAAGCGGCGCTTATAACTTCCAGCAGCGCCTACAGACCCATCACGGCACTTTCATTGGCCCATCTCTCCCCACGAATTCCAGCATCCGCAACCGCCATCAGGACATTGGACGACGAAGACCTTCCACAGGTTCTAAATCTGGATAGAAACATCGTTTCGAAACGCTGCGAAACAAGATTGGTTTCCCGACCAGCCCTACGGTAGTATTATCGTACTCGTGTGCCAAAGGGCCACCCTATGGTAGCCCAATATCACCAATACCCTTGCATCCCCTCCCCTTTTCCGGGCATGACGCCCTGCAAGAACGTTTTGACGAGTACATACAGGGCGGTTGCGGCTCAAAGGTTATCCAGACGACCGGGGAGGACCTGCACGTATACTACCTGCCAGCGGCTACGGCAACCGCGGGCGGCAACACTCTGTGGCGCGCCTGCATGGGAACGTGACGTGGGTCGCCTGCGAGGAGCGAGGCCGCAGACAAGCAGCACGGCGCCGCCGTCATCCCCCCCCCTTCCCAGCGCGGGCCGCTCTGCATCCCCGGACAGACCCAGGGAACTGGGCCCTCCATCACACCCTTACCGCCGTTGCGGCTACCCTGGGCGCCTGCGCCAAACAGCCCTATCACCGGCATGGCGAGATCTAGATCTGCGGCGCTGGCGGCCTGTACCACGAGAGACGGCCCCAAGTACTGGTACATGTATCCCGTACCTGCCAGATCTGCGTGCGGTACCTGCATATGGCTTGGGTCCACTCTCAACGACCTGGCTTCTCGAGCTGCCTCAAACACAACCCGGACCGACCGCATGAACCCGCCCACACCGCACAAACGCAGCATGGGCTAGTAGCCAATTATTGGCAGAGAGTTTCGTTCGAAGACTTTTTATACCCTTTCTCGTTTCCTCCCTCCGGAAACAACTACCTTGTTTGTTCTGCTCCCCAAACTGCTTCCGACGTCACACGGCCAGATCCCGGTAAACCCCCCCTGAACTTTCACCACCCGTCTCAAAATAGATCACGAGGGATGTCTTGACTGCAGGTCCATCCCAACTTTGAGTCAACATCTGCGGGTTCTTTCAAACGCTACGAAAGCAATAGTGTTGCAACAAAGTGACTTAGCCGCGCACCACCTCCCTACCGACAGTCCATCACCGGCCAGCCGCCCACCAACTGCATGGTTCTCGATGCCATGCCGAATCAGGTATTTGTATTGGACGCCTAGAATATCGGGGGCAGCGATGCATCGTAGAAGGCCGTGATGCCATGCCAAATCATGTATCAAACTTGTTAACCGACTGCGCATCGAGCAAGGTATGTTGGCGGTGTGACGCTATTCTTAGATGCTTGCTCGCCAATCCGGCTCCCTCAGGGGGCATCATGTGAAGGGCAACGCCTCGCCTCCGCCATACTACGAGTAATGTAATCTCACGAAAAGATTGACGCCACTGTCCTGGCTTCCCTTGTGTTGATAGGCTCGCCTGGGTGAATTCGAGTGGTGATGAGAACCGCAAGACAGACAGGTTCGCGTTCCGACGTAAGGTTTTGGCTGGGCGATTGGAATCTCACGAGAGCCCTGCTGGCGGCAACCATGCATGCATGTGAGGAAGAAGACAGTTAGTGTAGCTAAAATGCCCCTGGTGCAGCCTGCTTAACGCAGTAAGAAAAATGCCGGTGTCATTTTCCCGTCCTAGATAGGGGCCACAACACAAAATCTGACATCAGAGGCCGAAAACACGAACATTCCGGCCATTTCATGTAAATAAGATAACCTTATATCGCCTTCGTGCGTGCCTGATAGACTGTTAGGCTTGGTCAGGGAGGGGTCATGGCAAAAGAAGGGTATTTTGCAAATATCGAACGGTTTCTTTTCCAACCCATCTTTCGAAGTGATGGCATCTAAGTTTTGATCAACGTATTACCCTTTTTTTCAACGCCCCTTTCCCAACCATCTTGAATCCCGAGGACAGATAGGCAAAATGTATTGACCCTCTTCCATTCTCTCACTCAACATACGGAGGCGGGGGCGCTGGACCTTCATGCTCGTGCTCACCCACTCATTCGTATGGGGTGGCTGGCTGTTGATATATTCTGTCGGGGCTAATTATGTGACACTGAGTCGTCATATACTTAGAGGAGTGCGAAAGCGGACACAACAGGGAACCACGATTAGGAAAAGAAGGGGAGTTCGACGTTCTCTCTAGCAAAATACGTACGACTCCCCCGATATCAACTCCAAGCCAGGCATCGCCTCATAACAGCACCCTGGCAACAACGTCGGATTTGCAACATAAAACTAGGTTTAACAAGCTACTCATATATCACTCACTTCAAGGCTCCTCTTGTTTCTACCGCCACTATCTCTACGACGTGTTGCTTGGTATGATCTACGGCTGTTGGCTTATGTGCGCCTGGCGAACTGACAAGCATCAGGCGCCGGAAGAGCGGCTTCCACGTTGGGCAGAATCACAATGTGCGGTGTTCGAACGGTGTCACCGACTTACACAGCGTACAACAGGGACCACACATCGATATGTGGTAGTAGGGTGGCCGGTAAAGAAAGGCGCGTGGCATACCTTAAAAGGCTATACCAACTACCGCCTCTCACTGTATATTTTGCTACACAAACCACGAATCCACCCCAGCCCCTTCCTGGGAGAGAAGACGGCCTACTTCTTCTGCCTCTTCGCGCTCTTATCGCTCGCCGCACTCAGCACGCTCGCACTCCGTTTCCGTGCCCCGCTGCTACTGTCGGGCCTCGAGCTCGTCGCCTTCTCCTTCTTCTTCTCCGACCCGGGCTCCTCCTTAATCTCACCCGTTTTATCCCCCACAGCAGCAGCAGCAGACTGTTCCTCCTCCTCCTGCGGCTCATCGGCCGCCTCGCCATTCGCACCCCCCTTCTTTTCCTTGCGCGAATCCCCCTTGTCCCCCTCTCCCTCTCCCCCTCCCTCCCCCTCACCATCTGACCCCAACACCTCGCGCGCGCGCGCCCTCTCCGCCCGCTTCGCCTCCTCCAGCTTGATCTCGCCCTCCAGCTTATCGCTCAGCTTGCGGGCGTCGACAAGCGCGGCGACGGCGCTCCAGAGGACCTCGAACTGGGCGGTGACGGCGGCGGTGGGCATGACGAGGCGCGGGGGCACGTCGAGCTCGGCGAGGGCGTTGGTCATGCGCAGCTGCTGCTGGCCCGACTTGTGGCTGTAGAGTTTGTTAATGCGCTCGTAGCGGAAGGTCGGCCCGCTGCCGAGGCGGTCGTGGTACTGCACGCCGTAGACCTGCTCCTCGTGCGCCGACAGCTTGCGGCGCTCCGGCTGCGCGGCCGCCGCGCCGCCCTTCTTTTTGTTGCCCGCCGTCGCGCCTGCCGAGGTGGCGGACGTCGGGGTGGGCTCGGCGGACACGCGCGCCCCGGCACCGGCACCGGCGCCGGCGCGTACGTCCGAGTCGCGACGGTTGGCGGTGGCGGCCGCGATGCTCTCGCGCCGGTTGTGCCCTGGGCCTTCAGACACTGCGCTGCCTGGGACGGCACCGCCCGGGCTGACGCCGTCGCCGGGGCCGAGGATGCTCTTGCGCTTTTTGGACTTGTCGGTGGACATGAGGTTTTGCAGGAGGGCTTGTAGGCCGGCTGAGCTCTTGAAGGAGTTGATATCCGAGTCTGTGGCCGGATAGTCAAGGCGCTGGTACAGTTCGCGGCGCTCCTCGTTGAAGCGCTCTGTGCGCGCGAGAATGCGCTTGATTTCAAGGAGCAGAGACTCCTCTTCGCGGGCCTCGTCCTTAGAGCGTGCCATCGTGTTGAGGGCAAACTCCTTCTGTTTCTGCTCCTGTTCGGCGTTGAAGTTCTGCATCATCTCGTAGAGCTCGAACTCGGGTCTTGTCATATACTGTGCTGGCTTCTGGACTGCCATCATCTTCGCCGCAACCTCGTAGTAGCGTGCCTTGAGGTCTTCCATCGTCCGCGGCTTCTGTGTCGACACCATGGCTGTGCTCGTTCCGTTGGCCTCCTCTCCCTGAGGATGTTCGGGAAGGAACTCATACCGGTCCCAGATGAGGGTCCAGCGCAGGTCGTATTCCTTTGCCTGCTCTAGCAGGTAGTCGGTTTCCTCCTTCGTCCACTCATTGCTCTGGAGGTTTGCTCGATATTGGTCCTCATTGTACTGCGGTACTGGAACTCGTACGTTGAACTTGGCGAACGAAGAGTCCTCGGGTTTGTCGTCTTTCCTCTCTCCCTCCACTACCATGCCTTCACTTTGCTCGGGTTCACCATCCTGCGCAGGTGCCGGCGGCGGACCATGCTCCGACTTCCGTTTCCAGTGCCGAAGCACAAGGCTGCCGTCGTCGCTCCGTGCTGAGTTTGTAAAAGACTTTAATTCCCATCGCGTAGCCGGTTTTCGGCTAGCAAATCGCCTTTTTTTGAAGAAGGATACTTCGGGGACGATAGCGATTGGGTTGTCGCCGCCAAGGTTTTGCACTTCGCGTGCGAGTCCCTTCAAGTTTGGTCGGGATCCGCCGGTTCTCTGTTTTTTGGATGCACGGGGCGCGGCGGAGTGGTTGGAGGGGAGGTTTAGAACATCGCGGACATCGTGAGAGGTCATGGTGCCCAGGTGGTGGGTGTGTTTCTTCCGGTCGCGTCGCGGCATGCGATAGCGCTATAGGTACTAAACTGCACCGAGTTTGCGCTCGCAGGGGAAAAAAATCAATTGTTAGAACCCGGATTCAATTAAAAATTGGTCTGTTTAATAATACACGGGTTCAAAATCGATATCTCCCAGCTTCAGCGATAAAGGTGCGACCGGGTATCATCTGAACGATGCAAATGGTTGAAGTTGGGCAGCTCATCAAGGTCGTTTTTGGTGGATTTTGGCAGCGAACACCGCCAAAAAAAATCCCACCCTGGCGTCGCATGCCTGCAAAAGTTAATGGGCCGAGACTCGCAAAGTGAGCACGTGATCTGACCAATCCCCTGAGTGGGCCTAATTTTCCTGAACGTGGCAGCTTTGAATGCTTGGCCGGGCGCGACCGAGTGCCAGCCAGTGTTGCAGCGGGAAGTGTCGATTTCCAGAACCTCGTCCGAGTGAACCCCGTCGCCGCCCTTCACCGTCACTAATAGCACCAGGTGACCCGCCAGATCACCGGCAAAATGAGGTCTCTTCTCCCCCTCCTCTCCCTGGCCACCATGGCCCGGGCTCTCTATTTCTACGTCGACGTGACAACACCCAAGTGCTTCTTCGAGGAGCTCCCCAAGGACACCCTGGTGGTGGGCCACTACTCAGCCGAGGAATGGAACGACCAGAGGCACATGTGGGAAAAGCACGATGGCATCAGCATCTACATCTCCGTTGATGTATGTCCTCCCTTCCACACTTTCCCCTCTCACAGCAATCCCAACAATCCCCCACCTTCCAAGCCACCCGGATACTAACCCCTATCCCCCCGTCGCCAGGAAATCTTCGACAACGACCACCGCGTCGTCTCGCAGCGCGGCGGCTCCTCGGGCAAGTTCACTTTCACGGCGGCCGAGTCGGGCGACCACAAGCTCTGCTTTACGCCCTCGTCGAGCAGCGGCCGGTCCAACTGGCTCTCGGTATCCTCCCCCAACGGCGGCATCCGCCTGACGCTGGACGTGGCCATTGGCGAGACCAGCGCCCTCGACGGCGCCGACAAGGGCAAGATCCAGGACCTGGCGACGCGCGTGAAGGACCTGAACGCGCGGTTGAACGATATTCGGAGGGAGCAGGTTTTCCAGCGGGTGAGGTCCCCCCTTGCTACTTTTTTTTTTTCTTGCCCTGCGAGAGGGTGAGGTTGAGTAAAGAGTTTCAGGAACTAACCAATGTGGGATGTAGGAACGCGAAGCCGAGTTCCGCGATCAATCCGAGAGCACCAACGCGCGTGTGGTCCGATGGATCCTGATCCAGCTCGTCGTGCTCGGCGTGACGTGCGCCTGGCAGCTGTCCCACCTGCGGTCCTTCTTCATCAAGCAGAAGCTTACATAGAGACGCAAAAAGTCTGGGTTGGTTCTGGTATGGGCTGGTGCTCGTGTCGGTGTGGGAGTTTGATGTTGTTGTCTTGATGATCTGCTTGTTGTATGCATCCATTCGGCCACCATGACGGAAAACATTCCGCCTGTCCGTCTGGGTTAGAAGTTTCTCTCTCTCGGTTGGAAGGGTAGTCAATGGGTTTGGTTGGGAGCGGGAGTTTCTAAATGCAATCGACGATCGGTATATACGCGGTCATGGCTCTACTGTAATGATATACACACTTGGTCTGGCATGAATGGAAACGGTGGAGGATAGTTGGATTGCTTTGCAGCAAGCTTGGGACCTCGTCATGATAATGCCATTTGTCCCACCGGTGATTTCTCCTCTTTTGCGCGGACTATTAACATTGATACGGATGACTAGTATAAAGGGTTCGACGGTGGTGAGAAATATAAATAGGATTATGAAACATCATCTGGTTTTAAGCGCCAACACTTGAGAAAATGTGAATATGTTTCCAAGATCACAAAGATACGAAAGCTATTCACATAGTGTGGCCGCGAATAAGTTTATAAAATCGATTTCGTTATTCTACCTAGCCCAAAAGAAAAAAAAAAAAAACAGAACATGAATGTGTGACAAATCAGTCTCCCGTCCCGTTGAAGCCCCAGAGACAAACAGTACAGTTAACCTGACACCAGTTACGCTGACGCTCCCTTTTTGCTTTTGTGCTGTATGTTCTTGTTCTCAAAGACGGATGCTGATTATTAGAGAGTTATCTGTATGGGAGAGACAATAAAAAAAAACACACGCCCAAGAAGCGCCATGATGTCCTGTTTACCCCCACAGTACCCACAGTCCGCCCAACAATACCCAGCCCTGGAACCAGAGCTGTGGCGAGATGAGGCGGCCCAGGCCGAGAAACAAAGGAGGGACTCGCAGTCGAGAAAAAAAAGAAAACCGGATTATCGTGATCGTAAATGATGATGTCTGTCCAGAGGCGCCGAATGTGCCGGAAACCGCTATGGAAAGAAGTATCCTCTATGTCCCATGCAAAAACGAAAAACGGATGCGCATGTTGCGGGCAAATCATGTCAGACTCGTCTCCTGGAAAGCCTTCTATATAGAACATGCCGTCCGCTACCGCCTCGCGCTGGTTGAACCCGTGAGCCAAGGTCGCCGGAGAGTTTCAAGGCAAGGACCAATCGCTTACCCAATAGGACGCCGGATGATTCAACAAAAAAACAAGCGTCAATACTCCTAGCCGCAGCACAGCGTCTTGAAGAACTTCTGCATACCCGTCGGCTGCGGTTGCTGAGGGTTACTCTGCGGCTGGGCTGGGCTGTTCATCTGGGGTGACTGGGTCATCGGTCGCTGCGGCAGGTTCTGCGCGCTGTGCTGGAACTGCGCCTGGGTCGAGCCCGTCGGAGTCGGCGCCGCTTGCATGTAACCCCCAGCCGGCGAGCGCGGACTTGCCAATCCGGGCCCGTTTGGCCGCCCTGGGTTCGGTGATTGTCCCATAACCTGGCGAGGCAGCGGGGGTTGCGTGGCGTTTAAACGAGCTGCGGTCAGTCCCGGGGCTTGCGGGTCGCTTTGGTGACGATTGGTGGCCCCCCGCGAGTTGCCGTGCAGTTCCATGGCAGATGCCCCGGGCCGAGAGTTTGGGTCGTGTAAAGCTTGGCGGTTCCAGTCCCCCTTCTTGTCCTGCTTCCTCATCCAATCGTACTCGCCATCTTCGACCTGCCCAGATACCTGGAGCGCCTCGGTGAAAAGACCGCGGAGATAGTTATAGTCGGGTTCGTCTTCGAAGCCGAGACCGCGTACGTAGCTGAGATACTTCTCAAACTGTTCAGGGAAGTTTGCGCAGAGGTCCTTGATGGCCGTCGTCTGCTTCTTCTCGCCAATCTTTTCGTACTTCTGCTTGTTTGTCGCAGCCTTGAGGCCTTGCCATGGCAGACCGCCTCGCAGGAAGTACATGAAGACGTGGCCCAGAGCTTCGAGATCGTCTCGTCTCGATTGCTCCCTGCCGAGATGCGTGTTGATACTCATGTACCGGGCAGTGCCCGAGAGGGACTTGCGTTCCCTATAAGGGATGTGTTGCTTGGTCTTGGGGTCACGGTATTGCTTCGCCATCCCGAAGTCGACAACATGGATGACGTTAGCGGTCTTGGTCCCGGGTCTGCCAATCAGGAAGTTGTCGGGCTTGATGTCTCGATAGATCAAGTTCTTCTCGTGGATCGTTTGGACGCGCGACAACTGCATCAACGGTTAGCTGTGGTCATGAAACAGATTTGGCGGAAGCACATACCATCTGCTTGGCGACCATGCAAACTGTTTTGAGGGAGAACCTCCGGTTGCAGTGGTCGAAGAGGTCCTCCAACGAGGGGCCAAGTAGGTCGATAACCAGGATGTTGTGGAGGCCTTCCTGGCCGAAGTAGTAGACATTTGGAATCCCGGCTAAGGTGAGGGTTAGTCAGAATGCGCGAATATAGTTACCCCAGCGGTCAAGACTTACGGCAGCCCACAAGGATCTTGTATGTCCGATATTCGTCCCGTAGCTGGGGAGCATCGCTCTTCCTCGGCTCCTATTACATATTGCATTAGTCTTGTACAGCGACGACAGGCGGGTGGGGGGGTTTTCTTTCGAACGTACGAATTTGATGGCGACTTGCTGGCTATTCAAGAGGTTCATACCCTCGAAAATGACGCCGAAGGAACCCTCCCCAATCTTCTTCCCGACCCGGTAGTGCACCCCCACAACGTTCGACGATGACGAAGCCATGTTGATGGCCTGGCGTTAATCGCGCGACCCGATCAGGCTATGCGGTGAAGGTATCTGAATCCCAGCAAAATCGTCAGCTTCAACAAAGAAGTCTCGTCAAAAGGCGGCGGTCATCTGATGGCAGCTGCAACAAAATGGATGATGACAACACGTCGATGCGGGTTGGTGGTCGGTGGAGTGCGGAGGCAAACGAACAATGCGATCATCGCAACGCACGATCTCCGCGCAAGACCGGGACAACCCAGAGATGAATGTGGTGGGAAAACTGGGTGCATATAACGGGCACGAGCCAACTCACAAGCTTTCGAAGGGGTTTGCAGATGGCCCTATTGACAGTGCACGGCTTTCAATAAGCGATGCTTTTGCTGGCATAGACTTTTTGTCGGTCGGCAACCGCTACAGACAGAACAAACAATTGCTACGGGTCCTCGGTGGAAAAAAATTCTGGTGGGTGCAGCCGCGTCGGAGATGGGACGACAAAGGCAAAAGGGATTCGAGTCGAGTTGTGCTCGTGAGATCTCTCGGGGGTTCAGCCGCGACGTGTAGGTCGAACACTCAATGATGATGCTTCTAGATTGAACCGGCCGATTGGCGGGTCCGCACTCCGGATTCGCTCGGTCGCCCCGGCACCGCTTGTCGTCTGTGGCCTCTGCGAAGGCGCACAGAGTTTGGTGGGATGGCGATATGTCGTGTGGTGTGGCGGGAGGGAATGGAGAAGGAGGAAAAGGCGAGGAAGGGAGACTCCAGAAGGGGAAGGCAGGGCAGCGGAGTCCACGAGCAGGGGTTGTCAACAGTCCAGCCAATCCAACTCCCGGCAGAGCGACAACGAGCAGCGAAGTGAGGTGGTCCTTGCGCAGCCTCCCGTCTCTGCCAATTCACTTCTGCAGGCGGTCCTCGCCACAACACCGCAATTGGAAAGCGGATGCACAGGCCTAGAGGCGTAGCACGGCCCAGCAGGAGTTGGGATGGAGAAAGAGGCGCAGGAACAACAAGCCTAACTAGCGGGCCATCGGTCGCGAGAGGTCGTCGATTTGCTTGCATGATCAGTGTTGCATTTTCAGAGAATCACAGCCCAAGGTCGAGACCATTGCCTGATCTGGATTTGGTCGGTTCATTTTGGGGAGGGATTCAATCCGCCAACGAGCCCTGATCCCCCTCCGAACCGTGCCCTCAGCGCAAAACCAGGGACCTTCCGCACCGCCAGACTGATGCGACTTTGCAATCTTGGCCTACCAAGCAGCAACAGCAGCCCGCGTCCGGAGCCGGTTGTACGTGTTAGCTAACAGCACCCGCGTCGCTTTTTCACCGCCCGAAGCCGGCTTGTCGATCTACGCGAGCCGTTAAGGGCGGCCGAGGCGACGAAAAAAGGCCAGATTCGTATGGGGACAGCACCTGTTCCCCAGCCTCTTGTCCCCACGCTAGCAATCCCAAAAAGGGATGGCTCCCAGCAATAAGACGGGGCTAAATTGACGCGGTGAGCCTCAGGGCAGGTCTCCTGCAGAAGGCTAGCGGTCACGCCTCTCGCAAACATCATTTGTTGGGGAAGCGGCCAGCAAGGGGCAAAAAGGAAGGTACGAATCTCACGAGAAACCCCCTAACGGCTGTCGGTCGCTCGCTCCAAGGTTCGGTAAGGCAAGCGATGGGATGCCCATTTCGGCGTTGTGGGGTCGATTTTTTTTATTCTCATCAGCCAACCAACCCTGGCAAGACGCGGTCCGCCCCTTGCCTGCGGTGGGCGGGCATCTCATTTTTGTGGTTCTCAGCCGCTCGCTCTTGAGCAAGTTTGGTTCTGACGGGAGGCTTGCCGCTTGCGAAGTCCTCGACTTGGCCAGCCAGCGAGCCAGCCTTGTTTGGGTGCCAAGACGGAAGGCGAGTCGGGAAAAGAAAAAGTGTGCCTGCCGACGGGGATGTGAATTAGGTCCTGCACAAGGATACGGATACTTTAATTCATCAAGTGCATCGCGGCGGTTTCCGAGGGGCCACAATCTTCGATGCCTTCCTTTTTTGCAACGAGAACCTGTTTGATGGGGGTTTACTGAAGAGTTGAGTCTGACAAACCACATTCAAGCTTTGACTTCCATCTGCAGATGCCCGCTCCAGCTCATGCAGGTGTTTCTGTATCTAGTCAAAATACGACTGAGTGCTTGGTTGACAGACTCAGACACAGCACCGTCTCGAATACGCCGAAGTTGGGCCTTCTGCAACTGATCAACTCGCTGGCAACCCCCAATATCCAATCATTCCCGGTTAAGGTTACCTTCCACCTCTGGGAGGCTTGGGGGTTTGTGGGTGCTGGACCCAAATCTCTTTCTGCCTGTCGTCTATGGACCGACAAATATAAATGGTGCGTGGTATTTTAAACTGTGCAACCGCATTTGGGACTTGGGGGTGAAATTCATCTCTTGGCTTTTGAACGTAAAACGATCATCGATGCCTAGCCTAAGCTCGAAGTTTTGACGACTGGTGCATTCATACAACATCCATGGATATAGCTCCGTCGCATTGACATAACTCTGTTTCACCCCCTTCCCTGCCCCCCCAACCTGACCACATGATTCGTCCTCCACTCCAAACAAAAACCTCAATGATGGATGGCACCGCAGCCACTCACCGCTCTGGCCGAGACACGGCTGACATGTCCAAACTCCATCAAGAATTCGAGGCTGCCGCCCCACTCCCGCTTTTGTGACGAGGTTTGATAGTGGAGGGGGGAATGGGGGGTTGAAGTTGATGCTGTGTAACGCTCCCTCGGACTCTCCGAGACAACGATGAAGCTTAGGGACTAGGCCTTGAAATCCATAACTCCCTTGTCCCTAGGATATAACACGAGGACGCAATTACCAGTCCAAGTAGACCATAGTGGAAGAGGTTAATGTTGATGAGACCCAGGAGGGCAAACACGCGATCACAAAACTCGGCCTTCCCATTTTTGATTTATCTTCATCCTGGCCATCAAGGCCCGGTAAGGCGAGCTCTGCGGAGCTGCCATATTCTCATAAAGACTCATCAAAAAAACCGACAGCCAAAGCAGCTCTACCACACAAAAGTAATTATACAGTTTGGTCTGCGTAAACCATTGTACGCCCGCACCGTCATCTACCAGGAGAAAGGAAAAAAAAAAGTGAGCGTTGACCCCATCCTCTTGCGTAGGACCGTTCCCATCCATCGTTTTTCCCAGTACACAAAACAGAAACAAAGCCGGAAGCCATGCACGCGCACCCCCCGCCACCACCCTGCTCAACCTCATTCCCCAACCCCCATCCTCAACCTCAAAGTCCAAACAAACCCCCAGGCATCGTCCTCTCCCTCTCCTTGATAACCAATTTCGATTTCGCATTCCCATTCGGCTGCGCCCGCGCCTGTGCTTGTGCTTGCGCCTGAGTCCGTGCCTGTGCCTGAGCCCGAGCCTGAGCCCGCGCGGCCTGCTCTTGCGCGGCCGCAGCCTTCTTCGCAGCCGTGAGCCGGTCATAGGTCACGGCCACCGTTTTTTCGGCACATTCCCGCGTGGTCCTGTACCAGGCATCGAGCTGGGCCTTGTCGATGGCCGTGCGCAGCTGCTTGTCGTCCCAGCGCATGGCGTCCAGCAGCTTGCCGCGGAAGCCGTCGTCCATGCTCTCGAAGCGGCGGTCGAGCGACTCGGTGAAGACGCCGAGCGCGTCCGAGGGCTTGACGAAGGGGTGGAACTTGGAATGAGAGTGTTCTATACAAGGCAAGTTAGCATGTAATTCTGATGTCACGGTCCGGTGGGTAGGGCAGTAAGGCTTACGCTCGTCTACAACTGCAAATAACGTGTGGTAGGCAGCCGTCTCGCCCACGGTGGCGAGTTGGTCAAGGTCACCCTTCTCGTTGGTCTGATTGACTTGCTGCCAATCGTCACGTATGAAGCACCGTCTCCAAATAAGCCGCTCAGCGTCAAGACGTTCCTCGCCCTTGAGACCGTACTGGGCGACCTTGAGCGCAAGATAGAATTGGTCGCCGATGGTGTCGTAGTGGTTGGAAGGAAGCGACGCCAGAGTGAGTAGGTCAATCAAGGTGTGCGGTTGCAGTGCTTCGTGTCTGAGCAAGCGTGACATGGAATCATCAAAAACCTGATGAAGTGCCTTTTGCCTCTTCGGGATCAGGACCCCGTGCTCCTTGACGGCGAGTTCCACTTCCGCCGACTCGTCAACACCCTCCTGAATAGTGGGCAGGATCTGACTATATAAGGCGTCCTGGATCTTGATGAGCTCGAGCGCGTGGTCGATCTTCTCGAGGTTGACACCGTTCCGCCCCTCGTTATCAGAGGGGGCGCTACTGACGCCGTCATTGACGGGCTCAGCTTCCTCAGCGAGTAGAGCCAGTTTGCCCAAGCTGAGCTCAATCTTTTTATTCCAGACTTGCTGCTCGCGGGTGAGGCCCAGGTCCAGCAGCGTTTCGGCGGCATGATCAATGTCCTTCTCCCTCTCAACGTCGTTGATCCACGATATCTTGGCTAGCTCAGGCTTGGTCCGGAGAAACTTGGTCGCGTAACCGTTCCTGTCGTAAGGGAAGTCCAGAACAGCCTCCACGCCGCTATTCTCGAGGAGAACTTCATAAGCACGGAAGGCAAAACCCTCCTCGTAGTCGTCAAATAAGCGGCCCATTTTCTGCTGCTTGAGCTTAGCGAGAGCGAGCTTTTCTTGTGCCGCGCTGTCCGTCGTGTTTCCTTCCATCGCACTTTGTGTCAACGATAAGATTTGTTGCACCACGACTTCGGCAAGCGAGTCGAATGCTTTGTACTCCTTAGCGAGCTCGATAGCCTCCTCCCACAAATTGAAATCCTTGAGCCTCAGAATCTTAGTATAAACATCGTCTTGGTAGATTTGCTGGTACGCCTTGCCGCGCTCCTGAGCTTGGGCGTCGTCGCTCAACGCGGCCCAGCTCGAGAATTCGGCGAGAGATGTTAGGTACTGGCTCGTTAACGAGGGTAAAAGATGCCGGGTGGATTCAAGAAGGCGAGAGTCAACCGGGGTGTTATCGGGAGATGGGTCCGAGCACCGCTCAAGCCATTGGTAGCAGAACTCGACCAGTCGCTTGAGGTTGTTGGTGATAAAGAAAGTCGCGGTCCAGGGCTCCGGGATTGCGTTGCCGCCGGCGATATCTCTCGGGTTGACGCCGTATTGCCTTGCCCTGTTGAGCCGAAACTGACGTGCCTCAAACAATGCCCCATTATTGATCGTGACGGCCTCCCAAACCAGCCGATTAATGCCGGCCTCGTCGGCCAACCGCTCCGTGAAGTGGTACTTGATGATTTGGTAGGCCCAGGCAACAAAAATATCCAACCTCCACACGTCGTTGATGAACCAGTGACGAACAGGGTCCACCTGGCCCACGGCCGGGTTGAGCTCCGTCTTTTGGTGTTCGTTGATGTAAACTGCCGTTTCGGAGATGAGCGTCTTCTTGTCGCCCTTGGGTCTCTCGGCGAGAAACTGTTCATGCTTTTGCCATATCCATGTCGCGACAGCCATCTTTTCAGCATTGTAGAGAAGCATCCACCGGGTGCGCATGCCCAAGTCAACATCAAGTGAATTGAGATAGGCAACCAAGCCGTCCAGGTAGACAACCCTGCTCTTCATGTTGTTCTCGAGCGAGGCCGGTAGATTCGCGATGAAGGGTGTCTTCGAGCTCACAATCTCATGGCTCAGCTCAATCGCCGCGTTTCCGATCTCCTCGCTTGAGAAGGGCAGCTCTCGCCTGCCCTGAAACACCAATGGATTGTCATCCTTGACCCCAAAGAACACAGCCTGTTCTAGCTTGCTCTTCGCAGTGACCTCCGGCGGAGTTTCGCTGGCAAACCGGTCGATGTCGGAGACTGCAATCCTGACCGCGCCGACTCCTTGAAGTAGGAGCACGACGGTGGGGTTTTTTGTCCTGTGACGGTGAGGTCTCGCGTCGTCTTGTGCGTGCCCGCCCCCGGTGGGCTCTTCGATGCCAGACCCGACAACCTGAAGGGTCTCTTCGTCCCGAAAGTCTACCACATCTTCGAAGGTATGTGGTAGCATGTGACTATCTTCCTGTAGCTGTGCATCCGGGGAGTCGGGGGGGGCAACCATGGAGGAGACGACCACGGCCCTATCGAATACGAGGAAAGCAACGAGGGCAGGCCGCGGGAGGTAGATCCGAGGCTTCTCCGCGGCTCCGAACCTCACGGGGCTGTTGTACGAGGTTACCGGACGGACCATTCCGATCCGAGGGCCCTCAGGGCTTATAACCACCTCGACTAGCGAGTATCGAGATCGGTGCTGTTTTGAAAAAGAAGCAAGAAGCAAAGCATGTTGCAACGACTCCTCTTCGTGGGCCAACGCCTCGCTCAGGCAACTAGCATTAATATACTTTTGCGCCAGGCCCCGGGGCACAAGCGTGAAGTCGAGCACCTCAAAAGAGTCTGGTGAGAAGTTGCTCACGGCTGGATCGGCTTCATAGATGGCTTCCACCAATCGTTCCCGGATGTCGGAATCAGAAACGAGTTCGTGATGACCGCCACGGTGTATCTTCCACGAGTGCAACCGTCCTTTAGAGGTGGCGGCAACAACTATCCGCTCTCCAACCTTGGACCCGTGGCTGGTCCGCGCGGCAGCAATTTCGCCGCGGAAAGCAGCTGAGCTGAGGGCGTGGCGGATGGTTCCGAAAAAGCCCAAAGCATTGCCGCCTAGACCGCTCCGAAGGAACTGGGCGGTGATCCCGGGGCGTCCGTGTGCATCCCTCACACTCATGTACGCCATCCGTCCAGTGCTGAAGACCAAAATGAACCCCGCAGACCCAGCATCGACGATTTGAGTAACGTGCTCGCCCGAATACATGCCGGATATTGAGTCTTCGACGCCGGTCCGTTGTTGCCGAATGAAGTCGGCAGTGGCTGCGCTCGAGATGGACTCCCAATACGCGACCTTGCCGCTCGTCGGGATGATGACGACCAACCCAGGCTCATCTGAGGAGGCCGAGGCGGTGACCAAGGACGCAAGCGGGAGAGGATCGGAGGCATGCTTCGAAGGGTACGGGATGGTGAATGTGAAGGTTTCGGGGGAAGATGTCGTCGAGGTGTAGGGCCATACGAAGACGTGGTTATGGGTGAGGCTCAGGGCGTAGCCGGTCGATGAATAAACGGCACCGTGCTGGCGATCTTTGGAAGAGTTCAGCAATGCTTGTCCGCGAAACATTCCGCCCTTGGATAGTACAAGGGAGTCGGTCTTACTTTGCGCGTCTGTGCGGAGTCTGTCTGGTAGTGCCGGTAACTTGCTCACGGTAAACGCATTATTCGTTGTCTGCGACTCGACAATTAGCTATTATTCCAAGTCCAGGCGAGTATGAGAGAACTAACCAAAACAATGCTCCCGTCGCCCTTGGCAGCCCTCTCCCCTGGTTTGGGCTTCTTTGATCGCACGCTGAGTTCCCTTCGTTGCGCGCCAGCGTTCTCGATGCCGTCGCGCTTAGTCGCGTGGGCGCCGATTTTATCGGGCTTCACCTCGTACAAGTCGGGTTGTGCATCCGGATTTACGGAGGCGGTCTCGGCCAAGGGGACCCTTTGGCGCTTCGCCTTCGGTTGCTGGGCAGAGGGATCGGAGGTGCGCTGTCGTCGGCGACTGCTTCGCGTGCCTTTGGCGGGCCCGCCTTCGTGAGACGCGGAAGAAAACATTGTCGCGAACGGCCTGACGGAGGGGTTTTCGGTGTTGCGGTCGGCGCGGCCTCGCGGTATCGTAGAAAGAAAACGCCAGAGACCGATCGATGGTTTAGTGAATCATCAACAACTAAACGGCATCAAAAATTACCGATAGAAGAATGATGAATTAAAGGTCGGTAAATACCGACGGGACGGTGCGCAGAAGAAGCAACCCGGCGAAAAGTCGAGAATGAAATGGTTCGAGTTCGAGGCGGGCAAAAGCAGGAGTGACGAAGCCTTCATCGATTGGCCTGTGTTGACTTTGGGCAAAAATTCTGGGGCTACCACTGGCTGGAGCTGGATGGTCTTGGAGCCCCAGCATGCCAGCTCCATCCACGCGCTCACCTCCGATTGAACAGCCCCACACAGTACACAGCAGCCGAACGCCTCACTTGTTCCTGGGCAGCTGGGCCTTCTCTCCCCATTCCCAGCTTTGTCCAATCATTCCATCCAAGTTTTCAAGATCGATCGTGCAAACTTCACGGGGGGTTACCGATGCGATCAATGCCTAGGAACTATCCCCATCATGCAACGATTTTTCCTGTCCTCGACTTTTAAATTGCATCGTGCTGCAGTATAATCACCAGTTGAGCTTGCGACAACCCCGACTGGCAGTTCTACCGAGTTATTTTTTTTTTGTGACCGAAGCTGGTGACATCATTACGACCGTTGAACGTTTCAAATCCGTTCATTCATTCCCGTCCGTGGTGTTGCAACCCCCAAACCCCAAACCACCTTCACCACACCCTCACCCCTGTTCATACCGGCCACCCACCCGATCCCCGGAACGTTTGCGCACTATGCGTTGCCATTCTTTTTATTCTAAGTAATTTTGATACAAGTTTATTCTCTCTATTTTTTATTATTCGCTGGGGTAGTCCCCCCGTCGCGCGAGGCCATGAACCGGGCAGCAACCTCGGTGACCATCACCGATCCCTTTGTCAAGTACACATCCCTTATTGCAACAGGTGTCTACAGTCCAGATGCGGCCCAGTACCGCCTCGCTCATCACCTACAAGGGGTATACGCGAGGCTGAAAGATTACACACCTTCATCTGAGTACAAAATCAGGCTACAACAGATCACGAGGGCTGTTGGTGCAACTCAGGGGACAACGGGAGAATCGCTCGCGTCTCCCACCCACCCAATTCGCCGGAATCCGCTCTTTGCGCGCTTCTTTCAGAGGGGCGATGGGAGAGATAGTTTGGCTTTGGCAAGGGTCCTGACGAGTTATCAGGCCGCTTTGCATGTTGATTCTCCAAAGGGCCTCTTCCTTTCAGGGGAGGTTGGCACGGGGAAGTCGATGCTCCTCGACCTCCTTGCCGAGGGTTTACCTACCCGCCGAAAGAAGAGGTGGCACTTCAACACTTTCATGTTGCATACGTTCTTGAGGTTAGAAGAGTTTCGAAAATCCCGCCCGGATACGTCGTCACAAAATTCCGAATACTCCTTGCTCTGGATGGCTAAAGAGCTTATGGAAAGCTCTCCCATCCTGTTTCTCGACGAGTTCCAACTCCCAGACAGGGCTGCGAGCAAAATCATGAGCAACCTCTTTGTTGCCTTTTTTCAGCTTGGCGGCGTTCTTGTTGCTTCCTCAAACAGAATGCCCGAAGAGCTTGAAAAGGCGACAGGTGGTTATTATACGCCCCCGGCCACCGGTGGTTTGGTCGAGAGGGTTCTAGGCTTCGGAAACAACCGGTCCGGCGGTGAATTGTTTGGGCAAACCAGCGACTTTGCCGCCTTTCTTGACGTTCTCAAGGCTCGGTGCGACTTTTGGCACATGGAAGGGACTAAAGATTGGAGGAGAAGAGAGAGTCGGATGGCGCCCCCAACAGAGTCTGGTGGTGTCGCCACAGGAGCCTATCCCCAAGTGGAGACAGCGGGCAGCGGTGCCAGTTTGGCCCAGCAGAAATCCGAGAATGGGGGAGAAGTGCCAGTAATGTACTTCTTGCCGTCCGATGGCGAAGAGATTTGGACATCCGGGTTGCGGTATGCGACAAGGTCGGGCGAGAGCTGTTCGGAAACCCAAGACTTGAGCTGGAAGCCCACCAGCCTAGTAGTCTATGGAAGAAAATTAGACATCCCTCGGCAGTACGATGGCGTTTCGTGCTGGGATTTTACTGAGCTTGTCACCTCACTAGGGCCAGCGGACTATGTCACATTGGCATCCAACTTTCATACCTTTATCATTGACCGCGTCCCTGTGTTGACCGTGTCCATGAAGAATGAGGCGCGACGGTTCATAACGCTTTTGGATGCGCTGTACGAGTCACGGTGCAAGTTAGTTATCCGAGCTGAGACCAACCCCGACCAACTCTTCTTCCCCGAGACAAAAACACAGTCGGCGGGGACAGACGCCGCTCAGGACGCCCCTGCGCAGTATGAGGGCGCGGAAGCAACGTATGCTGAGACGATTGCCGAAGTTTACCAAGACCAATTGTCGCCGTTCCGTCCGAATATATCGACATACTCAGAGTCCCCAAACTCAAAGTACGACCCGGATCAAGACTCAGACTTCGGGAAGGAGCAAGACAGGAAGGTCGATTTTAACAGGACTGCCGCATTTACCGGCGAGGACGAACGGTTCGCATATAAGCGGGCGACGAGTCGGCTGTGGGAGCTCTGCAGCATGCAGTGGCACACGCGGACGGGAGACTGGTGGCAACCGCTGCCGAAGGAGGCTAGGCATTGGGAAGGGAGGGCGATGTCAAAACCACCGCCTTCGCCTTTGTCGAAGCGCGCGCCGAGTGAGATTACCATGGGCGAAACCGTGGAGCTCGAGGAGCCCGCTGGCCTGGAGCGGCTCCGGATTGCGAAACTAAGGGCTAGCGAGCAATAGCGGAGTAGGCTAAGAGTTTGTTTGGCTCGTCCCGTCCCGGGAGCTGTACCCTCAATGCGCGGGCGCGGCTGACGATCTGGGATGCACTGTTTCCTCTAGGCTTTGGAGTGTGAGGAGCATCATGGGGAAAAAAATGTGTCAAAAAGTTGCATTCTCCTCCCTCAATATACCCTCTTGAAGATAGGCTCTTACATGCCTTGCAGGAGCTAATCACGGAAGCCAAGGCTGGGGAAATCCTCCTTCGTACATACATCCGACATGTAACCGTTGAGCCAACTGTGGGGTTAAGGTTACATCCACGACTTCCTGACCCGATTTCACCGATCTCCTCCCACTGCCAAACGTATCGGGGCGGCCGGGGTTGTGTTGAACGGCAGAAAGATCGGCTCCTCCATCCAAGACAGACGCAAAGATACCGCGTCTACCGTTTTAGACGTGGTACATATAAATATAATCTTCACCATTTTCTTGCCCTCTAAAACGGGCTTCAAAGGGGATAACTGCCGGTTATTCCGGCAACCATCACAAGCATCCCCAGCCCTCAGCCAATGACACATTGGCCCTCCTTTCGGCCAGGACACCCGCTTGCCTAGAACAGCAAGTTGCTACGCTCCGGAGCGAGCCCTGCCGGGAAACCTGGAGCGCATCCCTCCCGTCCACCCCTTTTTGGGATATACTCCCCGATCTTTAGAGCCAAAGTGGCAGGCACATTAAATAACAACACGTAGAGAGAAAGGGTACGTATGGACACACCCAGCGAACCACGCCCACCATTGCGAGCTCAGCTGTCCCCAATGCCACGGTGATGTAAAGTAAACCGCTGAATCATTCTCCAACCCCCCCTCACTCACCTCTTCCACACCGCCCACTCTCCCACACCTCCCCCCATCGTGTAATGCGCCCCTCCGCGGGGACGTCGCCATCACCATGGGCGAGAAAACCCGCTTCCAAATGCTGATGCGGCCGCGGCCACGATCACGACAAAACCGCCGCCAGCTACGCCAGGCCACCCTGCTCCTCGGCGGCGCCCTGACGCTCTACTGCTTCCTGTTCGTCTGGAGGACACCCCAGCCGGCGTCGGCGTCGGCGCGCGCAGGGAAGCCGTCGCTGCCGCCGGAGGTGCTGAATAACCTGTCGCTGGACGAGGGGCAGTGTAATGCCTATTTCCCGGGGCTCACGAAGGAGATTGATGATGTGGTGGCTGAGGGCCCGTTTCCGGTGAAGCAGACGGGTGATATGGGGCCGTTGCAGGGGCGGATTAAGGATGGACAGGTGCGTCGGTTGGTGCTTTTGTTGGGGGGGTGGTTTCTGTTGATATTGACGGGGGTGGGATAGATACACATCATCCACGCGCAGCGCAAGTCGGATCTTTCACAGGAGATGCTGAACGTAAGTTTTCTACCGTCGCTAGAGCCCAACCCACGACGTATCTATCTACCCTAGACGGCCCTCAAACTCACACTCACCCGCCCACCACGCATAGTCACGAACGGCCTCGCTGCACCAGCTCCACCGCGCGCTGCTCACCTCACCAACGCCGCTCCCGGACACCATCTTCACGCTCAACTTCCAAGACCAGCCGTTCGGGACGGCGTGGGCGTACTCGCGGCACGCGGACCCGCAGTTCGTGTCCAAAAAGGACGGCCACGCGCGCACCTTTCTGATGCCGCACTTTTCCTTCTGGGCGTGGAACCTGCCCTTCATCGGGTCGATGGGCCGCGCGGCGGAAGCGATCGCCGAGCTCGAGGCGGAATACGCGGGGGCGTGGCACGGCAAGATCGCCAAGGCGGTGTGGCGCGGGACCATGTGGTTCAACAGCGTGCACAGCCCGCGCATGCGGCAGAACCTGGTGAAGGAGGCGCGGGGCAAGCCGTGGGCGGATGTTGAGCCGCTCGAGTGGACCAGCAACGGCGGTGGCAAGGGGGCCGCCAAGACGGCTAGCAATGCGCTCCCGATCGAGGGCTTCTGCCGGTACAAGTACATCATACACACCGAGGGCATCGCGTACAGCGGGCGGTTTCAGTTCCTGCAGATGTGTGCCAGCGTCGTGCTCACCCCGCCGATCCAGTGGATGCAGCATGTGACGCACCTCGCGAGGCCGCTGTTCTCGAGCGATTTGGATCTCAAGCGGGGTGGCAGTGGGAAGAGCTGGACGCCAACGGAGAAGGTTAAAAGGGCGTGGCCAATGGGATATAAACCCGAAGAGGCGAATATCGTGTTTGTCGCGCCAGACTGGTCAGATTTGGGCGAAACAGTGGCCTGGTTGGAGGAGCACCCTGAAATCGCCGAAGGGATCGCGAGAAGGCAGAGGGATATGTTTGTCGGTGGTGGGTATTTCAGCCCCGCTGCTGAGACGTGCTACTGGCGAGCTATGGTGAGAGGGTGGGCGAAAATGGCGCGGACCGAGGGTCAGGGATGGGAGGATACCGAGGGGATCACATTTGAGGCGTTTAGCCTGACAAACACCACCTAATGGCGGTTGCTGTCCTGGTGGGCGGTTGGTGTTTCGGCGTCCAGACTCGGTAGAAACGGGCGCGGGTTCTGGGTTTGTGTCGATAAACTCGTATAAATCAGCGCATGCTTTTGAAAAACGCGGCGACTCCTTGTTATTGATTCGTAAACGTATCCCAACATTGGACGCGTCGTGGTCGTGGACGCCGGTATCCCAACCGCCTCAAAGATTCGTGATCCCTGGTGTCCAAGCCTCCCCAATCCTCTTCATATCGTCGGCGAACTTCTTGTTTGTGATTTTCGCGCCTCCTTGCCCGGTCGGTGGTGAGTGCTCGTCCGGATCAAAGAACGGATTCTGCAGTAGCCGTATGTATGCCCCCTGCATAGCCTTGAATACTGGCCTCATCTCCCCCTCTCTCAAGCCCGCTGCTGCGCCCGCAAGCCTCCTGTCCCTCCCATCTAGCCCCGCGGCAAGTGCGCCATCGATGCGCCGGCCACGCATGTCGATAATCACAACAAAGCGGGTGCCCGTGTTCGTCTCAAAGCCGTAGGCGGCGAGGCGGTCGTCGACGGCGTGGAGGAGGCCGAAATCGCCGGTTAGGCCGACGCCGGCGGCCGCATTTTGGCGCGAGCGAAGTTCGAAGACGTCGAGGGTGCTGGAGAGGATGAGGGAAAATTGGAGAGGGGTGCGCACGGGGCGGAACGAGTTGTTGGAGGGGTCGTAGGACGGGAAGATGGACGTATGGAGGGGGTTGTTCTAAGAAGGTCAGTCGTCGAATAAATGATGGAGTTAAAAGAGGCTTACGTTTCGACCGATAACCCCGAGGCAGGCGATCGAGGGAATTGCGGTCGCCATAGCGGCGGCAGGCGGTCTTCAACGGAGGATTGGACAAGTCGAGGGTTGGCTACGGGAGGAGCCGTCTCGCGATGGAGGTCCTCCGTCCTCTTCAAGTAAGCTGTTGACGGCCCGTGCACTCGCTGCCATCCTTCGCCTTGGCGCTAAGATCGTCCGTCATCGATAGACTCAACGTCTGGGTGACGCTCTGCATTGCGTCAAAGTGGGGGGCTATGGTCGACGAGTAATGACCTAGTCCCTTCTACAATACGCTCGGTTCTGCTCCACGGTTTGCTCGCTAGCCTTTGCATTGCGTATATTATCTAAAGTTTGTTAAATTATCAATGGCGGCGGGCTCGCTGCTGGGTAACTTCAAAGCTGTCAACATATAAGTTTGTCACAAATACGGAAGTATCGAAACAAAGCGATGTGTCTAATATGGTAGATTAACTAACTACCTAGGACTCGTTGATTACCCAATGCCCGGCTCATGCGCGCGGCTGGTCACCCCCCCTGACACGCTGACGCCGACCTTTTTGTGGCCAACAAGGGGGGCAGAATAGGTATCTGAACCCAAAAACAAAAACACAACCTTTTGCAAGCCATAATTCCTCTCTACTCCTCGTCAACCAGGTACTCGGGTCTCTTCTAGCCCTCTGAAAACTTTCCTCGATCTCAGTTGGGTCGGTGATCGCCCAGACGCCGGCCCCCATAACGGTGTCCTACCCTCTCATGCCCACCTCTATGCCAACTACTATGCGTCCGACCATGCCCGGACCAATGACAACCCACCGCCTGACTATTCTGTTCCTGGTCGAGGTACTTTATGCTGTCCCACCACCTCACCGTCTCGAGACACTGACTCGCCAACAAGTCCTTCACGTCGGCTTTGCTCTGGAACGGCCTGGCCGTGACATTACTGACACAAGGCACCGTGCCGGGCCAGGTAATGATATCATCACTTTCCCGCCCCTTCACCCGGCTGGTGCCCGCCAATACCTTCTGCATGACCGCCACAGCCGGCTTCATTATCGGGCTGTGGAACGGACTGTCGCTCTTCAATCGCACCGCGCGCGGATCGTGACCCAAAAACTGTCGGACATGCGCAACCAGCGTCTTTATGCGGTCAATGTTGCCACTCAAAACGATCTGGTTCTTGCTGTTGATATTGGCAATGAGCACTTGATCGATAGGTGACCGGTCTTCCGCACTCTCCGACTTGCTCCCGGGACTACTATGACCGACGAACTCGTGAATGGCATTTACCAGCGACTGCAGGTACTCGGGCTCGCTCACTATGGCCACCATGCCGTACTCGCCGCCATACTCAGCCTCAGCACGCTTCGTGGCCGCCGCCATGGCTTCGGCTCGCTTTTGCACGAGGAACAGGCTGTCCTCGAATTCGATGAATCCGCTGGATACGAGAGCCGCGAACTCCCCAAGAGAGTGGCCTAGCGTAAAGTCGGCGCGCTCTGATGTCTTGAAGCCAAACTCCTTCTCGAGGATACGGAGGATTAGTATCGACGTCGCCATGATGGCGGGCTGTGCGTTTGGCGTCGCGTTGAGCACTCTCCCAGGGCCCTCTTGTATCACATCGGATAGCTTGTACCCCACGATATGGTCGATTTCTTGGATGATTGACGTGGCTGTGACCGGGAATGCCTCGATCCAGGGAGTGAGCATGCCCACCTTCTGAACGCCTTGCCCTGTTGCGACGGATTGCAAGTTAGTGAATGGAAACGCAAACAGGGCCAACACACCACAGGGGCAGCGCACCCGGGAAGAAGATGGCGGTCTTTGGCCGCGCCCTCCCTGTCGACGACGCATGGCGAAGTTGTACTTGCAACACCGAAGGCTGTCTTAGGGCTGTAGACGCCAAGACTGCGCTGGAACGGCGGCTCGCATTGTTGGCGAGTACGCGATAGCAACCGCGCAGCGGATTCATTCTCGTCCTAAGGGAAAGCAAAAGGGTGCCAATGTCACCATTGGCCAGCCAGGGCGAAGCTGGGGCGATCAGGGTGGCCGCCTCATCAGTTGCGCGAGGGGCGGTCGCAGTTGCGGTAGGGGTTGTCGGAAGAAGGCGCGGGGGGTGCCAATGGGTAACTCCGGCAAGACGATAACGGCTCGCGGCGCGAGACCCTGGAAACGGAGAATAGATCCCGACACTGTGGGGGAGGTCCGTCCGAACGGAAGCGATGACGGCAGCGAACGCCAAGCACCCGTGTTATGAAAGCTAACAGTGTAAGATACCATACGCATGTAATTTTCAGCTTGCAACCGATTTCACATGAAAGATTTCATCCATATCGATCTCGATTGTGTATCTCACGAACACTCTAACAACCTGGGTCAACCAGGCATTCTCACCCGCCGGGGGAAATAAAACCAATTCAGAACTACACAACACGCTCACCATTGACTCAACCCATTCATCTCACTCCGTCTCTTCGAGACACCACCAACCACAACCATGCCCATCACAATCCTCCCTCCCAAACCCTCCCGCCCGATCAACAACAACCGCCCCTCCTCAGAAGACGACATCTACGGCGCCTCAGACAGCGACTCAGACGCCGGCACGGGCGGCGGCGCCAGCATCGACCCCGACGGCGACCACGCCATGCTCCCGCCCACCTCCAAACGCCCCCGCCACACAACCACCACCACCACCACCAACCCCTCCTCCTCCTCCATTGTCACCCCCGGCGAGCAAATCACCGACGACCCGCAATGGATGCGCGGCCACGGCACCTACATCCCCTCCACCTCCACGGGCCGCGCGGCCGCCGGCGCCATCGTATCCTCAGTAGCAGGCACGGTGGCGCGCACCAACAAGCTGCTGTCGGTGCGGCCGCTGCGGGCGCGCTACACGCCCGAGGTGGGCGACCTGGTGGTGGGGCGCATCGTCGAGGTGCAGGCGAAGCGGTGGCGGGTGGATGTGGGATCCACGCAGCTGGCCGCGCTGCCGCTGAGCGCGATCAATCTGCCGGGCGGGATTCTGAGGAAGAGGACGGAGACGGATGAATTGCAGATTAGGAGCTTTTTTGCGGAGGGGGATTTGTTGGTCGCGGAGGTGCAGCAGTTGTTTGGGGATGGGGGGGCCGTGCTGCATACGAGGTCGTTGAAGTATGGGAAGTTGAGGAATGGGGTGTTTGTGGCGGTTGCGGGGATGGGGGGTGGTGGGGGGGGTGGTAAGGAGTCGGAGGCAGGTTTGGACGATGGATGCTGCCAACGGCGGGGGGCAGATCGATGTGGTGCTGGGTGTGAATGGGTACGTGTGGATTAGTAGGCATGTTGAGACGCCCGAGGCTGAGGCGGGCGCCGCGGGGATTACGAATATGGAGGAGAGCGTGAGCACGACCATGTACTCGAGCCAGAACGACCGGATTGAGGTCGAGACTATGAGGGAGATTGCGCGGCTGCGTGGGGTGGTGACGGCGTTGGTCGAGAATGGGCTACGGGTGGATGAGGACATGGTTGTCAGGGGGTATCACGAGGCCGTGGAAATGGCTATGGTCTCGGTTGAGGGGTCGGACGACACCTACCTGGGTGGTGAGAAGGGGCAACAGCTCGCTGCGGCGCTTACAGGAGTTTAATCCTTCAGTCATTCTCAAAGAGAAAAAATAAATGGACATTTCGCCAGTGATTGATTACTTAAGGTATCTATGGATTCCCTTCGGGTCTTGCGAACCTCCTCCGTCTGATTTGTTCCAGCTGGATGGTTTTGTGAAAATGAAAAATGGACTTAATAATGGCCTGGTATCTCGGAGCAGAAAAAAAAAGAACATTCGAGTAAAAAAAGAGAACAGAAGAAATATTACGACCAAGGGTGCGAAAGAATGTTATGGGTAGCGTAATCAACTACATCCAGCCTGCGTTGGATCGGGGTGAGCGGCGTTCGAAGGAACCGTGGCTCAGCATATCGTATAGATTTTATTCATCGTGTCCTAAATAACACACAGCTGGTATTAGATTGCTGAACACGTAAACTCCCCCTTGGAAAAAAAGAAATCCAATCCGACCCTATTTTCCAATCCGATTTGTATAAAGATAATGGGCCACGAGAACAACCATCCACCTCACCAACGCACCTTTCGCGCTCTTGCTGCCCAGCCCACAGAACATGGCGGCCCAGTACCCGAAGCCCTTGACCACCTTGCCGTTGCGGTCAAAGTTGGGCTTCCCGTTGGTCAGGCGGCCCACAATCTTGAGCTTGCCCATGTCGAACGGCATGTACCGCACGGCGATGAGCCTTTCGGACCACGTGGGCGTCTCCGAGATGGTGCGGAAGTGCGTAAAGCAGTCGAAGCTCGCCTTGCCGCGGTACGCGCCCCAGCCGCTGTCGCCGACGCCGCCGAAAGGCACCGTGTTCACAGATGCGTGGAAGTACGCATCGTTGAGGGTGGCGCCGCCCGATGTCATCTCGTTGAGAACTGTGCAATGGTTAGTTGGAATAAAAAAGCCGTGGGGTGTTCAGATTGGCTGCTGGCACTCACCTCTCTGGTTCTCCGCCTTGGAACCAAACGAGAACAGAGACAACGGCGTCCGATGGACCGTGTTTGCGACGTTGAGCGCCTCGTCAAGCGAGTTCACCGGGTAGATGGAGAAGATGGGCCCGAACGACTCTTCCTGCATCATTGGGTCGTCGATCGAGTCCACCAGCACAGCGGTCGGCTCGATGAACTTGTCCGCCTCGTTTACGCCGCCACCCATTACAATCTTGCCCCAGAGTGTTGTCCAGCATCTTCTTCAGACAGTGAAAGTGCCTCTCATTGACAATTCGGCCCAGGTCCGGGCTCGCCTGGGCGCCGTTGGGGAACATCTCCTTGTAAGCCTGGTTGAGGAAGGTGATGAAAGTCGGGACGAGCTCCTTGTAGATGAGGATGTAGTTTTGGGACAGGCAAATTTGGCCCGAGTTCACGGTCTTGCCCCAGAGCAGCCGCTTCGCAGCCAGGGCCAGGTTGGCGTTCTTAGTGATGAAGGCGGGATTCTTGCCGCCCAGCTCGAGCACCACGGGGGTGAGGGTCTCGGCAGCCTTCTTCGCGATGATGGTGCCGACCGCCGCGCTGCCCGTAAAGAAGATCTTATCCCATTTCTCGTTCATGAGTGCGTTCGTCTCGGGGATTGCGCCGTTGACCACAGCAATGGCGCTCGTGTCGAGCGTCTTCTCGATCAGCTCCTTGATTACCATGGCGCATGCGGGCGTCAGCTCGGAAGGCTTGAGAACCGCTGTACACCCGGCACCAATGGCACCGACCAAGGGCGCAAGTAGAAGCTGGACCGGGAAGTTGTAGGGACCGATAATAAGCACGGCACCCAGCGGCTCCTTCCGAATGCGGAACTTCATGAACGAGAAGGTCGCCGGGACATGTGGCGAGCCCAGCTTCTCGTCCTTGGCAAAGCTTTCGAGGTGCTTGAGCATGAACAGGCAGTCTTTCTTGACCCAGTCGATCTCGGTAAATAGTGACTCGAAGTCGGACTTGTGCAGGTCCTTCATGAGGGCAGCCAGGAGTCGAGGCTGGTAGTCGTCCAGAGCCCAGTACAGCTTGCGCAGCTGAAGCCGGCGCCACTCCAAGTTCTTGGTCTTGTGGATGCGGAAGGCCCCGCGAGCAGCGCTGGCAATTCCTGGGATCGCATCCAAGGCCGTGGCCTGGAACTCGGGGAAGGTCACCTCAGTGGCCATTGTTGCTAGTCAGAGAAGCCTAAGCAATGCCGTCGTAGCCAGGAGTGTGCGATGATGCAAAATGCGACGGGATGCGATGGGCCGTCGTGTGATTACGAAGCAGTCAAGACAAAAAAAGAATTGGAAAACGAAAGACGGGGAAGGCCACGAGAAAAGGAAGTCAAAGAACAGGAAAGAAGGAGGGGCCAAACTGGAATGGATCTTCTCCTATTTTCCGGCTTGAGTACGTCGGTCGTTGTCACACAAGCCGGAATTATCCCGATCCTGTCAATATCACAAATCGTCCGTTCGATCTTCTTTTTTAGGATAGGATGGATGGATAGTTACAGGGGCTGCATTAGCACAGGCCGAGGCACCCTCGGACTATCCAATGTTTCCATCGGCCACACTCATCCTTGCATTGCAGCCAACCCCACATCCGGGCAGAAGAAGCTGCACTCGATACCTATCGGGCAACTTCCGACCGAGTCTATCTGAGAACGCTGCACAGTTGTCGCCCCACGGATGGCGGCATTTATGGTGTGTATTCCAAATACGGCGATATAATTGAGATGAGAGACATGGCGATCTCAGCACGTACAATGTGCGAGCGACTGAGAACTTCATTCACTGTGCATATGCAAAGTCGCAGCTTCGATTGCAATTCCAATCCGATGACTTGGCGCAGGGAAGCTCTCAGCTGCGGCAGGCATGGGTCCATGGCGGCTTGGCAAGCCCCTCTTCCCCACACAGATTCGACCTGGATGCCGAGGCCTGGGTGCATCGATTTGCAGATGAAAGCCATCATCTGAAGATGCAAATCCTGGCTGATGTCGGCGACGTCCCGAGTTTATCAAACCAACTCCTTCATTGGGGGGTTCTGAGAATATGGGAAGCCGAGTCTCTTTTTCCACAGCCTACAATAGCTCTCATTTGCATAACCCACAAAGAGCCCCCTAATCAATCTTAAATGGTGGGTCGACGGGAAGGAAACCCGCTTGCTCTCCGCTTGACCATGTGGTTCGGTCGTCTCACCCTTCGCCGACTAATAAAGTCAGCAAGCATGGCTGGTCCGCTCGATGTGCATGGTATCACGAGTCTAGACCCCACCGTAACCGCGGCATCAAACTTCTGTGTAACGAACTAACCAACCTCAATGTTGCTCAATCCGACTCTTGTTGATCACGGGTGGCGTTGCAAAACTCGACGGAAAAAAAAGGGGTACTTCCCAATTCATTTCTATGCAGATTGATGTACATTGGTGTTCATAATACAACAGCCAGCCGGCTACCGCTGCCGGACGATGGCTCAGTAGGCCGCCATGATGTGACCATCCCTCATGTCATATCGAGGTTACGTGTGCCCGTTGGGGGCGAAACGGCCAGAGCCCTCACCGGTCCAACGGGTTGTGAAGTTTCCGAAGTCCGGGGCAACCACACTACCGGCGCGACGGTCGCCCCCTCATCACCGGGATGGGTTCCTCTACCTTTGCCGTAAGTAGGGCTTGCTGGATGGTATCCACACCATTAATCAACGAACCCTGGGTCCGTTTCTCCTCGTCTAGAAGCAGTGCCTGCTTCCTTTGTGCCTCAAGCTGCGCCTTCCGCTGCTCGGTCAGGTACCAATCCCGGGGGAACTTGAGCTTAGGCTTGAACTTGTGGTGGCGGGTGTCGAGGGGAAGGTCCTCGAACATGTCGGTGGGGTCCTAAACTCCAATCTTAGTATGGGATGTGAATGAGGGGCAGCTCGTCGCATCCTACCTTTGCCGTCGCAACCATCTTATCCACCAGGTCTCCCAAGTACCGCTTGTTTTGGGCCTGGTGCTCAAACCGCTCGCAGCTCATCTTGATAATGTCCTTCTCTGGGTTGTACCGGGGCCCAGCAAGTTTCTTGAGTTTCAACTGCTGGGCCGCAGTAAGATCCTGCATATCCGCGGGACAGAACTCGACCACGACCTTCCTGTCAGCGGGGTGGAATTCCCCCATATAAGTTGTGTACCGGAAGCGCAAAATCTCTTGTTCGGTGGGTGGTTGAAACGGCTTGGCGAGTTCTGGGTTGTGTTAGCCTGCTGGATCAGCCCAGGATGAGTACGGCGCCGGTAGGCTTACTTGAGAGCAGCGGCATCTCCCACACGGCAACCCGCGCGTATTCTCTGAACTCGCGGTGCTCCTCCAACTTTGCGTGGCCCATGGCCATTATGTCGTCCTCTTCGAAATCATCCTCGCCGATTTCGTCGGTGATCAGGTCCGAATCGACCTCTTCGGTATTCCAGAAGCTCTGCTTCTTAGCCCGCACCGGCCTCCGTAGCTCTGCGCTCTCCTCGTTGATCTCCTCGTTGAGTTTGTCGAACGCCTCCTGCTGCTTCGGTGGCACCTTTTGCCAGTCCTCAAGCATGCGTGTGGCCAATGCCCGTTCTTGTTCGGAAATATTCTCGTCTCGAAGAAAACTCCTCAAAAACTGGCCCGGGTTGCCAAAATCCTCCTCGACTTCCTCCTGGAACTCATTTTTGCTGGCATTGTCGGTTGGTGCTGCGGGCCGCCATTGCGTTGTCGACAGTGGCCGGCGAGAAAAAGACTGTTGAATTGCGGCAGCACGGAGGCTCGGTACCCTCCTGCTGGGCCGCAGACACAGCCGGAGGAAGTGGGCGGGGGAGGTCATGCCGAATGTCGAGGCGGATCGTGGTTCAGCACGGCTGCCGATGCACAGTGGAACTCGAATCGCCAAAATTTTGGAGTTGCGCGGGGCGCGCCGCCAAGACTACCAGCCACAAATCTGCACCGCCACACGTCATCCGTTACTGTCTTCGTATACGAATATCAAGTAACTTTACTTCAAGCCAAGCTCTCCTGGCACACCCACCAACTCATCATCTTCTAACTTCCACGCTTAGGCCTACGCAGTAAGCAAACTATCGAGGCGAGTTTTAGATAGGTACGAACGAAGTAGTCATTTTGGGGCCCTGCTGGTGCCATCCACCGCCTTGTCGTAAATATTGCTTGCCTGAGGCGGTTTAGCCTCCCTCTACACACCTTATCGATACTCCGTCACTTCGCTCTTAATTCTAAGCATCAAGGCACTGTCACTACCGCTGCGATGGTCAACGGCGTCAACGGCGACAATGGTTTAAGCTACGGCTTGGACGTCAACGCCGGCTCACAAGCTCGTAGGCAGAAACGCCAGCGAACTGATTCTCCTGTTCATAATCTCGAAGCTCACCAACCCGCAACACACCCAGCTCAGCCCGGCCGCTGTTGTTTTGTCACGGTCGGGGCGACGGCTGGCTTCCGCTCTCTCCTTGACGAGGTTAGCACCGCGGGGTTTTTCGATTGCCTCGCCAATCATGGCTACGCCTTCCTCCACATCCAGTGCGGCCCAGACCTTGCCGCCGTTGAGGACCGCATTGCCGGCCTGAGCGACGAGGCGAAACGTGGTATCTCGGTTCGCTGCTTTCGATACACGGACGACATGACCGCCCACATTGTCAGTTGCCGGGGTCAAGACAACGTCCGTCCGGCTGGATGTGTCATCGCCCATGGTGGTAAGTTTTGCTCCCGTCTCGGGCCCATCCGTGTGTATTTTGTCTTTGTTACATCACATTTGACACTTCATTTCAGGCACTGGCACTGTCGGCGAGGTACTGGGCATCGGGGCCCCGCTAGTCGTCGTCGCAAACCCGACGTTGATGGACAATCACCAACTTGAGCTGGCCGAGACTCTCGAGGCCCAGAATCTAGTCGTCCATGGGCACATCGGGTAAGCATGCCCTTTTCACCCTTCAACGCGTAGTTGTGTCGTTTTGTTTTGCCACAAAGGCTAACCCACCATGGATAGATCCCTTACCACCGCCATTCACCGTGTTGCCGAGCGAATTAACCAAGGCAGGTTGGACGTCCTGCCGCCATACTGCCCGCCGTCGTTCCCCGTTCCCGCTGCCGAACGCGTTACCCTCTTCGATTGGATGGTACTAACCTGCTACCCAGAGGAGCTCGCGGCTCAAATGCACGTTGCCGATCTGAGCCGTGCCGAAGCAGAATTTGAAGCTAAGCTACAGCAGCAGCACCAACAGTCTGCAGCCTGTGGCAATGCACCTATCGCGGCGATCAACAGCCAGGCGGACAACAGCATGCTCCAGCTCGATTAGGGATACGAAGCTGGAAATGCCACGGCGTCTGGCGCTGGTGGCAATACGACGAACAACAACAACAACAACAACAACAGCAACAACAGCAACAACAGCAACAACAGCAACAACAGCAACAACAGCAACAACAGCAACAACAACAACAACAACAACAACAACTATACCCCTGGCCCAGCAACCAATGGCATGGTCTTGCCCAACTAGGGCTTTGCAGTTAACAATCATGCGATGCCTGGTATTGCTGGCGCAGCAGAGGGCCGGAGACTGGAAGAGTGAAGCCAGCTCATCGACCTCAACGAGGCAAATGTGCGGCTCCTCGTGGTCAGCGGATCTAGTAACCATAATTACTGCGGCTGCCATCCGATTGGCAATCACCAAGCTGTCCTAGGCGCCGTTTTGCTGTACGGTTGAAACGGCGTTTGGGGATCGCCAATATGAGGAAAAGGACAACGTGGAATGGCGGATCTACGCGAGGGCTACTGGCGGATGTTGAATTACCGTCTTGCTTGGTTGAGCTGTGTCAAGTGCGGGACAGTTTAGTCCCGGTATATTGGGGCATGAAATCTGACAGTCCGCTGGTGTGCCGCGACTTTTCGACGGTATAGCTTGCGTCTTGTTCACAAGAAGGACTGGGTAAGTACTTGACGAATGGCACGACCCAACCTCTCCTGTCATAAATCGGCGTTTACCAGGTACCTCTTGGGTTTGGGCGCTTTCTCTGGATGGCATATCCATAGAGCTCCCCATCGCACAGAAAATAGGTCTATCTGATTTCATGTTCAAATTCGCCCTCGCTCGTGATATAATCATAGTCTACGCTCCGCCGTCAACCGCAACCCCAACCCAAGATACACACACACACCCAACCCGACAGCACCACCTACTCATTGCAGCCCCTTAACCCCCCAAATCTTAACCGCCGCGTCCCCACCCGTACTCGCCAGCCTTTCGCCATCACCCCCCACCCACGCAACGCCGTACACGCCGTCCTTGTGCGCGTTCGCCACCTTAACCCGACTCCCAGGCTTGGCCAGGCTCCACACGTGCACGTTGGTATCTAGCGCGCCGCTGGCCGCGTGCGTGCCGGCGCCGTTCCACGCCAGGCTCAGCACCCGCGCCGTGTGCGCCGACCACCGGTCCGTCGCCACCTCCCATTGCGTACCGCCCCCTGTCTTGTAGGCTACAATTTTGCCCGACGCGTTGCCCGCGGCGAGGTGTGCGCCGTCGGCGGAGAAGGCCAGCGCCGAGATGGCCGCGGTCGAGTTGGTTAGCGTGTGGGAGGGGGTGAGTTTGCCTGAGGTGCTGTCGAGGCTGTACACCTGCACGGTGTTGTTGGCGGCGCCGACGGCGACCCATGAGCCGTGCGCGGCGATCGCGCCGGGCGTGTAGTCCGTGGGGAGCTGGGTGAGGAGCTTGTCGTTGGCGTAGACGGCGATGCTGTCGTTCAGCGCGACGATGGTGCGGCCGGCCGTGATGGCGATCCCCTTGGGTTGGGAGGGGAGTTTGATGGATGTGCCGAGGAAGTTGCTGGTGGATTCCTGGATGGTGCGCAGTGTGTCATCCCAGCCTACGCTGAAGGTTTGGCCTGCGCCGGCAGCGAACTGTGTCACTTGGTTGGAATGGGCCTGCCCCTCCACCACGACGCCAGCGCCTGTAGATACGTCCCAGCTGCAGACCTTACCGTCGAAGCTGCCTGTGGTGATGATGTTGCCCTTTCCTTCCGACGCCACACCTAGCGCAGTGACGCTCTTGTTGTGTCCCTGAACAACCTTGGTAGGCTTGTCGCTACCCTCCGTGAGATAGTTGAGGTCTCCGTTTAGGCCCAGGCTAATGATCAGCCCGTCACTCCTCCCGTGTGGCCACACCACGCCAACCTGCTGGTTGTCGACGCTGACACTCCCTTCCTCCCCAATCCGCCACGCCCGCGTACACTCGCCCGACCCAGCGTCCCACACCCGCACCGTCTGATCCGCGCTCGCCGTGACAAAGCGCGTCGAGTCCTTCGCCCAGCTCACGGCGAAGATGCTGCCCGTGTGCACGCCCTCGCCCACCTGCTGCGTCGGCTCGCCCGTCTTGCCATCATACAGTTGGATCCTCTTATCCGCGCCCACTGTGACCAGGGTATTCCCATCCGGGCTGAACGCGGTGCCCAGCACAAACCCCTTGTGCAGCCCCCCGGCCTTGTTGGCGAACTTGAACGGCGCGCCGTGCAAGAAGCACATGGAGCTGTCGTCGGACACGGTCGCGGCCCTCAGGGGGCGCTGCTGGCGGATGGCGACGGCATTGATGACCTTGCTGTGCCCGCTGACCTCGCCCACGCTGTTCCCGCTGTCGGCCGTGAAGCAGTGGCCGAAACGCTCGCGGCCGTCGCCCACGGCGATGACGCGCTGGCTGTCGCCGTCCCAGGCGAGGTCGGAGATGCGGCCCGAGATGATGGAGTACTCGCCCTTGGTGTTGACAGCTTCGACGGCGTCCCACACGCGCACCTGGCCCGAGACGTCACCCGAGGCAACCCAGAAGCCTGAGGGAGAGAACTTGGCGACGGTGGTGGTCGTGGTGTGGCCGGTGTACTGCTTGCAGAGGGAGGGTTCGTCGATGCTGCGGAGGAATATAGACTTGCCGGACTGCAGTTGGAGGTTAGACGAAGGGCAGGTGGTGCCGTAGTGTGGACCGGGTGCTCACCGCATAAGCTATACGCTCTCCTTTGGCGTCGCATGAGAGCTGTGTCGGCTGGCCCCGCGTCGTTGCAGGGGCCGCAGCCAAGATCTTTTCGAGCTCGATCGACATAGTTTGGAGGATGTAAGGTCGGGGCTGAGGAATTCGAAAGCAATTGCTTAACAATCAGAATGCTGTTGACAAAAAAGGAAAGCTGAGTTGTTTGGGTTGAGTGGACTTGTTATGAGGAAATAGGAAGTGGGATGATGGAGCCTGGGATTCATGGAGGGGCACGGAGGGGCATCAGAGAGCATCGTCAGGGCAGGGGTTGCGTGGTTGCGGGGCAGCAATGCAAGCTGACGCCTAACACAACAACCGAAACCCCTGATTGGGTCGCTGGGTGGCTGATGCTCGGTGCCTGTCACAACCATGCTTCATTCATGCTGTGAGCTTCCAAGAGCCGTTTAGTTACTACCAGGCATTATGAACTCTGAATTTGCTTGGTACTGGAAAAGAAGTAGTTTACCTAACCTCCAAAGTATCTGGAACACCCAACACTACTCTTATACCATGACGTCACTCAGTTTAGCTGGACAGAGCTTAAGGTAGTCTTCGATTACATCTAACCCTAACTTGCTATCATACATGAGAAGCCAGTTATGCTTCTTATCATCAAGCAGCGACACGTTAAAAGAACCGCTCGTCCCACTCCCGCCGCATCGAAAACGCGCTGACCTCACTGCGCGTATCCGAACCACTCACACGATATCCGTCAAACTCGAGCATCGTGTTGTAGAAGCCAATCTGCCCGACAACCTCGCCATTTCCAAGGAACTTGATGTAGCTCCCGTCGTCTGTCTCGGAGTGCGCCCCACCCTGGCTATCCTCTCCCCGCCACTCAAAGTATAGAGGTTGGTGGGAAGACGACCAGGGCCGCTCGTCCAGGCGAAGGATACCCGACAAGGGGCCAATCTCAAAAGAACCCCATAGGGCGTCGCCGTCAAGCGTGAAGATTATGCCCGAGTCATACTCGTCGTCGGCATGTGCGTGCGGGGCGGTGCAGCGCAGTTGGTACCGACCGTTCAACAGGCCCAACGGAGGTAGTCCTGAGGGATGGTACCCATCGTCTCCGTCATTGTCGTCAAAATACGATGGCGGCCCCGGGTAGGGCGGCGGAGGGCTGCCGATTGAGTCCCAGTGAGAGGGAGTGGCGTCAAAGCGAGACGCTTGGGGGCTAGCCGCCGTCGTGCGGCCCTGGCTAGCTCTGTCGAAGGGGCGAGAACGCCGCGCCGTCTGGCGGGCGACTGGCTTGTCGGCAGACGCGGGGGACGCAGCAGGCGTAATGCGGGACGAGGCTGACATGGACGCCCCCGCTCGGGCGGTACCGCGCCGAGCTGTCTGTTTCTTGGGTGGAGCTGTCTGAGTCGGGTTCAATGTGGCAAGCGCTCCGTTTTTGGCGGTAGAGGCCGCCTTTTTGGTAGCAGGAGCTGGCTTTTTGGTAGCAGGAGCTGGCTTTTTGGTAGCAGGAGCCGGCTTTTTGGTAGCAGGAGCCGGCTTTTTGGTAGTAGGAGCCGGCTTTTTGGTAACAGGAGCCGGCTTTTTGGTAGCAGGTGTTGTTTTGGCCTTCTTTGCCACAGGCCCAGTCGGTGCAACTTGGACGCTGCCCTGGGGCCCAATAGATAGACTGAGGTTGATGTTGACATTGGTCCCCGAGGAGGCTCCGCCTTGGCTATCATCCGCTTTGCGCTTGGTGGGTTTCTTAGCAGCAGTTGCTGTCGGTCCCAATAGCTTCGCAGTCTGCCTGGCTTCACGTTCTCGCTTGTTCCACTCCTTTTTCAGCTCAGTTTCCACCTTGAGGATGTGAGCCGGCACAGTCAGGTTTCCCTTGCCGACAGCGTCGAAGAGCCTCATCTTGGCAGTCCCTTTGGTTTTGGACGGCGGCAAGCCATAATGAATGAGTTGGGCCTCATACCAATGAGCTGGGCGGTCTTTCTGGCCGTCGGTACCGTCGAATACGGCCTTGAGCTCCGGGATGGTCGCGCGGCGGTGACGATTGTTGCCACTGGCTTCCACATGGAAGTCGCCCGAATAAGACCAACCATCACGCGAGCTTGGGGGAATTAGCGACATGTTCGGTTTCTCAGACGACTGCTCTGGCAGAACTACCCGGGAGGCAGCCGATGTTCAAGAGAATAAAAGGCAGTAATTAATCCGTGTCCGAGTAACAAAATCGCAGGACTTGAGGGCGGGGTAGCTTTACGCATACCCAATTTCATCCGATTGGCGTTAGTTCTGCAGTTGCTTTCTTTTGCAAATGAATCAAATGAGGATTTGCAGTCGCCCACGGCGAGGCTAGGCGGTGTCACGGTACCAAGCCTGACCTGCTTGGGTCACGTGGGCAACACGTGCCTACGCGACCTGGACCCATACTAGTAGTAGTATCTCCTCTCCGTTAGCGTCCCCTTGCGAGAGCTTCCTCTCTCCTCATCGCACAACTCAGTCATTAGCCAGAACCTGACCCTGTCCCGTGACTCCCCTGACCACGCCCCGTGACAGGCGGTGGTAGGCCTCAGCACCCATCATTACATCACATATCAATAAATATGAGAGGGTATATTTCAACTTTAGGGTTGGGTTCTTTCGACTGTAACTCCCATATATAACCCTAACCCCGGGTTAAAAAGGTACATCCAGCTTTCTGCCACCCGCTGCACCGGCCCATCCAGCATGAATTCTGCCGGCCCAACCGACATCTGCCTTTTCTACCCAACCAAGCCAAACTATCGCCGTCATCTCCGCGCCAGCGATCACGATCGCCAACAGCCGGAATCAATTGCCCCAAGTAAGCGCTATCGATAGGGACTGCTAACTAATATAGCTACGTAGTTAGCCAGACCGGAGGGCAGTTAAATCGATCAATTCTGGCCTCTTCGAGCAATTAAAACGATCTCATTCAATTGAACGTCGGTTTGCGTTGCGACCGACCGATGCGACCGGGGCTGACCGCCTTGAAAGTGGGGCGAGGAGCAAGTACCACAGTCGAAAGAGCTCAAACCTACAGTCAAAATATACCCTCTCATAAATATTTACCCAGGAGTCACATCGATGTGAATTAAGGTTCTTTAGGAATGGTAATTAGCAAAATATGGTCAAAATCCAATGTTGTGGGTTCAAACAAGGCGTGGGGGATGTACTTAGGTATCGTGCAGTGTATAAGCGGCTTGGTGCCGACTTGTAACCGAGCGTGAGGCAATGGAAGCCAAGACTTTGCGGCCTGGGAACCGGCCACCGGCTGTGGCGTCAAAAGCTCGGGCTCCCAGTTTGTCGCCCGTGAACTTAGCTAAGTCAAGTGCGTCGCGATTTGGATCACCCAACAAATACCAAAAGTACTTGTATAACTACTGCAAGCTTTCACACTCAAAAGCCAACCGCTTTGCTCCCCATCGTTCAGCCATCCATTCACTTCCGTAAGTAATCCTCGTTGTTTAGTTCCATCTCTCCCTGCCTCGGCGCGCGACTCGCGTTTCACGAATCCGGCGCGCGCAAACCCCACCCCTGCAACCTGAATCACTGACACCAAGAAGGAGTTCTGAAACCAATCCATAGACAGACCCGAAGACGAACACAAGATGAGCTCACCTAGAGACGAGGAGAAGCCGCACGATGAAACGCGCGATCACGCCAATGGCGACAACGACGAGGTGCGACGCTCCCGGACCGATGGTCTTGCTGCATCCCGGCCGCAGAAGAACAAAAGAGGAGGCTAACCGGTCGATCAGGAAGAGATATCGGCGATGAAGTTGCGTGTCGCCGAGATGGAAGCCGAAGCGGCCAAGCTCCGGGAGATGCAGGCGTCGCTCGACCAGGCGCGCCAGGACCTAAGCGAGGACAAGGAGGATATCGACAATCGGAGTATATTCGTCGGCAACGTCGACTACTCCACGTCGCCCGAAGAGCTCCAGGCGCACTTCCAGAGTTGCGGGTCTATCAACCGCGTCACCATTTTGCTTGATAAGTTTACCGGCCAGCCGAAAGGGTACATTCCGCCCAGACGCCCTCCAGCTTGGTAGTAACGAGTGCTAACGCAAGCGTTGGCAGGTACGCATATGTAGAGTTTAGCGAACCCAACCTTGTCGCCCAGGCTCTTGTTCTCAATGACAGTGTCTTTAAGGGAAGGAACATCAAGGTGGAACCAAAACGGACGAATATCCCAGGCATGTCGCGTGGACGTGGTAGAGGTGGGTTCCGCGGCGGCCGTGGTTCTTTTGGTAGGGGCGGTGGCTACACGAGAGGAGGATACCGCGGAGGGTACCGGGGCCGCGGCCGCGGATTTACGCCGTATTGACCTCAGGGCGTGCCCAGGGCAACATGCCAGCCAGCCTTCCAGGTTGTACGATAAGAGCCGGGAAGAGCTGTCTTTTTTTTCTTCTCTTTTCTCTCTTCGCTTCACCTATGGGTATAATTTGCTTTGTTTGCTTCGGCAAGGCGTCATGGGATTGGGCAAAAGAACGGAAGGTACGCTCAGCGCATTTCGACTTATCATCGGCATTTAATTGTCGCCCCTGGAGCCCATGCAGAGGATGGTGACGGATACGGGGTTCGGCAATGGTCTCTAACTAAACACGGCGAAAAACGAGGACTGGCATTGGATACACGGAGAGGGGCAGTCTACCTAGGAGGTGCTCGTCAATTGCAATGTAATCACAGTGTTTGGGCCGTCCATCGTATGAGAGCGGAGCTCCGTTATGACGGGCAGGCATGGGAACCTAAGCTTTGGCCGAAAACTTGACTCATGAGCGTGTATGGGTTCTTCGCTGCTCCAGCTTGAAGAGCCCCGGCCGTTCATAGGTTTCCATGTTCTATTCGCTGCGGCACGACCATGGGGTGTATGGGGTGTTAGCCAGGATTTCGTGGGGGAAATCAATGGCAAATCCACTGCAAGCAAACTAAACAATTGAAAATGTCACCAACGTACCGAGTTCGTAGTTCTAGGCTCACCTATCTGCTTATGATGTTTTCGCCCCCAGGCCTGCTGGAGTGGCCCGGCCAGTGGCGGGGCAGTTGCAGGCGCGCCCCTGTCTCGGTCGCCTGCAGGGCTGCGAACGCTTGTTAAACGGCCCACTCAAGCAGCCAAAAGATGCCCGGGCGTCCTAGGTATTGCGCCCAAACGGAATCTGGAACCCACCCTTGTGAATGGCACTGGTTGAGGGCTGCTTGTCGGTGCATGAAATCCGTCTTGACACAAACACCTCACAAACCATCCTGATAACCGCTTCTCGTCAGCGCTTGCTCAGACCTTCCGTATTTGCTATTTTACCGCTCCGTCATCCCAGAACAAGACTACTTCGTGCCGCCCCCCAGCCACAGCGTCACCGCTTACTATTCCCGTTGGCCGTGGCCGTTCGAGCCCAGTGATTTAACGTTATCAATAACCAACGGTAACTGACCAACGAGGTCCCAAAGCGGGGTGTCCGAGCAGCACAGCCTCATCACTTGCACCCCTCGACTCTCAACTCGATCTTCGACCGCCGACTGCGTCCCTCGCTCGCTCTTTCTCGCACATTCGGCTTGTGCCGCTCTCGACGTGTCTGCTATCCCCTTTTCGTCCTCTCTCTCAGTGTCGCGCCCGCGCCCGCGACCATCCATCGCCCACACCGATCGCGCCTGTCGCTTCCCCACCGACTCCCTTCCAGCTCGTGTCCGACTCCCGGCTAAGCATCAGCCGATACTCGGGTTGACCGCCGGCTTGGTGGGCGAAACACGGCGCCAACTTGTTCGGTCTGACTTGCACTTTCGGCCACCATGAGTAGCAGCCGCATGGATGCAGGGCTTCCAGCGTATGTCCCGACTCCCATCTGCCAACAAGCCTTTCGGCCGTTTGTCCCTGCGATTCCGAGGCGGGGCTATGGATGAGAAGAATGTTCGCTGACTCGACGTGATGCCAACAGCCAGCCGAACCTGCGCGTCACAAGTAATCAGCCCATCGCGATCGGAATCCATCCTGCAGCTCTTCCGCTAACCCGACCATCTAGTCATCGCCGCCGATGGCTTATACAAGCGAGATGTCTTCAGTGCGTTTTGCACCCTTTACTAGATGATCTAGTGACTCCCAGTTGCTGATTATCGACGGCAGGATTTCCCGACCCGTTTGCGGTCGCCACCATCAACGGCGAGCAGACGAAGACGACGCAGGTTTCTAAGCGAACATTGAACCCGTATTGGAATGAGAGTTTCGACTTGTAAGCGGTACCTTTGCTCGATGACGGCGATGTGCCGGACGTGAAGCTCACCCCCATGATAGTAAAGTCAATGAGGACGGTATCCTTGCTGTACAAGTCTTTGACCAGAAGAAATTCAAGAAAAAGGATCCTGGTTTTCTTGGTGTGATCATATTCGTATCGGGGATGTCATGACTGTCGTCGATCGGACGTATGAACATCTTCTCTTTCTCGTCTCCAACTCTTTTCGTCCCAACTAACGCAAAACCAATCCCTTTGTAGACCAGATGCTCACGCGAGACCTAAAAAAGTCGACTGATAACCTTGTGGTACACGGAAAACTCATCATCAACCTCTCCACCAACCTGGCAGCACCTACTCGCGTGCCGCAAGCGTTGACGGCATCATCCAGCCGACCCTCCCTTCTTAGCCCGCAGACTTCGACTATCTCTAACGGCGACCGTGCCTCTGAACGACCTTCATCGGCCATGTCGGGTCCGAACGGCACACCGGCACTGGGCGGCACGCAACTGTCGATCCCCCATCGCCCATCGAGCTTAGTATCGACGCAATCAACTACAGCGCCGCCTCCGCCTCCCATGAACGGTTCGGCACACCCCCGACAGGCGAGCAGCACGCTCAGCCCCTTCGAGGATTCACAGGGCCGGCTCCCGGCTGGGTGGGAGCGTCGGGAGGACAACCTCGGGAGGACTTACTACGTCGACCACAACACGAGAACGACCAGCTGGACCCGGCCGACGGGCTCGTCAGGGGCGGCCGAGGCGCGCGTCGCCGAAGCCAACACGCAGGTCGAGCGGCAGAGACACCAGAACCGTACGCTACCCGAAGATCGCACGGGATCGAACTCGCCCACGCTGCAAGCACAGCAGCAGGCAACCCAAGCCGCCAATGCCACCACCATGATGCACACGGGGACCACGACTGCGGGGACAGGCGAGCTTCCCCCGGGCTGGGAGCAGAGGTGGACCCCTGAAGGTAGGTCATACTTTGTTGACCACAACACTAGGACCACGACCTGGGTGGATCCGCGACGCCAGCAGTACATCCGGATGTACGGTGGGCAAAGCACGACGAATGGTAGTATCCAGCAGCAGCCGGTCTCGCAGCTTGGCCCCTTACCTAGCGGGTGGGAAATGCGGTTGACGAACACGGCACGCGTTTACTTTGTCGATCACAACACCAAGACGACGACCTGGGACGACCCCCGACTCCCGTCCTCGCTCGACCAGAATGTGCCGCAGTACAAGCGTGACTTCCGCAGGAAGCTGATCTACTTCCGGTCGCAGCCGGCCATGCGCATCCTGTCAGGGCAGTGCCATATCAAGGTCAGACGGTCCCATATCTTTGAGGATTCGTTTGCCGAGATCTCGCGGCAGTCGGCGACCGATCTCAAGAAGCGGCTGATGATCAAGTTTGACGGCGAGGACGGCCTGGACTACGGTGGTCTCTCTAGAGAGTTCTTCTTCTTGTTGTCGCACGAGATGTTCAACCCCTTCTACTGCCTCTTTGAGTACTCGGCGCACGACAACTACACGCTCCAGATCAACCCCCACTCGGGGATCAACCCGGAGCATCTCAACTACTTCAAGTTCATTGGGCGGGTGGTCGGCCTGGCCATCTTCCACCGGCGTTTCCTCGACGCCTTCTTCATCGGGGCGCTGTACAAGATGGTGCTCGGCAAGATACGTGGTGCTGGCCGACATGGAAAGGTGTGGATGCCGACTTCCACCGTTCGCTACAGTGGATGCTGGACAACGACATCTCGGGCGGCATTCTCGAGCAGACCTTCTCAACCGAAGACGAGCGGTTCGGCGTCATCACGGTCGAGGATCTGATTCCCAACGGGCGTAACATCGACGTGACCAACGACAACAAGAAGGAGTACGTCGACCTAATGGTGAAGTGGCGAATCCAGAAGCGCATTGCCGAGCAGTTCGAGGCATTCAAGGAGGGCTTCCAGGACTTGATCCCGCAAGATCTCATCAACGTGTTCGACGAGCGCGAGCTCGAGCTGCTGATCGGTGGTATCGCCGAGATCGATGTTGACGACTGGAAGAAGCACACCGACTACCGCGGCTACACCGAGTCGGACGAGGTCATCCAGTTCTTCTGGCAAACAGTGCGGTCGTGGGATGGCGAGCAGAAGTCGCGGTTGTTGCAGTTCACGACGGGCACGTCCCGTATCCCCGTCAACGGGTTCAAGGATCTGCAGGGTAGTGACGGGCCGAGGCGATTCACCATCGAGAAGGCGGGTGAGCTCGGCAATCTGCCCAAGGCACACACTTGGTGAGTTTTCTTATTTTTTTGGTGTTCGATGTTAGCTGAGGAGGTGATTCGCTAACGCTGTATCTAGCTTCAACCGCCTGGATCTTCCTCCATATAAGACCTTGGAGATGCTACAAGGCAAGTTGACGATGGCGGTAGAAGAGACGATGGGTTTCGGGCAGGAGTAAAATCATGGCGCGGGCTGGTTATGGATACGGTGCCTTTCCACAAGCACCCTAGTGTTTTGCATCTTTTGATGGTGTTGCGTCGGCCGTGGTATCTTTTTTTTTTTTACCCATTTTACTACTACGTCCCTCCCTGGTACCGTACCATCATTCGTTCTGTCTGTGTGGACAGGGTCTTACCCTGCGAGCAATGCTGTACATAGATGGATGGGTGGATGGATGACGAACTCTGTTCGGCGCCAGTCTGCCACGTATGCCTTCGATACGATGCGCTGGAACACGCAACGTGATGGGTTCCCAGTACCGAGTACCGCATTGCTGGGACGGAAGCAACGCAGCGCATATGGTTGTGTTGAATACATTCTCTTGAAGGCTGGCACGGGGTGTGGAGGGGTCGCGTGGCGTTTTTTTACATAGGGTCGTAGCAATGACGGAAGTACGATAGCAACTTGCTGCTCTTTCTCTCGGGATTTCAAGAGACCTCTTTGTGAAGACGCGCGTGAGTGGTGGAGGGGTCCGCCGGTGGTTCAGTTAAAGCCATCATCATCCTATGCTCCTCAGATGGTTGGTTCCACGACAGCGGATACCTACCTACCCCCTGACTGGCTCGCTCCCGATTCCCGTCCCGATTAGATAGGCACCGCCGGCCCGCGAATCGGCCTTCCGGAGCCAGGGCCGGCCGTGGATCTCTCTCTTTTGAGGTGACCGCTTCTTTCTTGC